TAACCGTTATCGACGAAGTCTTAAATATTAAGCTACTTAAAAACATTACCGTCGTTAAGTAACTCTTCTAACGCGGCGCGATTTTATTTGAAGTCTTTATAACCCGGGTAGTTATATTTTAAATACTTAAGCTATATTTCGATAACGCGCCGGCGTATTCTAAACTTAATTCGAAACTAAGTTATTTATTCGGGATTTTACGCTAGCTCGCGTAAGTATAATAAAACGATATTAAAATATTAAGGAAAGAGGAAAAGATAATCGTATATTTTATTAACGTTACGTATAAAGTATACGACGTAGCCGCGATATTTATACTACTAGCCGCGAATTATAAGTATATTTATTATTACGTAAACCCGCGTAATAAGTAATTCTTCGATTATTATTAACTTTAGTAGTAAATTAAAAGAAGAAAGGATATTAAAGTTAAGATAATTACTTACGTTAAAAAAGAAGGGCTTATTTACGCGCCTCTTTTAGTTTTTATTACGATAACGCTTATAAATACCCGCGGTATTTAAATCTATATTAAATTAATATTTCTTATAACGACTATAATATTTACGTCGTTCTTATTTTAACGCTAACTAAAACTATATTAAAATCGCGTAATCGATATCGTTAATTACGCTAGCGTCGAGGTCTTTCTCTTACCGTAGCGGCTTAATTATAAACGAACTTTAACGATTAAAAACGCTACTAAGCTTTTAAAAGCGAGCGATATTTAAAGGAAAGGTCTAATTAAAAGGTCGGCCTAGGCGCGGTTACTCTCGCGTTAGTTTTAGCGTAAGGGGTTTTAACGTAAGAGGCCGTAAAGGTCGGCTTCGACGAACTAGCTCTAGCGTTAATTCTAACGTAAACGCGCGTAAAGGTCGGCCTCGACGAACTAGCTCTAGCGCTAGTTTTAACGTAGGCGTACGTAAAGGTCGGCCTCGATGAACTAGTTCTCGCGTTTATTCTAACGTAAGCGTACGTAAAAGTCGGCCTCGACGAGCTAGTTCTCGCGTAGGTACTCGAAAAGGTCGCCCCCGGAGCGCTAGTTCTAGCGCTACCGTTAAATCCGCTAGTTATAATTATATTATTAACGAAGAAAGTAAAGAAATAAAAGAAGAGTTACCGTTATTACGTCGGGTTACCTTATACCGTCTTCGAATTTACTATCGTAATACGTTACTTGTTACGGTTTTAAGAGCTATTCGCTAGGTAAACGCCGTATGTTAATAAACTAAAGCTAGACGAGGAGAAAAAGGAAGAAAGTATGCCCTATAGGCCGTACTTACGATAGCTAGCCTTATCCGCCGTAGGTGCTAATTACGTACTAAGCCCTAGTACTAGCTAGGGCCCTATTATAGGTATAATTCATTATATAAGGTCCCCTTCCGGAAAAAAAAAAAAAAAAGTACGCCCTACCGCCCTTTTCTTCGGCGTTTAGCCCTAATAACCTAACCCGTTTTTCTCCGCGCGCCTTAGGATACGTATCGTATCCTTAGGTATTACTTCCGTTCCCCGGGGTACGTTACTCGCTTCCCGGGTTACTACCTCCGCCTTTTAGGGTGCTAATATACCCCTGGGCCTCCTTCCTTTCCTCCCCGGCGGTTATACTATATCCCGGGGTCTCTTCCTCCTCCGCCGTTTCCTTCCCGGGGCCTTTCGTTTCCCGGGATACTATACCGGGCGCCTTTAGCCTCCCGACGCTCTTCTTCCGGGTCTTACTCTTCCCCGGGATCTCCTCCGTAGGTCTCCGGGGTTTCTTCGCTTACCGGGTACGCTTTCCCGGTAGTTACTTCCTCCCGAAAGCCCCTTTCCTTATCCTCTTCTTCCTAGGGTACTACCGGCGCTCCGGGTACTATCTAGCTCCCCCGGTATGCTATTTCCCTAGGGCCGCCGTTTCCGTTTCCGTTTACCCGGGAGCTCTTCGCGCTTTCGGGTACTTCGTCCGTTTCCCGGGTTACGTTATCCGCTCCCCGGGCTACTAGTTCCGATCCTTTTATTAAACCGTAAGGCTTTAAAGCCCCGCGTACGAAGTCGCGTATGGGCGCCTATTAGGTCTAGCCTAGCTCCCGTAGCTACGGGATCGTCGGTTCGTTTACCGCCGTTTAAAGACCCTCGTTTATCTTCCGTTAGCGGATCCCGTCGGATCCGCTAGAGGACGTACTAGAGTACGCCGTTCGATTCGTTTAAAGACTATCGTCTATCTTCCGTTAGCGGAGCTAAGGGCTCCGCCTAAGAGCGTATTAAGGCGCGCTCTTTCGTTTACTATCGTTTAAAGGCTAAGGGCTTATCCTTTCGTTTAAAGGCCAGGGGTCTATCCGTATTACTAACGAAACCGCGAGGCTCCGCCGGAAGACGTACTAAGGCACGCCGTTCCTATTCGTTTAAAGACTATCGTCTATCGTATACCGCTAACGGAATCTAAAAGGCTCCGCCTAAGGACGCGCGGGGGCGCGCCCTCCCGTTTACTACTAGCGCCGCTAGCGCCTTTATCGATACTACCGAGAAACCGGTAGTCTTTCCGAAAACCGCTAGCACCTTTAATACCTTTATCGAAGTACTATTATTCTAGCCGAAACCTTATCGTATTTCCTGCTATTTTAACGCCGTTCCTTCCTTATATTACGCCTCGGGCGTTCTTAATTCGTCGACGAGCGTTATACTCTAACGCTTTACTATCTTTCTCCGGAAAAAAATTTTCCGCCGTTTTTAGCCGTATTTTTCGTCGATTTCGTCGTTCTTTTATCTCGAAATTACCGTTTAAACTACGTTTTCTCGGGGCTATCGGTCGTTTTCTTTTCGGGTTATCTTATATCGGTCCTCTTTCGTAGGTACTACCGGCGCGTATGTCCAAAAGCTAATACCGCCTTTCCGACTACTAACTTTACTAACTACTTCTTCCTTAGGTACTAACATCGCCTTTCCTATTACTAATTCCGCGTATTAAGATATACTAATCTCGTCGGTCCTCTTCGTAGGAGCCGCCGGCGCGTATATCTAAAAGCTAATACCGCCTTTCCGACTATTAACTTTACTAGCTACCGCTTCCTTTAGTACTATATCGCCGTTCCTATTACTAATTCCGCTCGCTAAAATATTAATCCGTAAAACGATAAAAGAAGGTTAGTCTAGCTTTTTATTACGGTTTTAAGAACTATTCGCTAGGTAAACGCCGTATATTAATAAACTAAAGCTAAACGAGGAGAAAAAGGAAGAAAGTATACCCTATAGGCCGTACTTGCGATAGCTAGCCTTATCCGCCGTAGGTACTAATCACGTACTAAGCCCTGGTACTAGCCAGGGCCCTACTATGGGCATAGCTTATTATATTACTTACGCGTAAAGCTACCTCTTTAACGCTTAAACTATATACCCGAGGCTACGCGGTAGTAAAATATAATCGATAATAAGTAATATTTAATCGCGGAACCGGTTAAAGCGTCTTAAGCGTAGGATCGGATCGGGAATCCTATATAAAATTAACGGTAAAGTATAAACTATTAATATAAAATACTAACCTAAATAAAACGGCGTATATTTTCGCGGTAAGAGAAATAATTTTTTATAGATATAACGTAATTTCGTAAATTAATAAATTACTCGATAGCTTAAATTCTTCCGTAAGTACGACATTCTTTAACTTAAAGCGATTCTATCTTAATTAAACTAAGGATAAATTATAAGAATAAATTATAAGATACGAAGAAGAGTAAGAATTATATAAATAGGAATAGAAACGTATAAATAAACGCGTTAATAAATATACGTAGGGATTTTAGGGGATAATAGGGATACGTTAAATAAGAAAACCTTTATTTATCCCGCCGTTTTTATTAGGTATACGTATTTTTAAAGACCTATAACGCGTTTTTTAACTAATAAAAATAAAGTTTCCCCTAAATAATACCCCTTTATAGGGTTATTTATAGGGTTATTTATAGGGTTATTTATAGGGTTATTTATAGGGTTATTTATAGGGCTATTTATAGGGGTATTTAACCCCGTAATTAATTAGTATGACAGGGGGTTATGCGTATTATAACTATCCTCCGGATAGGAATATCTACCAACGTAGTACCTATATCTTGATATAGCGTGTTATTATTGCTAGACCGTCGGCATTGGGTACCTACTATTAGGTGGTGGGTGTGCTATAGCGTGCTATACCTAGCTTGTATTGTAGTGCACTACGTGGCTCATAGGCTCACCTACGCCCAATCTTCCCACTTTATCCGTGCCGTAGGCATGTAGTTCGGATATCTTCATTCGACCTCTCCTCTCGAGGCGCCGCACCCTTCATCGTACGTATTTCGAATCCCGCCATCTCCGAAAGTAGGATCACATGGGAATACATCGACACTATGTAGGTAGGATGTGAGACACATACACCTGCCCACATGCTCACCATCAATAGCCCAACCCATACCGAGCATCATCATAATCTTATGACCCGTTTGGGACGCACAGCTTGTACTCCGGCATCGGTCCAGGCGAACAGAAGAGGGGCGGGAGGCTAGAGGAATACTTGGATGTTCGCACGTCAGGCACCTCTAGGGAGTTCCGCGCCTTGCACAAAACTGTTTACACAATAACTTGGAGAAAATCTGCCAAAAAATACTCAACATTGAATCGCCATCACGGGCCGATCGCACTCGTAAGCTCGTGGTGCCCAGGCGTTTATCACCTCACCACCTACACCCTTGTATGTATGTACACGCCGAGGTTGCAAGACAATCTACGTAGGTATTTATTCCACATCTAACCGGATGCGTCGCTGACCCCTTATACCTAAGTATGTACGTCTCCTAACTGCAGCGACGCAGGGACCAGCCAAGTTGCTGGATGCAGGTAGGTAATAATACCTACCTACCGGGATTGATTTAGGTATACAACCTACCCAACCCGCCCGCCGACTCGACTCGATCTCCCAGCTTACTCACTTACACACCCCTCCTACCCCGTCCGCAAACCCCTCTCCACGAACGAACCCCTTAGGATCCCCCGCCATGGCCGCCGCGGACACGTCCCGCGACCGGGCCTTCGTGCCCTTCTCGGAAGCGATGCGAGTCGAGCCGCTGGACTCGCACACGTACCGCGTCGACCTCGACGCCAGCTTCTGCATCGGCGCCGGTAAGCCGCGCCCCGCCCCGTCCCCCCGCGTCCCGTCCTCCCCGCCAACGCTGCTGCTGCCCCCCAGTCCCGAACGGCGGCTACTCGGCGTCGTGCGTGCTGGCCGCCGCGCGCGCGCACCTCCGGGCGCGGGGCCAGCCCGACACGCTGGCCGCGCACTTCGAGTTCCCGCGGCGGACCGCGCCGGGCCCCGCCGTCGTCGTCGTCGAGGACGTCCGGCTGGGCCGCCGGCTGTCGACGCTGCACCTGAGCCTGTGGCAGGACGCGGGCGCGGGCGCGGGCCTGCTCCCCCGCGCGCCCTGGGTCGACCGCGCGGCCGCCCGCTGCGCCGTCCTCGCCTACGCCACCCAGGTCGACCTGCGGGCCTTCTCGGGGCTCAGCGCGCCCACGGGCTACGCGAGCACGGCCGCCGCCGCGCTGCCGCCGCCGCCCCCCTCGGCCGCCGCGCTCGCCGCCGGCACCGACCCCCGCTGGGCCGAGGCGCGGCCGCCGCGGTCCCCGGCGATCGGCCTGTCGTCGCTGCGCAACTGGCGCTTCTTCGTGCCGCGCGGCGGCGAGCCGCTCGCGCCGGGCGTGCTCGACATGTGGGTGCGCGCGGCCAGCGGCGAGCGCGTCACGCGCGCCGCGCTCGCCTACGTCGTCGACTCCTTCCCCTACAACCTGCACGCGTTCCTCGCGGCGCCCGAGGCGCGCGCGCGGCTCGCGCCGCCGCGCGACCGCGCCGACCGCGAGCGCGCCAGCCTGTGGTTCCCCACCGTCGTGCTGGACCTCCAGACCGCGGCCGCGCTGCCCGACGACGGCGTCGACTGGCTCGCCGTGCGCGTCACGTCCAAGCTGATCAAGGACGGCAAGTTCGACCTCGACGTCCTCGTCCGCGACGTCCACGGCGAGATCATCGCCTCGAGCCGTCAGATCGCCCTCATCGTGAGCTCCGAGAGGAACACCGGCGAGAGAGCGCCCTCGGCCAAGGCTTCGCTGTGAGAATTGGTCGATTCCCAGACACCGCACGAGAGGGATGTCCATTCGGGCGTGCCCGCTGCACCAATCTAATTCCGTGGTGTTACGACTCATTAAGACATCTAGGCACATCGCCCCCAAATGCGCGGGAGAGAAAGTCGGCGAAGGGGCCAGGAAGTTCGCCTAAATTTACGCTTATTTTCCTCTTCTCCGCCGCTCGACGAGCTCCTTACTTCCCACCCCTCAACAACCTCAGCGCCCCTCAGCGCACTGTTTCGATCTAAAAATACATGTATATCGGTATGTTGTTAAGCTGAAGATTAGTTGTGTTTTAATAGGCCGTCCTGGTTTCGCTTCGATAATAGCCCATCATAGACACCATCACAATCTAGGCAGGGAGGGAAACGTCGTGGCTGAATCCCATCAAGAGTAGATAGGCCGATATATAAGGATTGATATCGGATAGCGTTGCAATCCCTATTGATTGGATAATACCCCAACTATTCTGCACCCAGAAACGATACTGTCGCAGCGATACTCTACGAATATCAACAGTGGAAGCTATTGTGCATGGTAACATAGGAACGCGTGGGAACAAGCTGCTACACGTTCCTCCGAGGACGGACGAACCAGAGAGTTGAGAGATTGTCGAGACACAGTTGAAATCTTGACGGATCTCGACGTGCCTTTCTCGTTTACTGGAAATATTTGTCGTGGCTAATGCCATGCCGGCAGCAACTGCGTAAAAATCGAAAACAGGAGCTCGACGTAGTGGTGCGCTGGCATAGTATCGGGCCGTGTAAAACCCCAACTTGATTGAAAAAAAAAAAGAAGGGGATCGCTCGTATCACTGAAAGGTGGACAATACGCGAAAAGGGCAAAAATAAGATATGCCGACGCAGGCCTGATTCGAACAGACGCTCCCGAAGGAACAAGATTTCTAGTCTTGCGCATTAGACCACTCTGCCACTGCGCCTTGAGATAGTACTTGCCAGGTAGGTAATAAATACCCTAGCAATATCAGTCCACAGCCGCCCCACAACTACCGCCCAACCTTAGGACAGGCGCCACCTTCCAACCTCCTCGGACCCGTCGGCCCGTGATGCTAAATCGAGAGCAATAGGACGGCCTCCATATAATGGCTAGTTAGGTTTCGTCGACAGCTTCACCTAGGGCCATGAATACGTCGCAGGATGGCTAGCTTACGGCATGCACAGGAGAAATTTAATGATTCATTCAAAAACGCGAAGGAAAAAAAACCCCTCTCAGATCACTGTTCACCGAATATGGTAGCCGTAGTAATGCTAACGCCTTTGTCTTTTTTTTTCCCGGACCCTAAACGGGTATGCTCACTCCAAGTTGTGATCTCTCGGCCCATCCAGTATCCGTGTTTCCGCTCCTCCTCATTAGATAAAAACCGGCACATCGCCGGGTTACAAGTATGAATACAACGTCCGAGAATATATTCTCTTCTCATCCAGGATATATCCCTTCTCACAATCATCACTGCGGTCCCCCACCTCGAGGTCTCTTCGCGCCGTTGCCTATGTCCGAGTCTCCGCGAGGACGTTTACCGCCAGGCTGGAAGGTGTCCACCGACGGATTGAGACTCGATCGACCCTGCGCGCCTCCACGGCCGCCACGGTTGGGCGGCGCTCCGCCTCGAGCACCTCCACGTTGAGGCCCGCTCGGTTTACGAGTGCCCGGCACCGGGAGACCCGTAGGTTTGGTTGGAATTTGGGGAGCCGCTACGGGGAGGGTAGACGGCTGTGCTATATTCGATCCGGGCAGGGAGCTGGGCATTGGTGTCGCCTGGGAGAAGGGATTCGCAGCCGCAGGTGGCGGGTTTGCTGGTTCTTGCTTGACGCTCACAAAGGGATTAGGTAGAGCCGGGGCGCTGTTCGGCACCGTTCCCGGCTTAGGGATACCGCTGGGCAGGGTGGCTCTCGGTTCTTGGACATCCGGACCTGCGTTTACGCTGGGCGATTGGCGGCCAGAAGCTAGCTGGCTGTTAGCAACGGGGGAAAATATCGCGGAATCACAGGACGAGTATACATACCCGTTGTCGAAATGGTCGACGCTGGCGCGGCTGACGACGGCGCGGGAGCTGGTGGTGGTGGCGCTCTCGCGACTTTCGCTATCTCCCACACCTCAGCTACCGGTCGTTGCGGAGTTTCCCTTGCCGCCGTCTCCACGACTCCTAACTTAGCAGCAACGGCGCGGGCCTTGTTCTCGGCCATGTTCAATTTCAGATTACTCTTGGACGTAGCCAGTTGAGTCGCCGACTCTCGAGCTTGGGTGAGCTTTTGCTCCCATTCCACCTTCATCGTAGCTTCATGCTCCTCGCGCATTTTCTTGGTCTCGATCGCGAGCTTGTTCTTAATGTTATTCTGAATAATGCTCTTAATCGTGCTGTTGTTAGAGACGAGGTCCCTAATCTCTTTGTCATTCAACGCGCCGAGGTCGGATTTGGATGTCGTGGGCGTTCCCGTGTGAGTCTCCGAGGCAGTCGGTCGAGAAGGTGTAGCAGGTGGCTTCATGTCGCGAGCGGCACCACCATGTTCTGCCTCTAATATCTTTCGCTCTTGCTCCAAGCGAAGTTTAAAGTCTGCCTCAATCTTCTCAACATCTCGCTTCATCTGGACCTTGTCCTCTTCCCACTGAGCTTTGTAATCGGTTAGGCGCTTGTTCAGCGACTCCTTCATCTTATCGCTTCTCGCCTTCACAATCTGATCGTGCTTTTCGTCTAGCTCTTTGGCCTTGGCTTCCCATTCGGCGGCTTTAGCTGAAGCTTCCGAGATCCTCTCTTCCAGAGCCTTTCGTTCGTCATCTGAGAGGGGAGCCGCCAGAGGCGTATCCCTCTCCGAAGTGTCCACCCCATTCTCCGTAGGTATGTCGCCATTGGCCACCCTGGTCTGCGCCTCAGAAATGGCCTGGTCTCGCTCGCTGATCGCGGAATCCAGCTGTTCACGAGCGGTTTGTAACTCTTTTTCGACTGCCGCCTTCTGCGAGGACACGGTATCCAGATCCGATCGCACTGTGGCCAATTGAGCTTGCAAGTCGGAAAGAACCTGGCTATTGGGTGAATTTGCGGGAGCAGAAGGCGTAGTGTTCTTCCTCGCCTCCTCTTGAAGTGCGTCAACCTGGCGTCTGAAGCTGTTGATTTGCTCCTCCAGACTAATTCTTGCCTTTCTGGACGCCTCCAATTCCTCCTGGGTAGCGGAGAGTTGGCCGGTGACTTCGTTCAGCTTCGAATGAAGCTGGTCCCTCTCCACAACTACTTCGTTCCTCGCGGCAGTGAGAGTTCTCGATCGCTCCTTGGCCGAATTGACGAGCTTCTCCCGCGTCACCGACCAGTTGGCATCCTTCTCCTCGATCGACTTTTCAAGTTCGGTTATCTTCTCGCGAAGTGGTGTTTCGGCTGCCTGTAGCGCATTTCGTTCCGTCTCCAGTTTGGCAACGGTCTGTTTAAGTTCCTCCACCTCCGCCGGATCGGTTCTTCCATGTTTCGACAAGATGTCTTCCGTTCTCTTCTGCCACCGATCACGATCCTCGTGAAGCTGTTTCATCTCGGCTTCCTTAAATGCCTGTTGGCTCTGAAGCTCCTCGATCTGTGCTTCGAGCGGTTGAATGGTAGCCTCCAACTCCGAGATCTTAGCGGTTTTCTCGGCCAGCTGGGCCTGTGCTTGACGGGCTTCCGCTCGCAAAGCAGCGCTACTCTCTCTGAAGAGGTTAAGCTCCTCTAACTTGCTCATGAGATCCTTGTGGGCAGTAGAGCTTCGATCGTTGTCGCTTTGCGAGCGGCGCTCTTGCTCGAGTTTGAGCCTAGCCTCGTCAAGCTGTGATTGCGCATATTCAAGTTGCTGCTGGAATCTCTTGGCTTCCTGGACCTTGATATCGTATTGTACCTCCAAGATCTCCTTTTCACGCCGCAGATAGTTGCTCAATTCTCGGAATTTATCTGCATCTGAACTGGAAGGCTGCGCGGCGATCGTCTCGAGTGACTCGTCGGTCGAACTGCGGTTCTGCTGTAGTGCAGAAACCTGCTTCGTCACATCCTCTAGTTGTTGATGTAGTAGTTTGTTTTGCGCATTAGCATCATCTCTACGAGCACGAAGTTCTGAAATCTCCCGCTCGAATCGCTGACGCCGTTCGTCCCAGGAACCTTCACTCTGCAGCAGAGTGGCTTTGGCCGATTCCGCATCCGCTTTCCAAGTCGCCGCAGATGTCTTCAATTGGTTGTACTCGGCGCGCAGGGTTGACAGCGACTTCGCGGTTTCTCCGTGCTTCATGACCTCATTCTCGTAGGCCTGCTGGGCATTTCCTGCGATCTCAGCTTGCGCGCGAAGATCTTGTTGGTGGAACTGCGAAGACGCCGTATATCTCTCCTCGTCTTCCTTCAGGCGCTTAAGTTCGTCCTCCAATATAGCCTTCTCGTCCTGGAAACGCCGAGCCACCTCGGCTTGGGAATCCCGTAAGTTTGATAATTCTCCGTTAGATCTTGCCAGTTCCGAAGATAGATCCTCAACGCGCTGCTCGAGCTCCTTGATCGTGGCATCCTTCGATGAAATGGCGGCATCCATCTCTTGCTGATATTGTTCCTGGGTAGAATTCATTCTTTCTAGCTCTTCTTCCGATGCTTGGCTCAGTTCCCTGTAGCGCTCGGCCTGGACTTGAGCATTTTCGAGGTGAGACTTCGTCATCTCCAGATCGCGTTTGAGATCCGTCACTTCGTGGATTAGTTCTTGCACCCGCTCATCAGTGTCGGGTTGGGCGACGCCTTGTTCGGATGGGGTAGCGAGAGATCCTGGCCTAGGAGTGGGCCTTGGTTGAAGCCGCTCCGCGCGCTCCTCCACACTTCGCAGTTGAATGGCCAGTTCGTCAGATCTACTCTGAAGATGGTCGCGGCTTGTCTTCGTGGCAACAAGCTCTTCCCGGATCTGACTGAGGTTCGAGGTAAGTTCGTCGATCCGTTTCTGGAACTGCTGAGCGTCATATTCCTTTCGAAGCTGTGTCTTCTTTGCTTCATCAGCTTCGTCAGCCAACTTGCGCTTGGTGGCGCTTAGATCGCCCTCGAGAGTCTCAATCTGAGTCTGGAGGCGCCGTTTTGCTTCGGCTTCGGCGAGTTCGCGCTCATTCTGAAGGCTCTGCTGCGTAGCTAGCAGCCCATTGAGACGCGCCTTCTCCTGCATCAAGTTTTCGTTATCCTGACTCAACCGATCCTGGATATCCTTCCATAATTTCTTTTCAGCTTTGAGGTTGGCATTCTCGCTACGCATACTCTCGAGGAACCCCCTCGCCTCGACCAGATCCTCGGCGACTTGCTGAGTGCGGATGTCCTGCTTGGCAGCGGATTCGGACATGGCCTGATGCCTCCTCTGTAACTCCTTGTTCTCGCTTTGTAGACCCGCAAAGTTAGATTGGAGGATTTCGTAGCGCTCGGAAGCTAGAGATAGCTGGCTTTGTAATTTGGAAACTTCTGCTTGGAGCGAATTCCTCTCCGCCGAAAGCTTCTCTATCTGCTCCTTCATGGTCTTCCGGTCCGCCGTCTGTTCATTTCGGTAGAGGTCGAAGTTTTGTTGTAGATCCCGAAGCAGGCTGGTGTAATCCGAGTTGTCGTCGTTTGCAGCTGGATTGTTTTCGATGCTGGCAAGAACGCCATCTTGTGTCGGACGACCCAAGACCGAAGCAGCTTCATCGGCCGATGCCCTTGACTCGACTATGCGACGGAACATGTCCCGCTCCTTGGTGATGCTTTCGGTCTTGATCTGGAAGCCTCTGAGCGTGTCCCGGAAGATCTCCAGTTCTTGTTCCAATCGAATGCGCTCCTTGTGGTCCTCCATGGCTTGGCTCTTAGCAGCGATCGCCTCCTCGTTCTCCATTCTCTCCGCAAGTTCGTGAGTGACCTGGAGGAGTTGTTCATTTCTTTCCTGGAGCTCCTTCATATTTTTGAACACAACAAGACGCTCGAGAATCGAACTGTGGGCATTGAGTTCTTCGTCCGCAGCTTGGTCGTCGATCTGACCCCTCTCTAGCCTTTGCAGGGCATGCTGCTCCTCCAATGTGAGCTTCTCTGCACCTTTCTCAAGACAGTGGACGTTGAAGATGAGCATCTGAATTTGTGCGCTCAGGCTCTTGACCTGGTATTGCAACAGTTTCCTTTGTTTCTCGGCATCCGCGGCGACTGCCTCGGCCTTGCGTGCTGCCTTCTTGGAGATATCCCGCTCTCGGAAGCTTTCGTCAGAGAGATGAGACATAGTCTTGATTTCCTGTTGCAGTCGGTCGTTCTCGGCTTGGAGTTCATCGAGCTCTGGCCGCTTGGCCTCCAATTGATCAATGACGTCGTCTAACTCCTTGGCAAGATTGCTGCTACGGAGCTTCTCCGTATTCAGCTGCCCCTTGACCTTATAGAAATCTTCCATCAACTGTGTCGTAGAAAGCGCCTTTCGCGTGGAGCCAGGCGTAGCGAATGGGGAGCCGGCGCGGTACATCGATCCGTTCAACGGCCGCGGAGTCTGCGGCGCAGACCCAGGCTGTGCGGAAGACGCACCGGCGATAATGGCTTCGAGACGGCCAACCTCATCTCGAAGAGACTCGACGGTCTGCGAGAGCTCTTCCTTGTCTAAGTTAACTCTGGCAACTTCTTCGCTGACTCGTCGGACCTTGTCTTCACATTCCCGCTTGATCTGTTCCTCCCTAGCCTCCACCTCCTGGACGCGTTTCTTATGGGTAAGAGTCTGCTGCTCCTTCAAATTGACCAAGCGCCGCAGACTATCGCATTCTTGCCTAGCGTCTTCTTCTTTACGGCCGGCGGCTTCTTGCAACTGCTGCACCCGAGTGAGGGAGTCCTCGACTTTCTTCTGAGCTTCATCTAACCGCTGTCGAAGTTGCTGCTCTGTACGTTTGAGGGATTCGATATTGGAAGCAGCGTCGTCATTGAGGCGTTGGAGCTCGGCGATTCGAGCGCCCTTCTCTTTGCGATACTTGAGCGCTTCAGCAGATTTCGTCTTCAATTCTTTTTCGAAGAACTCGCTGCTGTTCTGAGCCATCTGTAACTGCTGCTGTAGGGATTGCTCCCGGAACTTGGAGCTGTTGGCGGCATTGTTCGCATTTTGGACAGATTGCTGCAGCGCCGTGATCTCCTGGCTCAGCTTCAGGTTCTTCTGATGTAAGGATTGCAGCTCCTGAGAAAGCGCCTCGTTGGCGGAATTCTTGGTATCGATGATGGCAAGAGATTCTCGATTCGAGGTTTCTAGGGAGGCAACGCGAGCGCGGAGTTTGTCGATTTCGGATTGGGAAGTCGAGCTAGACGATTTGATAGCCTGCAACTCATTCTCCAGAGCTTGTCGTCTCGTCTCTGCGAATCGATGTGAATATTTACCACGTTAAACAGGCGGGGATACGACAAGGGGCGCCTCGTACCTTCATCCTTAAGATTCTTCCGGAGATTCTCGACATCCTTCAGAGCCTTCTTGGCCGCCTCGCTGCTCACGTCACGTCGAGCTTCCGCACTGCGCACCGATGTCTCGAGCTCTACCTCCAACTGAAGTTTCTGGGTGAACAAGGCATCGTACTCGTGGCCCTTGGCAGCTACGGCAGACAGGAAGGCCCTAACAAGATCGGCGGTGGGATCGGTGGCGATAGTTGTGAGATTAGTCTCGGGGAAGCCCAGATGGCTAGCTAGGTAGCCGAGGTCGACCTCTGCGGCTGCCATCTCATCAAACACGCGACCGCGACGTGGCCATCAGAGAGAAGGCCGAAATACAGATAGGATGCGGGAAACAGGACCCGTAGCAGCGGTGACTAGGGCGATATCGACGCTATCGCGGGGAGGAGGAGAGCCGGCGCGCAATAGAAAGGAAGGTAAGGCGATGAAGGTAGAGGATGAAGAACCAGGGAAAAAAAAGGAAGGAAAAGAAAAAAAAAACTAAGCAAAGGAATGAAAATGGGGTTGACCAGACTGTGATTAACGGATCAATTAGTCGGACAACACCAGGATGCAAATACAGTCAGGTGTCCCGAGTGATGAAAGAATCAACAGCCGGAGATGCGGGTGTGGATAGGCGGAATGGAGATGGAAAATGGATGGGAGAAGGGTTTGTTGTCAAGGCTAAGAGTGTCTCTTTGTCGATAGAGCGAGGTAGAGGAACCGCTGTTTTCGGCACAGGCGTTGGCGCGACGAGGCTACCTAGGAGGTACCTAAAGTCACCCACAGCACACAACCTCCGGCCGGTATCCAGATCCGTACCGAGTACTTTCTCTCTCTTCAGGACCTAGGCTAGGGCCGGTAGGGAATTGTCTACCCATTTAGGTAACTGATACTTGTCCCACGTACTACCTAAAAGCGCTAAGAGAGCTTTGCGCACAAGACCCCATCCCTTGGCACTGCGGCCCAATCAGAGGCGCCCCTCAAAGCAAGGTACTTTCAGATTGCTACGCGATGTCTACATTAGGGAAGTACCTGAGAATCCCACTTGTGCAGGTACTCTACTTACATAATCCATACATCATGGCCAGCAACCATCCGCACTCCGGTGCTACATATTATTATGACTTCAACTTCAATTATACATGCGATCACCTAGACCGAATCCATCTCGCTTTGTCGCTTCTATGCCGAACCAAAACGGCGGGTATCGTCGCTGAGCCGGATATGCCCATATCAAGTTGCCGTAAGCGCGAAAACCAAGCACACGCGGCCCCAGCGCAGACTCATCCCTCCCTCTCTCTCATCTCTCGAGTTCTCATCCCGACAGCTTCATAGACGTAGCCATGGCGTCAGAGACTTTGCACCGTAAATATGCACATCACAGGGTCACGACGCCTTATCGCGGCTGATAGCGACTCCGGGCAACCCAGCTTCACGACGAGCTCAGCTCTCGGTCCGAGGACGGGCCTAAGAGTAGCCGATGCGGTCATTAGCTTGGTTGTCGGAGCCGTTCATCTCCGGCACCCTCTCATACAACTTCAAGGTGCTCTTTTCTCAACATCTACGCGCTCAGTGGGCCCGGGGCCCACCATCCATCTCGTGGTATTGAGTTACCGGCCCCGACTGCCAGCTCATGCCCTGGAGCTCTGACCTCGGTTGCCCGTAGGCTTCGTATGTCGGCGGCTGCTGCTGGCCCGGTGCTTCGTATATCGGTTGGCCGAGCGCTTCCTGTCCGCCATATGGCGAATGCGGGCCGCGCATTTGCGACGGGTTCGCGCTCTGTGCTTGCAGCTCTTGCGTCTGCGAATACATATTCTGATTGTGCAACTCCGATGGCTGAAGGCCTATCGGCGACGGCGGGAAAGCGCCTTGACTTGGCAGCTCAGATTTGGGAGGCGAACTGTGCGCTGAAACCGGGGACACGTTGTCCATCCGCGTCGCCGCGTGAGCCTCCAGCGTGCTCGGGCTAGGGCTGGTCGGTCCAGGCGCAGGCACGAATCCAGACCCGTCGAGCTCCGGCTTGCCGCCGCCAACCTCGGGGCCAGCAGCCGAAGCGACATTGGGGTTTTTGTTATGTTGTGCTCGCCGTCGAAAGATGAACACGGCAAGGCCGACGACTATAAGACCGCCTACCACGCCAACCACGGCGCCTACGATCGTGCCCGTGTTCGAATTGGCACCTGAATTCGTGCTTGATGTCCCGCTGTTCGATTCACCAGATTGATCAAGGCTTCCCGAGTCTCCCAAGCCTCCTGGCACTCCCGGCACTCTAGCGCTTCCGGTACTTTCGGAGGCTCCAGTTCGTGTCGGCCCCAAATCCCCGCCACCCCCCGTGGCACTCGTTTGGGCGACTATCACAGACCGTTAATGCAAAGAGGCTAGACAGCCCGTGTCGCAAGACTTACCCGAGTCGGTAACCCCAGCAGGTGTTATTGAACCCCTAGCCGCACTACAGTACAAGCTGAAAACCTGCAAGGCCGAGCTAATATCTTCTGTCGCAGTTGAGTCGCAGTAGTATTTCACGTTCGATGTAACATCGTTGGAGAGGACGCCGGGCATGCCGTTCTTGATGCAGGCACACGACGCGAGGGCTTGCGGGCCTGCAGGGCATAATTTACGTGTTTGCTGGAAGACATACGTTAGCCGCCGAACTACCGCCCAGCATGCGAGGGTGCCAGTCTTACACTCAATATACCATACGATACCGCAGTCCGCGCACAGGGGGCCAGTGAACTGTACTCGGGAAGTGCCGTGATGAAATACGTCACTAGCATCTATGTCAGCCAATCTTCCTAAGAGATAAGTTCGGTAGGTCGCTCACTGTCTCCCGGAGGGTTGCTCGTCCTCGGAAATGACGATGTTCCGTCCACCAATCCGCAGTAACCCGCCAATAAAGCCTGTGCCGATTCGATGTCCGCCGTTTGCGAAGAACACGACGATCTCACCGAGGTATTTATTCGCTGGCTGGCCAGTAGAGAGTTCTGGTTCTTTTTGCATACGCACGATGCGAGAAGCCTCGGCTCGTTGGGACATAGGCTGTACGTCTACTCTTCCATGTCAGACGCGATACGGAGAACACCAGGTCCGGGTTCGAACTGACCATGCTCCTGAACGATGTTAGCGGCGATCTCTCTTGGAAGGATATAGGACTCAAAGGAAAATATCGGACTCACTGAACGGCGTACGACAGCCCAGAAGCAGCGCAGGGCGCGAGGTCATGATACTGCGAAAAGTCGGTTATATATTGTGTCACTGGGTTCGTCGGCGTCGGGAAGGGCGTTATCGCATCCTGGTTGCAATACGCATTATACACAGTAGCAGCGCTCGACTGGTCCTCGGACGCAGTCGCGCCACAGCTATACCTTACCGAGCTCGAGATTTGCGACGCTATTGAGGCAAAGTTATTGTTCTTCGTACACACGCAGGACTGAAGCTCGGTGACTGCTTCGGGGCAGTTTTGGTATGTCTGCATTTGAACGTTCGCGGAGACCGCTGAAGCAGCACATGGTGCCTGGAGATTATCAGCATCGTTCCGCAGTATTCAGTAGTTGCTCAAACCGGGCCCTTGGCGTCCATGGTCATGTAATAGTTCTACTAGAACCATTCGGTCGTGTGTCTCCCCTTTTTCTCCTATCCTATTTTCCTCATACGGTTGCCTGTCATTCTTACGAAGGAACAATCCCCAAACCAGAATATAAAAAAGCCAACTTACTAGCATAGTAAAGATCGAGAGATCAGTGACGTAGACTATTTCCTGCGCCATAACGAGCGACGCGCTCCAAGGCGCCCACATGAGGAAACCCCATGCTAGCAACATTCTCTTTGCCATATTATACAAACACTTGTTAAATGAGCGAAGAAACCCGAATGGGCGCGCGACGAATAAACGCGGGAAAGTCACCGAGTTGGTGAAGAAGATGAAGTTGGGCGGTGTCCCACGCTTTGGAGTCAGGCGTCGCGATGATCGTTGGTGGCGAAGCAAGCACGGTTCTTTCTCGTCGACATCACGTACGGGTACACTAGCTTTATTCTGCCTCGAGTCGCGCGTTCTCATCCGCGATGCCTGGCAGGCATTGCTCGTGGAGCGCCCTGCCCCTGTGAGCTGAAAGCCGCGACAGGGTACCCAGGCAACGACAAGGACGCCATCGCCACGAGCTAGGCGAAGCTGAATGTCGACCAGTCTTGGTTCAGCCACTCAAGGCCAGTTGATGGGCGAATTTCGTGCCCACCCACGCCGTAAGTTTCTGGCTCCATTAGCTGCAGATCGAAAGCGACTCTCCCCCGGACTCGACCCATCACCTTCGATGGCTCGTACCCTGATCCCCCCAACAACGACGAGAGACACGATGCCCGCATCGAAGGGGCATTTTATTTCCTCTCCTTTATTATTTAGCTTCTCTTATATGTCCACCCTACGGGCATGCGATTCCTCAATACACAAATGATTCCCGTGTTTGTCCTGGCTCGAAGATAAACCGGCCGGTCGAACGCGGAGTTGGGGATGACCCGATGATAGATAAGTTAGGCGGACGTCAGCCACCAGGAAGTCCCACATGCGCAGAAGTTCCCTGATGAGGTCGCCGGAAGCAAATTGACAACGATGAGAACCAATGACGATGATGATCCCGCGAATTAAGGAGTGACGGCTTGGGGGCGCCACAGCAGAGACAAAAGGATAAAAGACCGCCTCCCCATCCTAAATCAGTTCCTTCTCGACGCGATAATCGCGCGTCCTGCAGATGGAAGAGACCTCAGACCCAGCCCTCCTTGATCCTCATCGCGTTGCTCACCACATGCGCAGAATATTACTGCGTAGTATGTCTTGACACGCCCAGCTATGCTATGTATGAACGCCATCACGGTCTTGAGTGTCAGCGGGGGCGTGCTCCCGCCCAGCAGAGTGAGCCTTGCGCTATGTCACCCAACTCTATAGACAGGGCCCCGTGTGATGAGGTCGGTAGATGAAATTGAACTAAGCTATTAATACGGCTAACGGTGTTGTGGATCGGCACATTTCGCTGGTGGGTAACCGAAGCGTAGACACATACGCCCAGACTCTGTGATTAGACATCACGTTCCTGGCACGATATCAGTAGACAGTTGGGTGCAAGTGATACCAATCATGATTATTCGTACGGAGGGTTGGATGTTATAAAATGGCTATCTGGGCTGACGGGGACAGCGAAGAGAAATGCAAGCTGATAACGACTTGAAGACATCAAGACCTGAGAAAGGAAAGTGTCGCGATTGGCTATAGAGAGAGGAAACAGGAGTTGGCACTTGATATAATAAATAAACAGTCCACTGAGCAAACTGCAGCCTTCAGCCTCAAGCCCCCTTCCATGTGGACATAAAAGGAGAGTCAAGAAGGGGTTGAGGCTCTACTAAGTGTACTTACCCGACGTGGGCTTGCTTACCGATCTACTGCGGGAACCTCCAAATTGATGTTTCGTCCCAGATCTCGTTGCGTTGCAACACCCCTCACCGGAAATGGCCCAACTGATCCATTGCGCTCGATAAAGAGTATAGATAGGTGAAGAGATAAGAGCAAACAAGTCAACGGCGACATCATCTGCACCTCAGCGCATCGGCACGTGACTGGTCTCCCTCCTCCGCCCTCTACGAACAGGTTATCGACCTAGGTTTGACAAAACCCAGTGCGGAGCCGCCTGCACGCCGGCCCGAGAGCCAGATCTCTGTTCATCTTCGCCATGGCCTACGCAATCCGGCACCTGCTCGGCATGCCTAACCGCGCGAACCTCGTCGCAGCCGTAGCGACGATGCGCCTCCCGCCTCTGGGCCGGACCCCGATTTCGGCACTGCGGCTACCGGCGTCCGGAGGAGCCCTACGTCTGTATTCGAGCGCCCGCGTGAAGGACATGGGAGACGCCGATATCAACGCGCTGAGGGCGCAGCAGGCTAGGCTCATGGACACGTTGCATTCCACTTGTGCATTCGGCACGGGGAAGCGCTGGGGGAGGTAAGTGGATGTGTCATCCCTATTCCCCCCTTCCCCCCGGCGAAGTCACCGCCTGGGCTCTCGACCGCCTCACCCCGTCGTACCGACTCGCCCGCACGTCTTCCCGCTCCTACCGCGCGCACCCCTGATACCTACCAATCTATCTGCCTGCTGACTCGCGGGTTCGTTTGCCCCCCACCGCACCGCAGCGCGCCGACGGAGACGGGCATGTCGCGGCTCTCGCTCAGCGACGCGGACAAGCAGGCGCGGGACTGGTTCGTGGCGACGGCGCGCGGGCTCGGGTGCGACGTCACCGTTGACGCGATGGGCAACATCTTCGCGGTGCGGCCTGGCCGCCGCCCCGGCCCGCCCACCTTCGCCGGCTCCCACCTCGACACCCAGCCGAGCGGCGGCCGCTACGACGGCATCCTCGGCATCCTCGCCGGTATCGAGATGCTCACCGTGCTGCGCGACAACAAGATCGAGACCGAGTTCCCCGTCGGCGTCGTCAATTGGACTAAGTACTGTTTCCCCCCATTAGTTTACTTAGTTACACAGTCCCTTACAATCGATGTCCCTCTCCTCTTTCCCCGCTCTCCACCTTTCCCCAGCGTTGGAGGCGGCGGTGGTGGGATTTCGATAACACGGGTGCATCTCGGATAGGGTGACGCTAACCGACGGATGATCGAAAACAGCGAGGAGGGCGCGCGCTTCCCCATAAGTATGGTCTCGTCGGGGGTGTGGGCAGGGGAGATCCCGCTCGAGCGCGCGCACAACCTGAAAGAAGTTGGGGGGGGCACGGCGACGATGAAGTCGGAGCTCGAGCGCATCGGCTACCTCGGGTCGACGCCGGCGAGCTACCGCAGCACGCCCATGGCGGCGCACTTCGAGCTCCACATCGAGCAGGGCCCCATCCTCGAGGCCGAGCAGAAGAAGGTCGGTGTCGTCCGCGGCGTCCAGGCCTACCGGTGGTTCACCATCGACGTGTTCGGGCGGGGTGGGTTCCTTTTTTGCTACCTATCCTATCCTCAATAGAAATAGAGAAATAGAAAGCAGCTGACGGCGCGGGTGGTAGAGGCGCACACCGGCACGACGCCGCTCGCGAACCGCGCGGACGCCATGCTCGTCGCCGCGCGGCTCATCACGCACTCGCACCGCGTGGCGACGGCGCACGCGGCGCTCGCGTCGACGGGCATCCTGACGCTGAGCCCTGGCAGCACGAACACGATACCCGGGCGCGTGACCTTCACGCTGGACGTGCGCGCGCCCGCGGACGCGACCGTCGATGCCGCCGAGGCCGACCTGCGCCGTGACTTCGCCGACCTAGCCGCCGGCCGCGACATCGGTGGCTTAACCAACTACTTCTCGACGCCACGCGCACAGGGCGCCGGCGTGGCCCCTCCGCGCGTCGAGTGGCGCACCGATACCGATTCGAAGGCGACCGTTTTCGACGACGAGTGCGTCGGCGCCGTGAGGAGCGCCGCCGAGGCGGTGGTGGGAGGACAGGGAGCGGGGGAAGAGTCGGGGTTGGTCCGCGAGCTGTCGAGCGGCGCCGGGCACGACAGCGTGTACACCAACCGCAGGTGCCCGACCGCTATGATCTTCGTGCCGTCGCGCGCTGGCGTGAGCCACCACCCTGAGGAGTACACAAGCCCCGAAGGCTGCACGACCGGCGCGTCGGTGCTGCTGCAGAGTGTACTAAGGTACGACCGCTTACGGGCGAGGAGAGAGTGAGGAAGACGGGGCGAGGAGAAGGACACACTAGGGGGAGAGTATATAGATATGTAGATAGGTTGAAAATGTATACTTGCTAGCGGGCGGGCGAGTGTGCGGGTGCGTTGGAGGCCTCCTACATCTCTTCGGCAGGGAAATGGCTGGAGTTGATACGATATACAAATGTTTCAGGCTATCAAGTCATGCGACATCATCGCGAGATGATTTGCGGTGTCCAGATCGAGGCAGATGCTGGCGCTTCTTTCCTTTCGGGAGCGCAGCAGTTGTCTTGCCTAGCGGCGTTCCAGTATCGAAGGCGGTTAGACGGTAGGTATAGCTCAATCCAAGATCGCTGGCACGTACTACCCATATGTGCTCTTGTGCATAGAATGGAGAGCAACACGGCTCTCTCGAAATTTCACAATCAGGATCCCATGGGTTTCATTCCTTCATCTGCCTAACGTTCAGGTTGATGCGCTTGTTGCGCATCCACCCCTTCCACCCTTCAAACTTGCCACCCCCCTCCGCCGGCCAGTCAGCCAGGGCGGCCGGACAGGTACCTTTGAGGACTTTGGGGACGCCGTGCCAGGCGTGGCGGGACTCTTGGGCCATGTAGATGGCATCGCCGGAGCGCAGGCGTAGGAGGAGATACGGTTTTTTGGGCGCGCTATCGCCGTTGCCCTCACCATCAGCAGGCGCTCTGCCGCTGTGCTTGGCGGAGTTATTGGGGGAGATCATGAACAGGGCCTCGCATCCGATGCTGAGACTAACGAGGCCCCGGTCCGTCATCTCGCTCACGTCACGATGCAACATCATCGTGTCGCCCGGCGTGTAAAAGTTAACGATAGCGGCTTGCGCGAGCGTATCCGGGAACAGCGTATGCAGGAAGTCTGCAAGGTCCGGCGGGAAGGCCGGTGGCGGTCGGTCCGGGTACTCCCGGTTCGTCCAGTCATACTGCCCGCCGAGCGTGACCCAGGACAGTTTCCGATCTAGGACCTGCTTGATGGACAGGGGCTTGTGCACAGTTGAGTCCTTGGGGGTAAATCTAGCGGGGGAGTCCGGAGGATAGGAGAAGAAGGATCGCGCGGTGACGTCCTCCTCGCCCACCGCTTCTTCCTCCCGGTACGGAAGGCCGAAGTGGAGGTGTAGGTTAGTTTGGTGGACGGGGTTACTCAGGTCCCGGTGGATCATGCGAGACAGCAGCGTTTTCTGTGTGCTCAGGGGGATGAGGGAGGGGAATATGAGCAAGCCTATTACTCTCCCATGAGCGACCGAAACATCGTCTCAGGGGCCGAGCCGAGACGTACCGGGAAGTAAGGGGTGGAAATAGATAGGGGCGTCCGAAAGCGTGCGCGTGGCGTCCCAGCCGTCGCCCTCGAGCTGGCTGAAGGAGCTTACGAGTCTCTCGTGAGGGATGTGTCCAGCTAGCTGAAACGATCCCCGGCTATTCGCAGGGTCGAGCTCGTCGATATCGGGATGGCTGACGAAGTCGGCATGGTCGGTTCTCGAATACTTTTTCCAGGTCGCCTTTAGCTCGTCGTCCGGCTGCTCATGGGCATCTAGGGTGGTGAGGTCGAATGTCATGGCGAGTGTTGACTCATTGACCGACCACCCGTCAGGGCGGAAGGTAGGTAGCTGTTTTATCCGAGACAAGAGGAGAGAGGCCTCCCTTCTGCTCCTAGGCGGCTAGCTACGGGCTGGAAATTTAATATATGCCACCGGATGGTAAGATCTGTGATGGCTGTCTTTTTCAGGGTGGTCTCGTCGGGAAGGGTTCGGCGATAAAGGGTAGGGGACTTGCCGTCGTAGGCATATACGGGGTATACCTGTGTATCGGGACTGCTGGCAAGCCCAAGCTGCGCCACAAGCCACACAACACGGTAACGTGACTTCTCCCGCAGAGTTTGATGATTGGATGAAATCCAAGATTCCAATCATAGCGCGTAACGCGTTGATGGGGGTCACCTAACCTTAGGTACCTACCTAAGGTACCTCTTCAGGGGCAGGCGAGGGGTCCTGTACCAGGTAGTAAGGTGAGGTACCCAAGGTACTTCTTGATCCTGACGGCTTCAAAGTACCGGAGTCGGCTACAGAAGGTACCCAAAGTATGTCCAACTGGTAAGGAAGGTACATGAGAAGTGCGCGAGCAGGTACGTGTCCGCCTCGCAGCCGCAGTCGGGACGGCACTTGGACTCGTTGTTTATGAAAAACAATCACAACCACCCATCTGGCCAACCATCGACGCCAGCTAGGTCTTCCACCAATTCCTCTCACTGCTAACCCGCCAACAACCCAACACCTGTCCCCCTCCCCAGGCTCGCAGTGAACAGCAGCGAACGCGCATTGCTCATCACCGCAATAGTATCAATGGGGTTCTGATACTATCGCGAGATCGCACAGGCTCGACTTGGTCCGCTCCCTACGTCTGCCCCGTCGAAGCCCAGTTCGGCATATCCGCTGCCGCCATATTCATCGTGGACTCTTCTCTCCCACCGTTGCCCCTCGTTTGCGTTGCCTCTTTCCCAGGCCTTCCGTTCCCCTCCAGCTTTTAGTGCTGCGTAAACAATAATTGGGGCACGGCCATTCACTGTTGCGGGCAACTGTTTTTTTTTTTCCAGTTAGGTCCATCACCGCTGGGGAAACGTCACATCCATCTGTTCCTCCCTCCTCTTCGTCTTCCCTGACCCAACCCCGTCTCGGGAATTACACGTCTTCGAGGATGGACAACTATCAGAAGCTCGAGAAGATCGGTGAAGGTATGATATGACCCCCTTTTCATCCCAGTCCTTCGTCCTTCGCCTCTCCGCCCTCGAATATCATTATCCGATGCCAGCTTCGCCTTTAGGGCCATGCCTGCGGTCTCCCTCCATCTTCAAGCCAAGTCGAGTCCACCTCTGTCTTTTTGAAACAACAGAATCTTTGCCACCATTACCTGGCCTAACCCTATCCTCTAGGCACCTATGGCGTCGTCTACAAGGCGCGGGACCTCGCCCACGGCGGTCGCATCGTTGCCCTGAAGAAGATTCGCCTCGAGTCCGACGACGAAGGTGTACCCAGCACGGCCATCCGTGAGATTTCCCTCCTCAAGGAGATGCGCGATCCCAACATCGTCCGACTGTTTAACATCGTCCACGCTGAAGGCCATAAGCTGTATCTCGTTTTCGAGTTCCTCGACCTAGATCTCAAGAAATACATGGAAGCTCTCCCCGTCAGCGACGGCGGCCGCGGCAAAGCATTGCCCGAGGGCACCGGCCCGGAGTTGGGACGGCTCGGACTCGGTACCAGCATGGTCCGAAAGTTCATGAATCAGCTTTGCGATGGCGTTCGATACTGCCATAGCCACCGCATTTTGCACCGAGACCTCAAGCCCCAGAACCTGCTGATCGACCGCGATGGGAATCTGAAGCTGGCTGATTTCGGTTTGGCCCGTGCCTTTGGTGTCCCACTTAGGACTTACACCCACGAGGTTGTTACGCTCTGGTATCGAGCCCCGGAGATTTTGCTTGGTGGTCGACAGTACTCCACCGGTGTCGACATGTGGTCCATAGGATGCATCTTTGCCGAGATGTGCACCCGAAAGCCACTGTTCCCAGGTGACTCGGAGATTGACCAGATCTTCAAGACGTTCCGGTAAGGTCTCCCCACCCCACACCTATATGCGCAAAGAATTACTCATCCTCCCTTGTTTAGTCTGTTGGGCACCCCTACCGAGGAGGTCTGGCCCGGTGTTACCTCTTACCCCGATTTCAAGCCATCCTTCCCGAAGTGGATTCGCGATTCCTCTCAGACCCTATGCACAAACCTCGACGAAGCTGGCCTCGATCTCCTAGAGGCCTTGCTCGTGTACGACCCTGCCGGCCGAATCTCCGCGAAACAAGCATGCTACCACCCCTACTTCAAGGAGCTTCATCGCCAGCAAGCCCGCAACGCCGGCTACGCCTAAGGTATATCGTCCAAGGCATAGAATACGATATATGATATCCAGAGAGCAAGTATCATGCTTACGATAAGCACCCATCATCGCTCTCGCCATTCAGGATACGAGGACCTAGGCGTTGAGACCCCAACGGGAAGACTTCGTACGCAGTACAACACAGCATCATCGTATCATTAAAAAGACGTTTCTACCGGGGGATCCCCATAAACACGGCATCCTATGCGGGTTGCTCGTAGGAGAGGGAGGCTCTAGCTAGCTTCCTTAATGTCTAGAAAACATGTGGAAGTAATGACTTTACAGAGCGTTAGGAGGAGGGGTTCACAAGGGGCGCGAGAGAGGATTCATGAGGGGAACAGGACTTGCGTACGAGACAGCACGTTTCCTTTTTCTTTTCCTCCCCAGGGCTGCCCAGGCTTTCCCAGCCCCAGGGGTCACACATATCGTCAGGGGAGGGGTTCCCGTCCCGACTTGTGCACGCCGGCCCGGTAGTGCTACCAGCCGGTGCCCCTTTACGTTTTCTTTTTGTCTGGCTTCCCTTCTGTCCGTACTAGTCCCCCCCCCCCCCCCCCCCCCGCCCGGCTTAGAGACGGGCGCGCGCCCGTTCGCGTCCGTACGGAGGTAGAGCAATAAATCCCGGATTGCAATTCTCCGTGCACACGAGGTTCTTGACCTGTTTGTTGCCATGCTCCCACTGGTGATGGTTACGCGAGGGCTCGTCCTAGGAGTTGTAGACATGCCTAGGAAGCCACTGTGTCGGGACGGATGAGTAGTCGACGTCGGCAGCCCCAGCGGCTGGCCTCGCACGTGTGAAGATCCCCCTTCGTAGACTCGCTAGACTGCTAGACGTAGACGCGCTGCCGGCTCGGCTCCTCGGCATTCGCAGCTGCGAGGCCGGGCCGAGGCGAGGCGGGCAGAGAGACCAGAGCTGTTTCCGTGCGTGCGTGCGGTCCCCCTCCGAGCTCGCCGCGTCGAGGAGCATACCTCGGCGCGTCTCTCGTCCGCGCCTCTCCTTCCTGGCTTCTCCTCTGCCATCCATCCGCCCTCTCCCCTCCCACAACCTACCTTCGCCGCCGACCCCTCCGCACGCGCGCAGGGCTCGTCGCTTCGTGTCCCCCCCTCCCCCCTCCCCTGCGCCGGCGCGCGAGAGCTCGGCCGACGGACCCGCCGCATAGGGGGGGGAGCAAGGCGCAGCCGCCGCCGTCGTCATGGGCGGGTGGGTCCGGGCCAGGGGCGGGCGGGTACGCCTGCGCCACACCGCGGCGGGACGCTGCGCGCGCACGTTTTGGCTGGAGGGAGGGACACGGGCAGGCTACTAGGTGCGCGCGCGCGTGCGAGGGGCGGCTGGTGCGCGGATCCGTCTGTCGCGGCGGGGGATGCAGGGAGCAAAAGGCAGCGGGAGGACGGCGCAGAGGCCCGGCGCCCGAGGTTCCCGGCGGTGAGGCGGTGACGGCGAGGACGATCGCGCGACGGCAAGTTGCGCGACGACTGGGCCAGAGCCGTGCGCGGGGCGGCAGAGGGAAAGGCCAGCTAGACCTAGGTAGGGCCTGGGTGGGTGCAATCGCGACCGCGACTGCTCGCGTCTCGGGCCCGCACGCGAGAGGGGCTTGGGTCGGTCGATTCTGCCTGGGACGCGTGTACGTACGCAGAGGGGGCGAGGAGAGCGGCGGCGAGGTGAGGAGACGGGACTGGGTGGTGTGGATGGGTATAGGCGTCTGTTGCTATCTCACATGCCTCTCGGCTTAGAGACGCGCGTACGCTTGTGGGTCTGCCGGCTAGGGATTCCCATAAGTCCTCGCCCTCGCCCCCCCTTCGCATTGAAGGGAAGGGCTGGGTTAAGAGTCTCGTGTTTCGGCGGGATAGCCCTGGTGCCTGCTCGACGCATCATCGAATATATCCCGAATACATACGATACGCCTCTCCGCAATACTAGAAAGACTTGCAGGAATGTGAGGGCGCGCCGCGGGTCCCGGGCTGTTGCCCGAGAGACGAGTTGCTACCCCGGCCGGAAACCGAACCTAGTCGTTCCATATACCTACGGATCTGATCGATGACTTGCGTCCGCCATGTCTCTGCGAGACAAGGTGTACGATATTGTGTTCGTGCCGTTGGAACCGCCCGTGCAGGCACTCCTCTTGGCCGAACACGCTCTCGGGGCTAACCCATATTGCAGCTCGGCCGTCGCCCGGGAGAGTTGTCTAAGTGGGTTTCAAGCTGCCATGCGTGTTTGGCTTTCTCCGGGACCGCCCACGCCATTATAACGTGTTTGCTAAGACACCTGGAAACTACGGCAACTCTCTTCAATTTGGATTAATTGACAATTCAGCCGCGAACGCAAAACTGTATTGACGCCTCTCTTCAAGTGGCTTATTACATGATTTCCGGCCCTTCCACCCACGTTTGTACGGAGTTGCGCTATTGAAAAAAAAAAAAAAAAAGGCCACAGTTGCAGGAATCAAACCTAACTTACGCCCGCCCCGTGAACAGCTCTAGGACAATTGTCTGGATGACGAGTGTCTAGTTTCGAGCGAGCGAGCCAGATTTCAGCCTAAATGGTTCGTGGGTCTCGTGGCAAGAATGCTCAGGCCCCGTGTCTAACTCACGCTTGGTGTCTTTTTTACGTGCTAGCGATTACCACGCGTACCGCGATGACTCCTAGCACCAGAGATCGCCTCGTCTTGTTCCCGGTAGTGGTTACGGAGGGCCGAGCGCGAGAGCGGCGGGAAGTAATGCCTAAGATGCAACCATAGCGTCTGTGACGAGCCTCACGAGGGGCTAATGTTACGCTAACCCACGATAGCCTCGTGCCTGGTCCCATGTTTATCTACAGTCCCTCTCACCCCCCTCATCACAGTCATAGCGCGCCGCGATAAGCTGTCCCGCGGCGGGAGAGGAGACGATAGCCCTATGTGCACACACACGCCCTACGTCGCATAGCATCCACGTACATATATGTACATCGTGTAAACAAATTGGTAGCTATTTTTAGTGGCAGCCCGGCAGCGTTATTGGCCCTCGTCGGAAATTAAGCGCGTACCGATGGGTGGAAAATCCGGGGTCGAAGCGAGCGCTACAAAACGAGCTCTTATTGCAGTGCACTGTATTTTTTCCGCACCCCGTGTCGCGCGCCTTACCGGCTGGTGGCACTATTCCTCTGTGCGCCCCCATACCCGTCCATCCAAGCATTATCCTGCTTCATATATAGATTCCTGCTTGTACATTGGTATGTAGCTCCCTATGCACGCACGCACGTCCTCGGCATGGGCCAGGTCGCCTAATGTGCATACGAAGCGCGCGGTACGACTCTCGCCGGGGGGGGGGGGGGGGGGGAGCTGGGCCAGAACGGTGTGCGACAGCAAAGATAATTGTAATTCGGGGCATACCTACGGGGAGACGCGGCGGGAAAGAGAGAAAGGATCATCGGATAGGGTCTCGCTGCGCTTGTTGAAACGGGGAGGCTCTTCTTTTTTTGCGGGTCAGAATATGTGAAGGTAAGGAGGCCGGAACAAGAAAGTCGAATGGAAATGCAAGCAAATTAGCCGCCCTTCGAGGGGAGGATTGCATCGCGTCGGGAGAGGAACTTTCCGCCCGTATACGCCAGGTTCCTACGCTGCGCCCGCTGCCGCGCCCGCGCCGCGACGCCGGCACCACGATACCCGCGCCGTCCTGAGGGAGCGGGTAGCGCGCAGCGGCAGCAGCCGCCTCAGCCTCGAAATGCTCCCTAGGCCTCCGGCGGCAGCTGTCGACTCCGGTCCCAGGCGTTCTGGCGTAGGGGGAGGGACGAAGGGACGAAGTTCGCGTTGCGACATCGCCCGCCCCTTAGGGCAGCGTTCGCCCGTCTGCAGTCCTGAGGCCTGCGGCCGAGGCCATCGACACACTCTCGAACGCGGGCGCCGCACCGATCGCTTTCTCTCGTCTGACCCTAGCAGCGCTCTGGTCCACCTGCTCGCCTCTGGACAGGGCGTATTGCGCGTCTGCCCTTCCATTGTCCTGAGACATGCAGCTTAGGTAGCGAGCTGGGCGCGAGGGGCAGCAGCCTGATGTGGTTGTTACGTTACTCGACCGTCGTGTGTATGTGTATATGTGTGTATGTGTGTGGTAGGTATGTGTCAGATGAAGAGCGCGAGCGAGAGAGGGAGACAGCAATGAACCCAGAAACGGATTCTCGCACACGCCCTCGATGCACGGCGGGGCGGCTCGTCGATCGCACCCTATTCCTGCGTTGCTGGCTCGGTGAGGCGCCCCCGAGTTTACCCCAATCCTCGTAGAACTTCCACCCCCCCTCCGGCCGACCTTCACGCATCTGCTGCAGAATCGGCCGACGGGCGGGCCGGAGCAATCGGATCGACTGAGTGGCCAGTTGCAGCGCGTTGGCATAACTTAGAATAGGAGGCACCCCCTTGGGAATCTTACGGTATCCTCTCGCGAGGACTCATTGGATCGTCGACATGCCCTACCTACACCCTCTCGGCCCTGACGTACAGCTGCTAGCCATGCCGGGTTTTATTTTTGTTTCCCTTTTCCCCCCATAATCCTGATTCACTGGCGGGGGGATGGTCCCCAAGGCGGCGTACGCCTAGGGGGGGCTGCATGACGAAGCCGCGGCGTCGAAGTGGAAATGACAAGAGCAGACAGCCGAGAGGTCTGGCGGGCATCGCGAGACATGATGTGCGTAAGCCACAGCTTGGCTCTGTCCGTTTGGGGAAAGGTAGTCTCGGCGTGATAGGGGTTTCATCCTCGGCTCACTGGTCGGATGGCATTGCCTGGAGTACGTGGTAGTCTCGATGAGCCACACTTGCGCTCTGCCGCTTTGGGACATGGCGAGATGCGAATCTTGATTGACTGAAGTGTCCCTTGCTCCCTCCCTCCCTCCTGTTGCTGAGGGAGGCGTGGAAGTTCGCAGGAGGAGGGACGTTCGCGAAAGGGGGGGGAAGAGTTCTTCGTTCGGTATGCTAAGTGCTACCTAGGTTATCTCGTAGTAGCAGGTGGTGTAGTCGTGTTGTGTACGACGTAGCATACACACACATGGGGCAAGTTGGCCACGGCAAGGCAGAGAGATCGGCGCCATCAACAATGTCACGTCAGTTGTCCATACAGAACATACCTACATGCTCACACATACATACGGGCATCTATCTTTGCTCTGGTGTGGATGTCGCGTGCAACGTGTAAACCGCCGGCGAATTATTTGTTTGTTTGTTTGCATGCACGGAGATGCCATGTATGTACGAGTGAGCTGTCCATTGCTCGGGCATATGTACGCTTCACGAGGCCCAGGTCGGCCTGATGACTGACCCTCTACACCCACCATTTGTGCCTAACCAGGGCCAATCCCGGCCCCGGTAGAGGGGAAGAGAAGAAAAGGGGAGGAGGAGGGGCGCCTGAGGAGGGGACCGGGGTCGATCAGCCACACGGCATTAAGCTGCTGCCCGCTCCCGTAGATGTCTTGCAGTTAATTGGTCTGACCAGGGTCGCGTTGATGGGAGGGAGAAGAGAGAGTCTGGCCAACCGCTGCCTAGGATCGCGCTTGGGGCCTAGCTCCTGAGAGCGGTTCGACCAGGCGTAGCTGAGGATGACTAGACGACACCAGCAGGTCGGATATATGCGTATAGGTAGCCGTGTTGATTGGGGGCAGAAGGAATCAACTTGGCTCCTGTGTAGCTCGGCCCGCGGTGAAGGGCGGTGAGAGGAGGTTTATCCGGTTCTGGATGGGATGAACAACTCACTTGCCATAATCTGATACGGGTCGGCCCAGCCGTGGTGCGGTGCGGCGCATACCATAAACGTACTGTGGTGGGCTGGATGCAATGCATTCCTCCTCCGTTGGCTACCGTCCAGCTTCTCCATTCAGTATATCCCCATAACCCCATGCAAGTTGCGATACGAAGCCCCTGATAATGAATTCAAGCATCTCCATCGCCCGCCAAGTCCGCGACGCCGCCGGCTGCTTTCGTGGGCTGTGGTCCCGTCCGCGCACTGGCCGCAATATGGGGAATTCGAGGGGGGGCCAGGGATGACGACGATAGACGATGACGATGGGTTCAGGTCGGCGACACGGGACAGGGAGCAGAGATCTCCTCGCTAGGGCTGTGTAAGACATTGCTAGTCAATCGCACGGGGTGACGCCGCCAAACGAGGGGTTGGGAGAATTGGGACGGTCTCGGACGGTGGCAGAGGGATGAGGAGAGAGAGGAAAGAAGGAAAAGGAAGGCTGCCCTCTCCTCCCTTCTCTATAGATGGCCGGCACACCTCATTCCAGCCAGCGATGGTCGCTGGACAATAGGTGGTGCCAATTCGAGGAAGGGAAGGGGGTGCGAGAGTGCGAGATCTCGGATCAATCTGGAACCGCCGCCATGGCCATCGTCCCGATTGGGTAATAGTGATGACGGTGGAGGGGCAGATTGTCGGTTGACTTGGAGATGCACACATACCTACATACTGACATGTTCCGTAAGTGTGAGCTACGTAGGTAGGTATGTGTGTATGTATGTGCGGGCACACATACATGCATGCACACAATTGTATGTCGTTATCTACGGCAGTTTTCGTCATTGTATATAAGAGCAATATGAGTACGGTCTCTTCTTCACGATTGCCGCTTGGCCTTGGCGGAACGTTGGCGGGATGCCCTGTGGGATTGTCTGGTTACGAAGGGATCGCTCCCCGTCCCTGGTCTATCGAAAAGTTCTGTGGAAACGGCCGAGTTGAGGCAGGGTCGTGGGGGAGGCTGGCCAACCTCGAGACAGGCGGACGCCAACTTTTCGACCCGTCGAAGAGACCCGCGATGCTGGTCTGCGGTCGCGCGTCCTCTGGAATGTTCCCGTCGCCTCCTGCACGAATCTCGCCATCGCAGAGCACGGCACACGGTGCCGGCCACATGTGGTAACCCAACCCAAGGCTCGAGGCTAGAAACACATGTTGCTGTCTTGTCGGAGACTGACTGAGGAGGCTACTGGCAACTCGGACCCCATATGTCTATGTACGCGTGTACGCACGTAGGTAATTTACATAATCTGTTGCGACTTAGGCGTGGTGGTTCGGGGATGCGTCGACGTCTTACCTAGGTAAGAAGAGTCGGTGTAAATTCCAGCGAAGACCAGGTCGTAGAGAAAACTGGGGTAGGCCAGGGGGCGGGCGAACCGGGACTGTTTCGATTCGACGAGACAAGATAGACTCGATGACTACTGGTTGTTTCTTAATTTCGGACGATGCTACGTAAGCCATCGACAGACTGCTTTAGGTACCTATAGGCTAGCCTATGTCTTCGTGGGCTGGCCTTTCGGACGGGGGCAGCAGGAGGCGTACCACGTAGTGGACGATGGCCATCGCTCCCTTCTTTCCGGGGTCGACTTTGTGCAGGTGTGATTGTGCGCGTCCCGTCGACTGTCGAATCTATCCTGGCCATGCCGGATCGATTGGGTTCGACCAGAGTGCGACTTGCGTGTGCTATTTGCGACTTGCCCTGTCCCGAGTCCGTGTCTAGGTTGCCGGCGTCTGGGCGCGGGTCCGCGGGGGCAGCTCACGACGTGCCCACGACCGTTCCCACGATGACTGCAACCCGCACTGCGCGGGAGAACATTAACGGCGGTCAAGGCACGCGGACGAAGGGGGGGGGAACCCGACGACGCAGATCTACTAGCCCTGGGAGGGTGGAAGGGGTTGCAATAGAAGTGGCCTCCAACCCGCCGACCATTTGCTCTTATTTTACTCCGGCCGTTTCAATTCTCGCTGAGCAGTGATTGTCTCGATGCTATTGGCAGGCGGGACGAAACAGGGCATCGCGGCTATCTGGAGGACCTCCCTGGCCCGGCTGGCCTGTCGTCAGCGCGCGAGGGGTGGACGGCCTGCGCCGCCAGAGCGTGTCGCTGCGGCGAGGGAGTACCTGCCGGGTACGACGGGCGCTGCGTCTGCGGCCTGTGTGGGCGCGTGCCCGTCGATGTCCATCCATGTACCTACAATATGTATGTACCTACCAGCCTGTCTCTGCAAGTACTGCGTTAGTTAGGTACCTACCTTACGCAGGCAGCCCTCTCGGATCGACGGCGATTAGTACGTTAGGTACCTAGCCTTGGGTAGCAGCAGCAAGCAAGCAAGCCAGCCTGTTGGCAAGACGCCCAGCGACTAGCTGCCCACCCCCTGGAGGGTTCGTGACGGGTCCCGGGTGGTTCCAGCGAGTCGTCTGGGCCAACTGTGCAATACTACAACGCTACCAGCCCTCCTCTCGCTGTTTCATGTCTCGAGTTCTGAGCCATTCGCACCAATGGATCGTCCACCCGCCGCCATCATCGTCAACCCGCCTCAATCAAAGGGATCGTGCGGCGCATGCTGTAGGCGGGCGGGCCCTGGGATGAGTTGTAAACTGGCAGCCATTCAAATCGTGGCAACGCGGTTTTTTCGGCGGCGTCTAGTTGTGTGTACATACATCCCTAGGCCAGGGTGAATGGGCGAGATGGGCTGGATGTGGGCGTCCCTGACAACCCTACATGCCATTACATGCCATACATACTTGGGATGCACATTGGATGAGCCGTATTGGGAACGCCCTGTAGAAAGGAAACAAAAAAAAAAGTAGATATAGGTCTAGACGTGCGCACCCCTTTACACAGGCTCTCTCTTGTTTCTCCCATCGCCATCATCCGCTTCATCGCCATCAATAGTAGCGCTTTGCCTTGTCTTTGTGTAGAGAGAGAGCCGAGAGTCGAAGAAACCCACTGTGTGGAACGACCTGTTTTTTTCTTCTGTTGACTTCGACGGGTACTAAAAGAAGGGAATCCCGTTTGGCATCGCATTTCCTGTTTCGTCCCCTCTCTCGCCCATTACGAGAGATAACACACGTTGACGACAACTTCTGATACGAGCTCCCACGATACGAGCCCACTCTTTTCTAGACTCTGGCCAGTCTATCACCGTCGTCGCCAACCCACCCCTACGCCTCGCTCGGCAATTAATGATTTGAGAGGCCATATCTCTCTGCAACTCGTCGCCTGCCCGACCGCCTCCTTCTGGTTATAAGTAGCAGCGAATACCACACCCACTTCGGCTCCGGTCCCCGGGGGATACCACACCAGCAGAGAGCACCGACAGCAGACGCACGCCAGATAAAGACCGGTCACCGTCACACGGCCATCCGACGCTCGATCCCGCTCGCCGCGGTATTGCCAGGGTTTGTACGTCCTCTCGCCTGTCCTCGTGACTGCACATCTCCCTCGTTTTTCCTCCTCGGCTTTTCCTAGACCCCGCCAAATCCCGGAGCCCGCTGCGTCTTACAGGCTCGGAGCCCGTCGGGTGCCGTTCTTTTTTGGAATTTTGTCAGCGCCTTGCAACCACGAGGTATTTTCCTGTCTTTTCTTGTTCTGTTTCTCGTCATTTTTTCTCTTCTTGTCTGGGCCTCGCCTCTCTCGCTTCCGCAGCCAGCCTGTTCAGCCTACTGGGGAGAGTCAACCTGCTACCTCTCGTGAGATCGCTAAGGCATACTCCGCGTTCGCCTTCAGTGCGGTTGAGGAGTGAGTGGGTTGGACCATCGCGATCGCATCGGCCAATCTTGTCAACCCCAGGTCTTCCGCCGGCTCGGGACCCTGGTCTTTTTTTTTTTTCCTGTCTCTGTCGTGCACCTCCGCCACCCTCCCGCACTCACCATTCGCTGCGCAGGACGACGAGTCGACACTTGGCTTCCCAGCCCAGCCCAGCTGCTTAGTTGATTTAGCCCATCGCCACCACCTGTCCCCCTCTGCACTGTCTGCTAGTCCGGCTCGACGTCCTCGGCACAGGTGTATCCACGTCAGCTCTCGCAGCCATTGCTCGATCCGTGCGGTTTCGCGAACGCCTCTCTCGCTTGGACGGCTGCGTCGAGTCATCCGCTTTCGATAGACCGGAATCGTAAACCCCAAAAAGCAGCAGAGATATACCGCTGGAGAGGACGAGAGCGAAATTGCGATTGGAGTGTGCATCGGCCAGACTTCAGCGCGCGCTTAGACTTTTCGTTGCCGCCGAACTTGGGGTGGTTTCACGCTCTCTCTATTTCCAACTTCTGCGACAATTCGGAATCTATTTTGACGGCCGGCGACAGGCGAGAAACTGGTCCAGCAAGCTCGCTCTCCTCCGCATCACTGATCCGGCAGAGCTGCCCCACCCGACGGCGAGGAACCTGGGCTGGATTGAACTGAGATCTGTCTGCCTCCTGGCGCTCGCCTGCCCAACTCAGCGAACCTGCGAGACACCCCCCTCAGGGTCTCTTCCCCCTGTCGGCCACACCCGCCGTCCCGAATAGGGCCTCTCTCTCCTGCATCCTCCCTGCCCCTGCCCCCCTGCATAACCGCTTCCAGCAGAACTGCCTCGCTGCCAGCGTCCCGTTCGATTGCGTACGTCTATTTTACTTTTTATTTATTTATTCCATCGCTGAATTCCCTTCCCTCTGCGTCTTTATTTTTAAGATTAGTTGTCGTATTCCTAAAACTACTCGTCTCTTGCCGCCCTCACACCCACCTCATCCCATCTCCTGCACATAGAGACGTACCGGCTCCGTCCCGCTTCGTCCCATCTCAACTCGTCTCTCTCTCTCCTCCCTGCCTCTCCTCTCTCTCTTCTCTCTCCCACCTCGCTGTCTGCCTGTTCGTTGGTGGGCTTCGCGTCCCTCCGAACGACATCCCTGCACCATCCCCTCCCCACGCCACTCCTGCCGGATCCAGCCCAGACCTGGCCGGTTCAAGGCCGTCTCACGCATCAGCCGTCGAACTAACTCGATTTGCCCAGTTCGCGCTCAGCCTCGACCGGGCCTCGCATTGCACACGACATCGATACGTACTCATTTACAATAGATTAATCCGTTGTGGGAATTGCCCCGTGGTTCCTGGGTGTCGCCTGCGCAGTCAGTCCTGGGAATTGATATGACCGTCGGCTTCGCCTCGTGATACGCACACGCATACACACCCGCACACCCCACCCCCTGCACGGCGTATTGATACGCCCCTACATCCTACCGCTCCTACACCTACCGTTGGATAGTATATTATTTCGAGCGGCTCGTTCCCAACATCCTCGCTTCTCCAGATATCGCTTGCTTTTTTATTCAGGTCTCTGTATAACCTGTCCTAATATTCCTTTTCCCCTCCGGGTTATAGCTGTCCCTGCTGGTCCGGTTGGATTTTACCTTAACTCTCTCTTCCTGGACCCACCTATCTCTCTCTCTCTCTCTCTGACTTACACGCACAACCAACCACCTCATCCCGCACTCGCTCACACATAACGCCCACACCTACTACACACATACGCACACACCCACACATACGCACATAATGGCTTCGACAAGATCAGGCGTCCCCATGAGCGAGCTCAACGCCGCCGCCCTCGAGCAGTTCATCTTCCGGAGAGTCGACCGGTCCATGATCGCGCATCTGGCACGCGCAGCGCGGGAGGTTATTCAGTGCGACCCGAACATGATGCCCCCCCCGGCCCACACCCCGTCGCAACAACCCTCGCCACCTCGAACCCCCTCCCCGAAAGCTGTGACGTCCGACGACAGCGGCCTGCCGACGCTGGAGGAGTTCATCACGAGACTGGTCCGTTCTTCTAACGTGCAGGTGCCGACGCTGATGTCGACTCTGGTCTACCTCACCCGCCTCAAGTCGCGATTGATGCCCATGGCCAAGGGCCTGCGATGCACCACCCACCGCATCTTCCTGGCCGCCCTCATCCTCTCGGCCAAGTACCTCAACGACAGCTCTCCCAAGAACAAGCACTGGGCCACCTACAGCCACATGAGCACCGAGACCTTCACCTTCGGCTTCAGCCGCACCGAGGTCAACCTGATGGAGAAGCAGCTGCTGTTCCTGCTCGAGTGGGACTTGCGCATCACCGAAGAGGACCTCTACCGCGAGTTCGACGCCTTCCTGACCCCCATCCGCGACGAGGTGGAGTCGGAGTACATCCGCCGCCAGCAGCGGAAGGAGCGCCTGCGCAAGCAGCACGAGGCGGAGGAGTGGACCGTCCCTCAGTTCCCGACGCCGCCGAGCTCCCGCGGCAGCTCGCGCTCGGAGTCGCGGGCGGCGGCCTCGCCCTACGAGACGATCCGCGCGGTGCACGACGACGCGTCGCCGACGCCGGGCCTCGTCTTCAGCTCGTCGGCCAGCTCGAGCAGCGGGTCGTCGTACACGTCGTCGCGGTCGTCGACGCCGCTCTCGGACCCGGACGACGTGTGCCTGTCCATCGCCGACGGCTACCCGTCCGACAGCTCCTCCTCCTTCGACATCGTCCTCGACGTGCCGCCGCCCGTCATCGCCGTCGGCACCAACACCAGCGGCAGCAAGGCCGTCGCGTACCGCCAGTACTACCAGACCCACCACTACCTGCGCGGCCCCGCCTCGGCCAAGACCAGCCGGACGAGGCTGCCGTACGAAGTCAGCCCCGACGACCTGCGCGCCATCCAGGACGGCACCATCAAGGCCAAGCGCCCCCGGACCGGCCGCAGCGTGTGGGGACGCGTGTTCGGCGCCATGTCCGCCTAGGCCCCTCGCACATTCGCTCAGCCACCTACACCTTTTTCTATGTCTGCAGCATACAACGATTTTTTTTTCTTTTTGACTTCGACGCATCATAGCGAGGAGTTGAACGGGAACATCACACGGGAGAAATTTTTTTTTTTTTTGGATCGGAATGGAATCTTGACTTGGTAATGTCGGAGCGGCGCAAAATTTACTAGTTACGATATGTGTGTGCGGAGGCGCTACTACAAAAAAACCACACGGGACGGCGCGGGTCAGCGGGCATGAAAGGGGAAAGGAGGTCGAGGGTGGGGGTATGGGAAAGGGGGAGGGGGAGGGGGGTGGACATTGTCAGTTTACACATTTGCGGCCCTCTCTTTGAGGGGAAAGGGCCTAGGGTTCTTCCGTCCGATAGATAAGACGGGGGGAGGCGGAGTCGGGCGTATGGGCCGGACGACGAAACCAACAAACTCTTACTATTACTATTGCTATTACTATTACCACCACCACCACCATTACATTTTCAGGGCATATCGGCTAGGTATCACGGCGGGCGTTATTCATAATGGGTAGGGAGACGGGAGTTTTTACGGGGGTAAGGGGGAGAGAAAGAGTATAATTAGGTACTTACTCAGAGAGAGAGGGAGCGAAGAAGAGCCTACATGTAGTCTTTTCTCCCCTCCTCGGCAGCCTCTAGACGAAGGCGCAGCCACAGCATAGCAGAGAAAATCAATGCTTACGAGCAACTTTCCACTAGTCAACCCCCCCCCCTTTTTTTTCCCTTACTCTGCCTGCTTGGTCATCCAGGCTGTCTCGGAATGTTCTCGCGCGAACACACACACACACACACACATGCATAATAGAATGTCCCGCGTAGGCAACATGAGAAAACCACGGGAGGGAGGGACAGAAAATCATCACTTTGTGTATCCTCGTCATACGCGTCGCTTATCGCCGTCGCCTGTGCGCGCGCGCATCCGGGACGGTGCGGTAGAGAGAACGACGACGACGACGACGCCGCATTTCTAAGCTTTGGCGCGTTTCGGGCATTTCCTAGATAGGTAATCGGGGAGAAAAAAAAAAGAGCGTGTGTGCGACAGACAGAGAACGAAGACAGACAGACAGACAAGATCGACAAAAGCCGGCAGCGAGTGAGGGAGGGCGCCGGCTCACCGCGGGTGCTACGGATAACCTGTCCTGCCATTCTTACGTCGTGTGTCGCTTCTAATCAACTCCTAACAGGCGACCGGCCGAGGTTAGGGGGTTGGTTCGGAGGTGTGTGTGTGTGTGCATACGTAGACCCCCCCTTTTTTTTTCCTTCTCGCTCTCTCCGCCGCGCGGAGCGTGGTGCGAGGCTGGCTCGGCGATACGCGGGTTGGTGATTATCAATTCGACGCGACGAGTCAGAAGCTTAACTCTCTCTCTCGTCCTTCGTCCGCCCGTTCCTCCGTGCGATGTAGCCGAGGCGTAGTAGGTAGATAGATGGGATAAGCCGGCGCCGCAGCAAAGCTAGGAGGTAGGTAGGTAAGCCAGCTTTGCCTGATGGGGAAGTGTGCCTAATCTAGGCATGTGTGCATCCAGGTATGTAGCTATGTTGGTATAGGTAGGCAGAGGGTTATCCAATCTACCTAGGTAGGTAGGTAAGTAAGGCATCTGTGTATCGATAGATTTGACACCAGGCTGCCGTCGCTTGGCCGCCATCGACGCATACCTATCCGCCATACAGAGACGGCCCCATCAGGTTGGCGCCGCACTAAGATAGAATAAGGGCCGTTTGCCGGACGACAGCCGGCGAGAATGAATGCATGTAACTTGAGATGGCTGGGTTTGAAGGACTATCAGTCAATACAATCCATCTTACCCGCCTACATACTATGCATACCGAATTACATACGAGAGAGATGTCTCAGACGTCTGTGGGCCGGTTGGCTGGGCGTTGCCTGCCTGCCTGCCTGCCTGCCAGCGCATTGCAGAGCATACCGACACACAGACGGGGCGGAGGATCGTCAATCTACTATAAACCGCGGAATGGCGTGTAGGATCCGAGAAGTGGGTGGGCGCGCGCGGGGGGGCTAATTGCCAGATCCAAAAGGGTGCCGGTGCCCGTCCAAGAATCTGTTCCTCGGCTCTTCACGTGCTCGTCGTCGTCGTCGTCGTCGTCGTTGTTGCTCTCGGTGTTCGTCAGGTCTCGGGGAAATATGCATCGGTCGATTTGTCGGCGGCGCCTGTCTATATTTGGCCGCATGGCCTCTTCTCGTGCCTATGCCAGATCCGAATCTAACGGTATCGTGCTACTACTACCACCTATCGATTCTACCCATCTACCAGCCTGCATGGGGCCTACGCCTGTATATACGGAGCTATAGGTGTGCAGAGGTGTGGATGTGTGGATGTAACCTACCCTTAATGGGGGTATTACCTGTAGGCCGCTGGGTATGGTTTGTTCGGAAGTGCCGACCATCTGCAATGCAGGCAGACCCTCGGTATTGGGATTTTCATCGTGTCCCGGCTCACTATCCAGAATTAGGCGCACCGATCTGCTGTTGGGTAGAGCGTGCATCTGGGGTTGGGGGCCGGACGCTGACAGCATCACCCTACCCTACCCTCTCCGTCCCTTTTACCCCGGAGCTGTCGAGATCTCACCTGCATCAGCCTACTCGTGATCGAGAACCGCGCTGGACCCCGGCTGTCAAGCATGGCAGGGTAACACAACTCTCATCCTCTTCTTCGGCCATGCTACGTCACGCGAAGACTGCCCGTTGACCTCGGCGCGCCGCTGTGCTGCATCGTCAGTTAGAATCTGCGCGCGTGTGCCGGCGCCATACATGCACACACACACACACATACACAAGACGCGCGAGAACCCGAGTGAACCAAGAAAGGCCCCAGCCCGAAAATAGAACTAGAGATATCAGCACGGGGCGCGCAAAACGTAGGTATCGCCGACACATCCGCCTCGCTGGAGCCGGTGAGAAAGAAGACTATCCCTCTGAGCATCGACGACTTGCGACGGGCCTACTGCTTCGGATGCCCTGTTGAAACTGGGGGGGGGGGCAAAGAAGAAAGAGTAAGAATAGGTCGACGATTCTGCCAAGAGAAACGGAAGGATAGAAGGATAGAGAGAAGCCAGATCAGAGAGACAGGTAGCTAACGATTTCCCCACTCGGAATATCCGTGGGATGGATTCGTCCGCCTAGAGAGTATCGGGGAGGGGGTAGACGGATAAAAATTCTCGAAACTGCTGCTTCGATTTGGGAGATCCTTCACGTTTCGCGATGGGTCTGCTTTTCGATTCTTCACGCACGCAAGAGAGCGCAATTAGGTAATAACTGGGGTAAATGAAAGGGGAAGAAGGGGACTACAACGGTGTCGGCGACATACTGCGTTACCAGAATGCCCTGCTGGAACCGGGTCGAGTCGACGGACCTCAGGACCCCAAGCCTAGATAGGTCGCATGCGGACTTCGTGGAGCATCAAGTAGTAGTAGGCTAATCTTCGCGGCCTGCCTTAATTCTCTCCGGCTGGTCTCGCAGAGGGGATTGCGCCGGGTATCGCTATGACCACGACTGAAATAGAAACGACCGGACGGATCTTATTTCCCTCTTTGCTCTCACGTGTTGGCCAGATCTCCATCCTGTTCCCTCCGTCTGCCTCATGTAAGTGACGACGGCCGATGCTGTCGCGCTTCCTGGGCCAAGCTGTCGTCATCCGCAACCAACAGCAGAAAAAAGCGACGCGGCGGGGTTCTCTAGGATCCATCAAGATGGCACGCGGCTTACATACAGTGACCTCTTCTGTTGTCGCTTTACGATGGACAGCGGCCTGCGAAACCGCGATGGAATCCGTCTTCCTCGTTTTCGGCGTTTGGCGGGCCCATGGCCACGACAGGCAGAGCAATCAACCCAGCGGCAACGAGAGATCTGAGACGCGGGTTCGTTCTTCGCCGTCATCGTCAGTTCATGTACTTGTTGGTCGATGCGTCATGCAGCGCCGCATCCCGGTGATGCTGATATGTCTGTCCCTCGGGGCCGTGTGGTTCGCTCGGTCGTCGGCTGCCTCCTCGTCGACTTCCAGAACGGAGGGCTCGCGGACATGCGCTCGAGCATCCTCGAGAGCGAATCTAGCGAGCATAGCCACGCAGGATGGCATGGCATGACTAAGAACGCTGCCATACACCTATGCACGCTTGCGAGGCGCCACACTGAGAGGGATTTTTGGACGACAGGAAGAGGAGGTTAATTAGCACAGATGCCCGGCGATCCGGGCAGACAGATTACAATAAGATGTCGCGGTGCGCCTTTACGAGGTCCTGTTGGGAGGGTGGAAATTGGGAAGTTTGAGATTAACGACCTAGAAATGCATACCTGATACGAGGTACCGGGTATCGGGGTACCCAACTCAGTAGCAATTCTGGTATCACGTGAATATATAGATACCTCAGTACATAGGTAAGTATAATTACATAGCGAGGTGCCTCCCCCGTGAGGTAAGCAAAGGCTGACTAACCGTGGGATAGTCCGGACTATTACCGAATATACCCAACGGGCACTCCGTCGCAAAGTCTCCGAAGGTCTCCGAGGGTCGGAGACCGACACACGTACCGAGCCGAAGCATCGTGGGCCACAATCTCGTTATCTCCCGCCCACCAGATCCAACAGCCTCAACTGTAGAAAAGGTCTGTGAGTTGTGCCCCCTGTATCCAGTCGAGGCTTCGTTGGTGAACTTACCTACCCCGCTCACTCAGCCTCTCAGCCTTCCCCTTGCAGAAGTGCCTTGCTAGGCTGTCTACTACCTACCTACCTACCCCATCCCCTGCAAAGTGCACGTCGTAGGAGTGATAGATAGTACTACTCTGCCTGAGGTCGCCGCGGAGGGGACACGCGCTTGCTTGCGCGAGGGGAGGCAGATTCGTACTCCATCCAATGGGCGGGGGCTCCTTCGGCTTGACGGAGCTAGGGTTGTCAGTTTACCTACCTATCTGTGGCGGGTAGGAATCGCCTGAGATGGAAGATGGATTGTGATGTTTGTCGGCGGGTTCCCGGGAATATCAGCTGCTTTCGCTTGGGCGCATTAGGGCTATTTCTTGTCATCCTGTCGGCTGTTTTAAACGGACGTGCCAAACAACCTGACCGTCCTCGCGTAGAGTTCAGCCCACGCTGTTGTTCACATCCCGGGAGCTCATCCTACAACTCATCGTCAGGGATAGATACAGTAAAAGATAGTCCGATGATCATATTATGGCTATATCGTACGTGCTGAAAGATGGGACATATGCGCTGTCGGGTGGCGTATTCTAGTATCTAGCTAATCAGAGTGATGGGCGACTAGATTATTATGTGCCTCTCATACACACCGCCGTGAGCTTTTGCACAGTACACGCCAGCCCTTTTCCGACCCTCGTTTCGTGATAAGAACAGCTAGGGACGCATTTGCTTTTCCGATGTCCACGACTGACAATCGGGCGGACTTCTGTGATACATGACCCTCTCCTGGAATCTAACACAAAGCCAATAATACCTAGGGTTTGCTGCCTCTCCTCAGTGCCTAGTTCTTCAAGCCTCTCGCCTCTCTATTAGAGCCCAAATACTCTCTCCCTTGCTCCCTGCCCCAACCCTATATCCTATTACATTGGACGATGTGCGCATCGTCGAGTGTTCCATAGGCTACGTGGAGCTACGTCTACCTAGATGATTTGCAATAAGAGACTTAGTCCGGATGCCCCCTTCTTCCACTACCCCCTTTTTCTCTCTGACCGCACTTCCCCAACGCCATCGCATGCCGATCGGCATGTAGCGTCATGTCTTAGTAACGCATGCCACGACTCGAGGGTGCTTTGCTTTTTCTTCCCGTCACTTTGCAGAGCCGGCATTGACATCCCAGATAGCCGAGACCCGCGGACTGTAAATCGACCCCAACGCAACCCCTTGCATCCTTGACCCTCCCGAAGCGCGGGATTATGAGCTTCCCGAGATCATGATATCGGCCTCGCTAAGCGGGGATAGCCATGTCGTGCTTTCTAGACATGCATGCCCCGATATATTAGTCCTCGACAGCAAACGGCTACGGGGAGCAACTCCGTCTTCACCGCCAGAAGATCAGGAGTACGAGGTCGCGAATTAAACAGCGGCACCCTCGCGATGCTCATATTTCCAATATACAAGCAGGGAAGACGGTGATGGCGGCGGGACACGTAAGGGTATGGCCGAATATTACTTACTTCGTTCGACTCTACTCTCTACACCTTTCTCGGGGAATGTGGCTTCGGCAAGGTTGTCGAGATATCGAGAAGCACGTAGTGGTGGTCTGAAGGCCTGAGTATTGAGTCTCCTGTTCTATCGTAACGGATGCTGCAGCTCTCACCTCGGTAGAACTTCCCGAGCCAGGACTATAGAAAGCCTCATATTTATACTACATCTTCGAACAGAAACTTCGAGTGTGCTGAGGGTGGTAGCACAATGATATTCCACCGCGCCGAGGGGGAGCTATAGGGGCATCGACTACTGAAGCCGAATACAAGTTGGCTGTGTATCGATGTACCAACACCGACTGTCCGGGTGGCGTGGGGCTTCGGCGACAACCTAGAGACGAGCACATCGATGCCCCGCAGTTGGATGCAGGTCTCGGGATAGTTCCGTTCTTGGCGTCGGTGGTGGTGACGACTAGAATCGATGTGTTGTCATGTCTGTCACAGTTCTCAAAGGGACCAGCATGGACAGTCGTACTAGATGTCGACACTTGAAACTGTATATATTGCCCTACCTCTCTGGTAGCACGCTGTGAGTCTTAACAGTATTGCTACCTATAGAACGCTGGACTCTCATAGCCATCCCGACAAACTAGATCCAGTTCCACTCTCCCAGAGCAAACTCCCGCAACCATGGCTAAGGGCGACGGGCTTATCAAGGTGACATTCTTCATCACTAGGAAAGACGGGGTGTCCGCTGAAGCGTTTCACGAGTAGTATGTCCTTCGTGCTCTAGCCAGGGAGCAGACGGTGGAGGGGAGGGCAGTTAATATACTAACCCAGGAGTCGTGTCTAGTTGGTCCCAGCGCCATGCCCAGGCGTTTCTCTCCGTCCCGATCATTCGCAAAAACGTTGTAAAGTACTCGCAGTTCCACGCGGACAGCTCCGTCGACCTGGCCAAGTTCGGAGTGGGCGTGGCCAGCTATGACGGGGTGGCGAGTGTGTGGGCGCGCAGCCTCGACGAGCTGGCGGCGGTAAGTGCTACCTAGGTCCCCGTGGAAACGGATATCCCGGCGATTTCGAGGCTTGTGACTGACGCAGACGGCCTCACATCTAGGTTTACACCGACGCCGAGTACCTTAAGGCCGTGATTCCGGACGAGGAGAAGTATTTCGATCGGGGGAAGGTTGTCACGATGGTCGGGTGGGACGAAGACAAGTGGGAAAATGGCAAGGTCCTATAGAGGACAGGTCAAGTGGCACAAGTCTCGAGAGTCTTTGGCTATCCCTGTAGAATATGCAAGATACAAGTCAACAGCCGAGTCTTAATTACACACTGTGGCCGTATGGGTTGGCGTAGGACGTGCCGTTGGATACGTGTTTGGCTTAACTTGACCCTGTTTCGCCTCCAACCCGCCACCTGCGCCGGTAATGCCAACAACATCATGGTACCAGCACGACTCTGGCGTGGCGAGGCTGCCGTATAGTCTGTCGGCGATATCTCCGGCCGTGGTATACCGCTCCTAAATAAATATTATAAATAGTATGCATTCCGATTCCATCCCACGTTACCGAGATACTTACCTATCAACTGTTTAGCTATTGATATTCTTGTATTGCGAATGCCGCGCTCTCTGGTGCCTACTGGAGGAGAAGGCCGGTGGCGGCCTGACCGGCTTACTGACCGGCGCACGCTATGCGCGTATATTGAGAGACCTACATATCTCATATACCTACCTCTAGGCGGCACGCAGGCATCCCATCTCAGTCTCAGGTGCCTCATGTGGTCAGCCGGCGGTTTGCCTGCATATATAGGTATGTATGCGTGAGCCCGTCTCCTTTATGCATGTATGTGCTGTAGGTATGTACGTGCGGCGCGGGTTAGCTAATGGGCGTTGCGGTGGACTGGGGGTTATTTACATGATCCGCAAATCTCTGCTTGCTTCTAGGACTCGTCCCCCTTTTACCACTCCCCATCCGTGTAGGTAAATCCGCCCGGCCCGGCTCCCCTTTTCGTGATAGTGTCGCGGCTCAACATCAAGGGAAAAAGATGTCGCTGGTCAGTATTCCCGTCGAGATTATTACCGACATCTTCTGCCTTGTCGATTCTCTGGAAGCGCGCACCTATGGAGACTATCAGCGTTCCAATCTCTGCGCCCTCGCGCTGACCTGTCGTTACCTCTCTGAGGTAGCTGGCGCTCTTCTCTACGAGCGTGTTAGCTTCGGGTTCGGTGTTCTCGACCGCTTTTTAACAGAGGACGTGAAACGAATAAAACACTTGAACAGGTCGTTTAGGAATAGGCCGTCCCTCGTAGACCGCATCCATTCCGCCGACCTGCATTTTCCCTTTACGGGGGCCGGCTCTATTACCTATAAGGAATTCCTCCGTCACTTGAGCAGGTCGAGTTCGCTAACGAGCCTAATGACGGAGCTTGGCTTTGCGTCGTGGAACCACTTGGAGGCGTTGTATAAATGCGAGGAGGGAGGCTTTCCTAACTTGAAAACGTTGAACATCGAGCTCCTCGGCGGGACGCAGTGGGACCAAAACGAGCTTCCCGTCGAGAAATTGGCCTCGATATGCGAACTGCCGAGCTTGGAGACGATTGTCGTCCGAGCATCGATCGAGCTGCCCTCGGAGAAGCCCGTGTCGACAACGCCCTTCCCCAACCTCAAGCGTCTGCACTTCGGTTTCCAACCCGTCTACGTCGAGGTTCTGCAGACCTTGATGTCGCGGGCCCCGGGCTTGACCTCTCTCCGGCTTCCGATTCCGGGGGAGTCCTTCCAGTGTATCATGAAGAATCCCGATAAGCCACACGTAGATGGCTACAGCATGCACGGCATTATGAGCCCTGAATTCTACGGAACTCTGTTTTTGCCGGTGGCGAGTAGCCTGACTGACCTGGTTCTCAACACCGACCACGTTTTCTTCACGCACGACGGATCTGTGATCGACCTCTCGCGCCTCGTGAACTTGACTAGCCTTACTCTCAGCAGCTATTTGCTTTTCGGCTCCGGCCACCTCGCCGCCGACGACCCGCGGGCGCAGGGCGTTTGGGAATCGCTGCCGGCGTGCCTGACTGAGCTGCATCTGAGGTTCCCCGGCACGATGGGCTTATTCTGGCCGCTCGACGTTGTGCAAGCCCGCGCGGCCTCCGACACGTTTGGTGAGCGCTGGGAGGAGAGGCTGAACACGGACCACGTCGCGTGGCTGCTCGACCTTCTCGATAAAACTCGCGATCGTAAGCTCGCTCTCAAATCGATAACCATCAGCGAAGGCTCGGCAATAGACTCGGAGCCTGTCTGGCAGATTGTGCAGTGGCATATGACAGACCTGCTGAGGAAAGCAGCCAGAGAGGCATCTGTGAACCTAGTTATTCGGCTGAGAGTTCCTCTAACATTCGATTCTACCGAGTTTGATGTGTGGAAAATACCACAACGACGTGATCTAAGAATATGATTGCACAGCGGTTAGTACAGGGTGGTTTCTACTCACATACTGGATCCAACGTTCAGGAGGTATGGGGGAGTTCGAACGATTTGGTTATACGCCTGGCTGCGTTTGGAATATCTTGAAATAGAAAGGATATTATAAGTATGCGAGTAATGTTGAAATTCAATAGGTATTTACAAAGTAAAGGTGCTTCCTCTTTCGAGTTTCGCGTGTCACACCCCGGCTTGGCTTCAACAGTCGTTGTCATATACTACAACGAGTGGCAGTGGCACTCAAAGACATATATATCCAAGAACTCGTTGGGTGATCTCCGCGTGGTATTGATGTCAGCTCTTTGAATGACTTAACCAAAGCCACACCGGTCTTTTTCTATGTGACCCTCTGGCTGCATTGTCTCGGTGCAGCCTCCGCAAAATTCACCTTTGTCTCATATACTAATTATAATTATAAATAACACCGCCCATACGCCCGAGTACATAAGCCACGCGAGGCCCAAACGCTTCTACTCATAGTCGAGGTTTTCCGACGTTTGGGAACACCTTTTCTCATCTCACCGGTTTAGAAAACTAACATAGTCGGTTTCTCTTGTCGTCTCTTCTTCGTTTCCGTTTTTGGGGAGGGGGAACACGTCGCTCCCCTCTTGGCCTACTAGCCCACCATGAGATCGACCTGGACCCTCGCCACTGCCCTGCTCTCGTTGACCGTCAGCCGCGTCTCCGCGTGGGCGGGATTTTCGGTGACAGAGTTCGCGACGAGCGACTGTAAGGGGTGGGTGAAGCATGCGAGCATCGGCATGAAGCCGCAGTACTGGCAAGTGGCGAGTAAGTTAGGCGTCCCGCCCGTCCCCCCCTATATCCTCCCTCCATGTAGACCGAATTCTGCTGTCCCATACACTTCTTTAGGACACGGCTGTTGATATACCAAACCCACCCCCGTCTCTGATGCCTCGCGCCACTACACTGCCTACTTAACGCACTACCCGACCACGGGCGCGAGATGTCGCTAACGCCGTTTCCGCGTGCACAAGTGAACAACGAGTCCAACAGCGTCTCCGTCTCCGTCGTTAACGATGGTATATTCAGATGGTACGGCTTCTCAGAGGCGGCCGAGTTCGGATGCGGTGGCAAGGTCGTCGGCCGCCTCTGGAGCGGCTGCGTCAACCTGGACATCTACGCCGAGCGCATAGAGTGCATTCGGTGGTGCAGCATGGTAAGTGGGCCCGTTGCCCTGATAAGTCCCTCCTCTCTGCGTTGATGAGTCCCGTCTCAAGCGGGAGCACCGCTTTCCTAGTCTTGCCTGCTCTGTAGGTCTCGGGTCTCCCAGCTATTGCTAGACTGTCGCTCTGTCCGAATCCGGTTTGAATGCTAATTCTCGGTGTTGTAGTGGCGACATGACGACCACTCTTGTGAGGCGATTGGCCAGAGTTGAAGGGAGCTGAAGATACGTATATCTGTATGGAAGAGGCGGTACCAGGGGGGGCGAACGTCGTCGTACATAGAGGACGGTGTATACATACCGAGCAAGTTAGGAATAGACTTGTAGGATTATCCATCCATCTTAAGACTCGAATGCCACATCCCAACCTCTAACCCAAACAATGGTCGATTAACCAACACCTGATACTTTAGCCCGTGTTTGTAGGATACTTTGCTCGAAGCAGCCTGAGACGCCCACTGGCGCTGGGACGTTTCGAGTGGGTGTTTGCGAAGGTATTTCGGGGCGCTGGCGCATACGGCATGAGATGGTGCGTTTCCTCTCCAGGGCCCAGCATATTGCCCGGCACCCGGTGAGAAAAGGAGAGGGGTTAATGGGAGCTGCTTGCGAGCACGCCCACCCCGGCAAGGTTCATCGTCACTCTCTAATACTAGTCGAGAGGTGCGAGCTGTGCGACACTGCCATTCTGTCTGTGAAGTGTCAACAAGATATGTTCTAACGGTAATCAGACCACATTGCTAAGGCGATGTGTCACAAGAAACCAGTAAATTATAGTCACGACCGGTCTATTCCGCTGCAGATAATGTTATCGCGAGACAAAGGGGGGTTCAGGGGAGAGAGGGGGACCCGGGTTAGAGTTAGAATTTCGCGTTTTCCTGCCACTTGGGTATAGAGCATCTCAATTGAGCGGTGCGAAGAAGGTGGTCGAGATGTGATGCCCGGTACTCGGTGGTAGATATGGAGCAGAATCTCCGTCTATTATAATACATATGATCTCGACGGAAGGCTCCCGTTGGGTTGCCTAGGTAAAAAGAGAGAGGTGGAGAAAAAAAGGGAAGGCAATAAAGGGTATCAAGGTGTCCGTTCACTTTACTGTTCCTGGAAACGCCGTAGCAATGGATCTCGATGAATCTCCAGAGAGCTGCGCAGTCCGGGATCGAGTTGCTCTCCACACAACAAGTCTTCTCCTCTTAGGATGCCAGCGAATGCCTCGCAATCCGGAGGCCAACATAAAGGATTGTTTTGAGTACGTGGCGTGTCCACGGCACGCGGATGGGCCTCGAAAGGACGACCCATGAGAGGCTGATTAGTTACCATGCGCTCGCTGACTGCCACTCCGGAGGCTGGTAACCGGACGTCTCGTATGTCGCTAGATTACGTAAATATTCGCGTTGGTCTCGGAAGCTCGAGTAGTCACCGGCAAGAATGGGTCCGAGGATGGTATCGCTGAACTTGCGGGCCCCGGTGCCTTTGGCGAGCTTCGCCATGCGCTCTCGAAGAGCGTCGAAGGCCTTCGAGAAATGACGCAGGATCGTGGCCGTGTTCGAGGACCCACCAGCAATGTCATTCTGCGGGTTGTTCGGATCCAGAATAGACAGACGATCCATGTTTCGGTATACAACATCGCTAACCTGGCTCTGGATTTGTGGGGTTAGCCAGTATCGCACGTTTGGAGACTCCTCTCCCGCCGCGCTCACCTTAGAGACAAGCCCGGGGGGGTTCATGCGGATTGCGACCGTCTTGTAGTGAAAGTGATTTCCGTAGTAGTCGAAAAATTCCATCAGAATGTCGCCGAGATGATGCTCCGGCTTCATGGCGCCGCTCTGGACCTGGGGCATCTGGTTGAGGAGGTTTACCACGAGACAGATCACGGAAAACCCGCCGATCCCGCCGTTCACCGGTTCATTCAAGCCCCTCATTAGCAAGAATTGCTTAATAATCGAAACGAGGGTCGGCATAGCCGGGTACTTCTCTTTCCATTGCAAGAACGTATTGATGGCGCGATAGCCATCCAGTTTCTCGAACGACATGTCGACTTTGAGGGCGGTTTTCGCATCCTTGTACTTGACTAACGGCACCTTAGCATGCAAGATCATCTCGACCTGGCCCTGATAGGGGACTCTGTGGTATAGGAGATGGCTTCGGAGGGCCCAAAGATCCTTCTTGCGGTCATATACGGGGTTCCCGTGGTCGATGAAGCTGTTAGAACACACCGAGATGTCCATATCGGCGGTAGGGAGATAAAGCCCAGACATAAAGGAGCCGAAGGGGAGAACATCCGCATCCGGCCACTTCATCTTGATGACCTTGCGAAGATGGTCGACCATCTGGGCGCGAATGCGCTCCTCGAAATCCCGCGGCCGCACGTACTCGTAGAAGTCCACCACTTCCATGTGGAGACTGGAGGCGAGGGTTTAGCATAGATCTCGACCGAGACGGAGCGCGCAGCCGGCAACACACTTACCGAGTAGACATCGAGGGGATGCTGGAATGGTCCTGAGATGCCCAGGGGCAGGAGTCGGGGCCGCGGTTCTGCCACTCGGGCACCACGCCCCCATCGGAGCGCATCTTGGTGACAGGCTTCAGAGAGGTATGAGGCAGCTTGATGCTGTCGTCGATGGTCCGCTTGCGACTTCCCAGGCTGGTTGAAGGGGTCAGGTCGGCTTGGCTCTCTTGCCTAGCCGGCCTAGCAATATTGGTAGGTTGGAGAGCGGGAGCAGTGGTAGATGGTGCGACGACCGAGGAGGACGAGGGGAAAAGGCTAGGTGGCAGTGGCAGAGGGGGTAGAGTTACCGGTGCCTCTTGGGGCCAAATGGGCGCCGGAGTTTTGGGTGTAACTAACTCAGCAGTTACGCTTTTTGTTAAGGACTGCTGCTGTCCAATCGCTCCTCTCCCACCTTGATCCTCACCTTGGTCCGGGATATTTTGACCCTTCGCTTTTCCCGGGCTCGCGCCTGTTTCGTCGCCTTCAACGTCGCTAACGTCGAAGGAGATAAAATCCAATCCCTCCGTCTGTGCAGCTGCCTTCTTTCTCTCCGCCTCTACACGTGCCTTGCGGATCATTTGCACCATGTCTCTCTTCTTGCGCGTCCCCTCGTCCGGAGGCGGCAGCGCCGTGTACGGGTCTGGATTCGACCATCGCGGCACCTCCTGATCTGGAGTCGTCCCCTTACCGGCGGGACCGGCAGTCTCGGATGTCCGTGCGCGCTTGGTCGCGGGTTCGGCTGTGTCCTCGTCGGAATTGTCGGAAATGTCCATGTCCGTCTCGTCGCTATCGGAGAGTTCATCTATATCTCTATAAGTAGCTCGGCCAGTGGTGTCGCCTAGCATCAGCTCCACCTGGTCATCGTACTTCTTCGACAAGAGGAGTCTGTCGGCAGCTTTCTCGCGTTCCCTCCTCCCAGATCCGCCATGGTGCGGCGGGCGGTGTTGGCGGGGCGGGTGTTCGCGTCGTTTTCGGCCGTCATCGCGACGGGATCGGCTATCGCGGCCGGAATGCCTCTCTCGGTCGTTGCGGTACGAGGAATGGCGTGCACTTCGCTCATTGCTATAGTCGGTTCTATTATGAGCATTGTTTCTGGCCTGGGGCGGAGGACGGTACGAGGCATACTTCCTTGGGCCGCGTCGATCTCTTTCGACAGGCCGATACGAGCTGTACTGTTCGACACCGGCCGGTCGTTCTACACGGAAGGTAAAGTCACCTTGAGGCGGATGAAAATTGTCGCGGCTGCTGTGATGATCTTGATCAACTTGACGGCGCGTATCCGAGTGGTGCTGGCCCTGGCGTAGGTCGGAGTAGGGGCCGCGGGACTGATAGGTGTCTCGGTAGCCCTGGGGGCCGTAGTTCGTAGCCCAAGGCTGCGATGATCCCTCCATAGCCGGCTGCGGCGGTGGCGGCGGAGGGTATGAAAGCGGGCGAGCGTGCCTATCATACCCATATGAAGAAGAAGAAGGCGCTGGAAGGGGAGGCAGAGGCGGCTGCGGCATCGATGCCGGGGGCAACGGCGGCTGCTGGGGCGGCATCGGGGGAGGCCCGGATGTTGGTGTATAGAATTGACTATACATGGTGCACCAGTCGGGTTGCAACTCTCCAGTAGGCGAACTAAAGCCGATGTTGCCGAAGAGGGAGCGGGGAAGTCGAGATGAATCAACCAGGTGGAATGTGAATGTGAATGCAAATGCGAATGCGGATTGTTCTGTTCGTGGGATGCGACGAGGAAATCAGGTGCGGTAAGCTGGTGGAATCCAACTTGAGCGCTAAACCCCCTTTGGCTCAGCCATCGAGGTTCTTCTGTCCCGAGGGACTTGGAGAGGTACCTAATCGGAATGCCTACGAGGTTTAGGTAGGTACCTAGGTAGGTTAGGTTAGGTACTTTAGGTGCCTCTCAAAGTACCTAATCTACCCGGGAGCGATTTCACGGGCTATAGGTTAGGTACCTAAACTTACCTGGGCGAAAGCCTAATGCACTTGCCCACGTCATTAAAAGGTGCTAGCATATCATGTACCTACATTCCTAAGAGGTACCAGATGTTTGTGAAGGTTAGGTGCTTGATAGGTACATTAGGTACCTACCTTTTTCTCCTTCAGATATCCAGGTACCTCCTACCTGTGGTTAGGTCATCCAAAGTAAGAAGAATGCAATAGGCTTGAGACGTACCTACTATGTACCTACTGCGCAAGAAAGAGGTAAGTGAGGTACCCACATAAACATGTTAAGTGAGTCTCTTTTTATTCCTCTGTATTCCCGCTTACCTAAGGCACCTGAGCCAGCTAATACCACCTCTTGAATCCTTCTCATAACAACCACCGCTCCCATACTCTCGCCTTATCAGCTTGGACATGTCACGATGAGCCCAAGATCTTTTCGGCGAAGGCGAGGTTTACACAAATCTGTCCATCAAATAAACCGGCTTTGCCGTCCAAGCTTTCCCAAAGCTACTTACCTACCTACATATTGCCTCATGGCTTCCCGAAGCCCATGGCTCCCTACCAAGCTACAAGTACAAAATTCGAAAATCTGCTCACGTACATCCTCCTCCTCGTCAGTTGCAGGTCTCAAGGGTTGCAATACCACTCAATGTCATTCCGTGAAGCCGATTCAAGTTAGGCTAGAACGCGATATGGCAGGTATCGAAAAGCTGCCTCGGGATTGAGTATAGCCAACATAACTTCGTGGTCAGTCTTCAGTCCGCTACGTTAGGTGCGAGCCGGCCTCTGTCTGGGATCGAGTAGGTATCAGTGGACTGCATCGTGTTGGCTCCGCGTGACCAGGCATAAGTATCCCAAGATGAGCAAGTTATGAAATATGGAATAACGTAGAAACTAAAGGCTGATCGTGAACTCCATGGGGAAATAGAACGGCGGGTGGACGGTACGGCAATATGACGCCCCGCGCAGGGTCGGGTTGTTGTGCTGCCGCTTAATTTCCCTATATTGTTGCGGATCAGGAGCCGCCGCCGCCCTGAATCGGTGTCGCGATGCTCTAGCTATAAGTTGGCGTGCAAGTTGCTGTCGTGGGGTCCGCAGAGAGATACCCCCAGGCTATCACGCTTCAATCGGACTGCCTTAGCTGCTCGCAAGCCATATTGGGCCAACTATGAAGGTCTCGTCGATCATCCTCGGCCTCGCGTCGTTGGCCTCCGGCCACAGCATCTTCCAGAAGGTCTCTGTGAACGGAGTGGACCAGGGCCAGCTCAAGGGCGTTCGTGCCCCGGACAGCGACTATCCTATCCAGAACGTCAACGACGCGGCCTTTGCGTGCAACAAGGATATAAAACATGCCGATAGCACCGTCATCACCGTACCGGCCGGAGCGAAGGTAGGCGCGTGGTGGGGGCACGTCATCGGAGGAGCTCAAAGTGCCAATGACCCCGACCACCCCATTGCCAAGAGCCATAAGGGTGAGTCTAGGATAGCGTCACGCGCGTAGCATCGCGAGGCGAGAGCTGATCGGGTCGTCTAGGGCCCATCATAGTGTACCTGGCCAAGGTGGACAACGCTGCTACTGCCCAGCCGACAGGCCTGAAGTGGTTCAAGGTTGCCGAAGACGGCCTGAACAACGGACAGTGGGCGGTTGACAAGATGATCGCCAACCAGGGCTGGCACTACTTCACCATGCCCACCTGTATCGCTCCGGGAGACTACCTGATGCGGGTCGAATTGATCGCCCTCCACGGCGCCCAGGTGCCGGGACAGGCCCAGTTTTACATGGAATGTGCCCAGTAAGCCAGCACCTCTTTCCTCTCACACACGTATCCCCCGCGTCCTAACAGGAGGCAGGATTCGGATCACCGGCTCCGGCACGAACGCCGGCGCGAATTTCGTCAGCTTCCCAGGGGCGTACAAGTCCAACGACCCCGGCATCCAGATCAACATCTACGACAACAGCGGGAACCCGAACGGCGGCGGCAGGCCTTACAAGATCCCAGGCCCAGCCGTCCTCACTTGCTAGGATGCTCACAAAGTAGGGTATACCTATCTACAGGGGCTGTCGAGGGGTGGCTTGTACGCATATATAGCACAATCAATAAACGTACCTTTAGTAAGACGGATGCAAGCGCGGGAGCCGTCGATATATATCGCATGCCGACAATCCCTAAGCGGCATAGATGATCCCACGAAAGATTCTCAAAATAGAAGGAGTGAAGCTTGCAGAGAACCTCTGGAGTCGGATGGAATGACATCACGAAATGCATACGTGAGCCCGTACGAAGAAGCCACTAATTTCTATCACTTGAGAAATCTGCTCTTGTAAGCCTATATGTAGAACTCGTAGAATGTAGGCGCTTACGTTTCATGCAACAATTTCTGAGCGAAACGTCTGCCTACTTGTCTAGGGTTGCACGACTATTAGATGGCATAATAAAGAGAATTTTGGCACCGAGAGGTCGTAAATTGCTATAGCGAAGGCTTGCTTGCTACGGCACGGGGAAAGGATAGAGAAAGGATTGTCAACTTGCGTAGTACTAGCGTCTTCATTGTTAAATAAACCACAGCTTTATTACCATCACCGGGGGACTCGCTGGTTGATTCAACAACTCAATGCGCTCTGTATCATGCTTTATCGACGTGCCATTGCTCCAGATAGGAGTCGTCATTCCTCTCTTGGAAGCGCGACGTCGTCTTCGAAGTCCTCCCCTAGTACCGGCAAAGATAAGAAAATAGCTAGAAGGAACTCGCGAAGACTAGGTAGCCTACCGCTTTGATCAGCTCGTAAACACGATCGTACCGTATGTAGGTATGTACAATGACATGCCCGGCATTGCATCTTGGATGATTTAGCATCGTGGACAGAAGCGTCTCCTGCTTCTCAGGCCGTCGCCCCTTGGGTGGTAGCTCGCGTGGTCTCCCTCCAGTCACTACCAGGCTCGCTAGGAAGTCGAGGTGGAGGGATAGGACAAGGACGGGGCGTGATGCGACTTCTGTAAGCCGCCGGGTCGGATCATCTACTCGTCCTCCCCCCCAGCCTCGTACTGCCTACTCTACTCAGAGCGCGGCGGCTAGGCCATTACGGAGCGAGATATGCCGGTCCACAACACAACAACACCGAATTCACCATCCCCGAAGTGCATTCCAACCTAGCCGCTGGCATGGGCCGGTTAAGATACGCGATTCGGCCGTTCCGACAGCACGCCTGATACCTAGGGCTAGCTGGGTCGGGACATGCCCTGCCCTGCCTGCATCAGCCAAGACGAGACACCGTCGTGAGAATGGATGGCTAGCTACGGAACTGTTGATGGCCTAATATATTCAGCTAATATGTGCAGGGGTTATCATGCTCTGGGATAGGCTTACTGTGTGAGCTGAACTGGCCGCGAACCAATGGCGACGGAGGCGTAACTGAGGTCGACAAAAATAGCACCCTTGCTAACCAAGCTCCATCCAACGGCAGGGTCTCCTTCGTATACCTATGTCACATTCTATAGCAGTATTGTCCTAGTAGCCCACCACAGTGAACAAACAACCTGCTGTTGACACTACGAATATAGCATCATGCCGTCCCGAGTCACCATCCAGACTTCCGTCACACGTGCTGATATCAGACCCGCCGAAGCGAAAAACACCCTTCTGCCTAGGTATATGGCAACTCGGAGGCCCAGTATTTACATGATGGGATTCGTTTCATCCATCGGGAAATTGCCAATAATTTGAGCTTCTTAGTCTCGGGCTCCGTTGCTGGTGTCAGCATACAGGTGGCGACCAGCTTGCCGTGCTGATCGCCTACTCTACCTGGCTCAGGGGAAGAGGCCCATGCTGCAGAGCCATCGGCGCCGCATCGCTCTATACGATGCGGCAAGGTGTGCCCGTTCCCGACCTGTCCCACGAGCTGGGCAAGTCGTAGCAGGTTTCCATATAAGGAGAGGCCTGCCGCCTGTCCCTTTGCTTCCCAGCGTCTTTGCATTCAACGGCAGCTCTGCGACACGTAGCAGTGACCAAGATGCAATCCAAATCAGTGCTGGCGACGATACTAACCCTGGCGGCTGCCGGGGTTGCTAGCTCCGCACGTAAGACGCCGCTCAGTCGATATGGTTGATATTCGTCGCAGCTTGCTAACCACCGCGATAGCCCTCGACTCTCCCAGCACGTCCACTGGCCTCGCCAGGCGATGGCTCCCAAGCACGGACAAGATCCGCGGCGTCAATCTTGGATCGCAATTTATCATTGAACCCTGGATGGCGTGGGACGAATGGAACAGCAGTAAGCTATGGCAACGGCTATAACTCCCGCCTTTTAGCGCTCATATTTCGTATCCGAATTCTGACCGGCGTCGTAGTGGGCTGTGGGAATAGGAATGATGAATGGCAGTGTGTGGAGGCGCTGGGCCAGGACGCCGCCGACGCAGCCTTCCGCAGGCACTGGGATACCTGGACGACGCAAGACGACATATGGCAGATCAAGAGCCTGGGCCTCAACACGGTGCGCATCCCGGTGGGATTCTGGATCTACGAGAGACTCGTGAAGGCAGACGAGCACTTCCCGCGGGGTGGCCTCGCGTATCTCGACCGGCTCGTCGGCTGGTGTCGTGACGCGGGTCTGTACGTGATCATGGACCTGCACGCCGGGCCCGGGGGCCAGACGACACGCCAGCAGTTCACCGGCCACAGCGTCGACTACCCGGGCTTCTACACCCAGGAGAACTACGAGCGCACGTACCAGTTCCTCGAATGGATGGCCGAGCGGATCCACACCAACGACAACTACCGCACCGTCGGCACCCTGCAGGTCATGAACGAGCCCGTTCACTCGAGCGAGTATCCCGACCTGGCCGCCAATATGGTCGCCAACTTCTATCCCGGCGCCTGGACACGCATCCGAGACCGGGAGAGGCAGCTGGGCGTCGCTGACAACGAACGTCTGCACATACAGATGATGGTATGGCTACCACCCCACTCGGAGCGACAGCTCTAGTTCGAGGCACTTCTAACATCCTCTTGGCAGGGCATCGCGTGGGGCTCCGGAAACCCGAGCAGCCACCTCCCGGACACGAGTCTTGCGCTGTACGACGACCACCGTTACTACAAGTGGGACCCGTCGGTAACGACAACGAAGGACGGGTACATCTCGGCGGTGTGCCGGGACTACCGGGGCGGCAGCGACATCATCATGGGCGAGTGGTCGCTCGCGGTGGCCGACTCGGTGCAGTCCAACGGCGAGTTCGAGATCCGCGGCCGCCCCGACCAGGTCGCCTGGTACCGCAAGTACTGGGCCGCGCAGGCCCAGGCCTTCGAGCGCTCCGGCGGCTGGGTCTTCTGGACCTGGAAGTGCAACTGGATCGGCGGCTTCGACGAGTGGCGCTGGTGCTATCAGTCCGCCGTCGCTGCCGGTGTCATCCCCCGCGACGCGGGCAGCGCCTCTCAGGAAAGCCCTTGCTAAGCTAACCTAGTGATTCGTATATATAGCAGCATAACCTTTTGTCTATATTTGTATATACTTGGGTGTGGAGATTAACTAATACAGTTAGAGATTAAACACCTCTTACCTGCCTCTATTGTATGAGGCCTTGTATGGAAAATGCTAAGGGCATCACTTACTTTCGAGCCACTTGCTTTTGAGTCAATCGACCACCCCGGCAAGTTATTCGGGTTATTCTCGTCTCGTCAAGATTCAAGTGATACAAGGAGAGCCTTTGAATGTGGTGCGGCCGCGGCCATAATGGTGTTGTTACCGACTGTTCGCGCCCGACAAAGAATCCCCCGGAAAATCCTATGTCGTGACTCTAGAGAAAACTACAGGACAGGAGGGTAAGTTTCGAAACGGGCGACATGTTATTGCACTTACAACTTTGGATAAATTTTCGCTTAGTCCTGGTACGTCGGGCGGACGTTCCGTACAGTCTCCCCAGTTCCGCCATCTCAGCCCCAGCCGCCCTCTCTAGCTCGCGGAGTGCCGCGAAGACATAAACAGGACCCGCTGTAGGCAAAAAAGGAACCGCCCTGAGACAGAAAGAAACGCGAGAGACAACAAAGCTTAACCTACTAAGCTACTGTTTCTTGGCTGCGAATTCTGGTCCCTGAGCAAGCCCGCAAAGCGAGACACGCATCTAGCTCAGTAGGACTTGGTGTCTTGACGTAGACTAGCCACTCTCCAGACGTGCATCCCGACCACATTATCGCCGTCGATAAAATAGGTAGGATGTGCATACGGCGGATCACGCACCGGATGCACCACGACGTGCGCATACCCATGATAACGGACCCGGTAGCTCCAGACCCTCCCGTCGTCGCGAACCCGCGGCGGACCCGCTTCCACCGGTGTGAGCTCTCGCTCCCGCGACCGGGGCAGTTCTCCTTCGACGGCATTCCATGCTGCGAGTATCACAGCTGCTGCATGCCCGTCGTCGAGATCGAACCGTGCTGGCTGGCTTGTGTGAGGGGCGCGCGCTCGGGCACGAGAGGGCCGGTGGGCAGGGGCCGGTTGAGTCGCACATACCGCAGCATGGAGGAGGAACATGACTACATCAAGGAGGAGGAGGAGGAGGATGGGCCCGAGCAATGCCCCAAATTCGTGCTCGAGCACCGCCACGAGCGCCTCGAGTACCTCGACAGCCCAGACGCCTACCCCGAGAGCTACCCGGCGACGTGGGACACGAAGGTAGGCGAGCTCGACACGCACTGGCTGTCGCGCCGGTTCGCACACATCGGGCGGTACCAGGCGGCCTTCGAGGAGAAGCTCTTCGCGGCGTGCGAGCTGCTGCACACGCTCACGGAGGACGCCGACATCCGGGCGGCGAACGTCAGCGATCTCGACCGGTGCTGCCCCCCTTCGGACCCGCGAAGCGTTGGCGCCCAGGCCGATCTGCTGCGACTGGAAGCACGGCTCCACGAGCAACAGGTGCTCGTGTTCAATCTGATACACTGGGCGCAGGACTGGTGCCCTATGTGCTCTGCCGAGAGCAGATGGGCCCCCCCCTGATCGCGGATAACTCCTAGCTAACCTGCAACAGACAGGCCGGAATCGAGGTTGTAAGGAAATATTGCAGATGTAAGTAGAGATGGAATCCATCCAGGGGGCAATGCTGATGCTAGCATAGAAGCTTTGATGACCTATCCACCTACAGGTTTCTAAACGCTTGCTGATATTCCATGCTGACAGTGTCCGCAGCGAGCGGAGGGATTGGTAAGAAACAAGGCACCCTCTGCCCAGCAGCCGGTTGGTGCAAATCCCGCTGCGGCTTCGACAGCGTCAGCTTCTCAGGTTGTCTACTCTTGTCGAGCTCCCGAGATAAGTATTGAAAAGGAGAGGATTCCTAGGAGTTAGGTAGGTTGACACAGAACACCAAAGTACCGAGGCACTGAATCAATTAGTCAAGTCCGTCACCTTTCCTAGATAGGTGCGTATCACCCCAGTCATGTCCCGTGTACTTACCATGTACCTACTTCAGGTACTGCCTACATCTATCTGTATAGGTAGGTACCAAGTATCTAACCTTTGGCAAGGTACCTGCATGTAGCTGCCACGCATAACCCCCAGCGTTAGCGCTAAACAGGTACCTAACGGAGCGTCGACAGCCGCCAAGACAAGGGGAAGGAAAGGGAAAGTGCCGACATATAACTGCCTAATTAGACACCTAGGTATCTATTACGTACCCAGAAACAGGGGTGTTTCCCGTCGTCGTGGTGAGGCTCCCTGTACGCTTCCATCAGGGAGCCGGTTCTATCTATACCGGCATTTCTCTTTTCACCACCGCAATGTGAACGCACGCCGTGCCGGTGACGCCGCCACCTCCTTACCTGCACTCGGGTTTGCTGCGCCCTATTACAGCGATTCTTCCATAGCATGGGGACAGGCAGCAGGGCTCCGTCGTCCACCAGCCAAGACGGCCCGTCCACGACGCTGCCCAGCTCTGTGCAGAGCAGTCTGCACGTCATGTCGAGACGAGAGACCGTGCCATTGACGCATACCCAGCCATCCAATGGCTCTTGGGCACGGGGTTTCCGGCCGGCTGCGGGCAGCATATACCGATGCCTCTGCCGTGCCAAGGGCGTCTCCTGCCGCCCGAGGAGCCCCCGTCGCACCAATAGAGACGTGTCACTGTCTTGAGGAATATACACGGCTCCGCGCGCTGGGATAGTTGTCTTAGGCCAAGGAATCGCACGGCCCGAGAGGATACTTACGCGGACAAAGTGCCCCGGTGGTCGGATGAGTCTCCCAAGCCCGCTTACCACTTCGACCTACGCGCGAGGGATACCTTTCTGGTGGGTATGTGCAAGAGGGTAATACGACGGCCGTGCCGCTGACTTCGGTCGATGTGAGACGCTACACCTGTGGTTCGCCCGGTCCGACAATCATTGCCGGAAGTGGCAAGTCTAGCCCTTCGACCCGATATTGCGATAGTGCGGATGATAATAACACAAGCAATATAAAGACGGTGGTAGAACCTGTTTTCGTGCGTGCTGAGGGTGTGGGAGCAAGGGGAAACAATACCTACAGGTTTTCGAACGTGTAACCGACCCCCCGCCAGGTACGCGAGACGTAGAGAGATCGACAAGCGAGTCGACCGGCCGGTAGTTATATAATTAGCAACCGAGCATGAGAAAGAAGCTTAAATCCTGAGAGCGTTGATCACCTAGTCGCGCATCACGAACCGTAGCAGGGACTCGTAAGGCCAGCGAGGAGGGCTTGTCGCTCGCGTTTCCCTTCGCAGTCTCCTACCCTGAGACGTCTTCTACGCCCCCACGAAGCCTACTGTGTGCCGATGCTGCTGTAAGGTAATGTCCCTCGGGTATCCATTGCTATATGGCTGAGTGCGGAAAGATGCCGTGAAGATTGCGTGACAGCGCGCAATGTCGGGGGCCGTAAAACGAAGGCCAATAACCCTCGAAGCGGCACCACCTTCATCGCGGAGCGGCCCAGCATGACGTCCCAGGCCGTCGTCCACGAGCTTAAGCCCTGAGTCCGGTGCTATCGAGTTATGAGCTAGCGTTCGGGTATTGTATCCATGGTAGAGGAGCAAAGACTCCTCCGCTACCTACCAATGAGAAAGCCTAGCCGTGTGCTACGAGCCAGGAGGTGCATTCAGGCAGCTCGGATTTATCGTGAGCATATATTGGCTTCATTAAAAGACTTTAGCAGTTTGCAACTGCATACGATGCGCCCTGGCAATGCCAACGTCACGATGCAGCTAGCATTGAACATGGCCGTGCGCTGAGTGCCATGAGGGCAACTCAGACAGGGCAACTCAGACAAGGCGACATAGAGATGGCTCCCTCGAGAAGCACGTAATTGAAGGCGGCGATGAGCTTCGAAAGCAGAAAAGGCCACGGGGGTAGGTGGATAAATAGAGTCGACGTGACCCTTCGAGAGAGGATGTGTCTATCGCTATCCTTCGCCAGCGCCAGCACCTTCAGCAGAGCTCCCGTGCTGATCTCTTCGCTCCACCCCGTGTCAGTCTCGATAAACTTGTCCACGATGAAGGCCGAATTATTGGCTCTCTTTGCCCTGGGAGGTTGCTCCCTTGCCGCCAGCATTGGCAACCCTGCCGTCGCCGACGCTCGCGTCGAGAGGCGCCAGGACATCGACGGTATCGAGACGAGCCTCGAAGCCCTGCTAGTCCAGATCCAGGAGCGAACAGCCCAGATCAGTATGTTGCTCGCGGGGGAAACGGATGGCTGCTCCTGCCTTGCCTAACAAAGAACTAGATGAGACTCTGATCCCCGTGCGTGATGCCGCTCCCGAGGAGGACGCCAAACCCGCAGCCGCGTCCATCGCCCCTCAGCTGCAGGCCATCTCGGACCTGCTGGACAAGTCGGCCACGCTCACTAAGCGCGCCGTCGTCGAGAGCCGCTTCGTCAAGGCGGACCTTATCAAGACCGTCTCGCTCATTCTCTGGGAGCTCCTCGGCACCGTAAAGTTTATCCTCCTCAAGCTCGGTCTCGGTAAGATGTCGCGTCGTCCTCGCGCTCGGGATCCGAAGCTAACAAAGAGCAATGTTAGGCCCCGTCTTGTTCGACTTGTTACCCTTGGTCCTTTCTCTAGTCGGGCTTCTCAAGTCCCTTAACCTCGCCGTCGATGGTTTGCTCATTGCCGTCAAGTTCATCGCCGACGACCTTCTCAAGGCTGTCGGCCTGGGTCTCCTGGGCCTCCTCCCATGAAGGATCCATTGTCCTCACCAAGCAAATGGCCAGCTACATCTAACTGGGCCATTGAGGAAGGAAAGGGTGTTGGGTTACCGATATACACGTTCGGGTCCTGGATTAGGTAATTGTGTGGTCTTCATTTCCGCTGGGTACCTATATCTCGTATAGCTAGCAGGCTCAGATTGTGGGAATAAATAGGTATGTCAAGTACATGTGCCTTCACGGCCAAGTAAGGGTAGCACCCATATACGTACAAGACAAATGCTGTCACAGCCATACATACCCCTGCAGGCACATGGGCTTGTCCTGCTGACTTTTACAGTCTGGGTGTTGATGCGCCAGAGTGAAGTTGAAACTCGAAAGAAGCTGAGATGGAAGGGTAGCCGATAGTGGGGCCCCAACGGGACAGGGGGTTCGGAGATCACACTGAGCCCACACCCCCTGATTGGTTGAGGATCATCGTGAAACCCTGGCGGTGGATGGTTGTCCCCTAATAGGGGATCGTCGTTGAGGCTCTCGACGATATCGAGGGGTCGACGCCCCGTAAGGAGCCAATAGAGCGAGCACAGCCGTCGCGTTCGAAGAGGGGACTCCGGGGTAGCGATGGCACCATACAGTCCAGTCTCAAACCGAAGACCATCAGACTTGAGACGAATGGCCGTGTGCAACTCGGTTACTCGGATCGTTCTCGTGTTCTCGGGCGGGTAGACATGTCTACCTACACGGGACTGGACACGCAGCCGGCGACATAAAAGCGCGGGAGATCCTCGTTTCGATGATCGACATTTGGCCGCTCTCACCACTTCACTTCTCGATCTCCATCATCCTTCTGGGCAAGGGTTTCTTTTCACTTCTTCGATCATTCCTTCGTTTTTGGCCGGCACGAGACTTTTATCCTTTCCCGTCGATCGTCCTGACTTGTGACCAACGAGTATCTGTTAATTCTTCTTTCGTTTGTTAATGATTAATACCCACCCCAAGTCGGAATTGTAATTTCAAGTCGTCGAAGAAAGGCAAAATGCGCGTAGCACTCCCCCTCGTTGCGGCCATCGCTAGCACCGCTGTCGCGGCGCCTGTGACCGTCCCCTTGAGCGTGACCAACATCGGCCAGGCCGCACCGATCGCCCCGCGCCAGAACGGAGCGTGCTTCATCATCGGGAGCAACACGCTTCCCAAAGAGACCTCCGACATCGCTACGAGACTCGCCTCATCCGTGACCTGCAGCAGGTCCGCGACCACCATCGCCGGCGTCCCCGACGTGACCTTGGGATCGACCACCTACTCGGACATCGACTTCTCCAAGTCAAGCCAGTCGCCGCTCGCCTTCGCTCTATCGCAGTTCGCCACCGCCACCCCTCTGGCCAGCACCAACCTCCAGGACTTCGAAGATATGCTTGACGTCTACCTGGCCACCGAGGCCGGCATCCGTAGCGTCGGTGGCTCCCTCGCTATCAAGGTTCCCAAGTTCTTCCTCGAAATGCAGGTCAGCCGCATCCAGACGGCCCAGGGCAACCCGCCCACCGCGGCGGGGCTTCAGGTCAACCACCTCCGCGACAAAGTGCTCAAGAACGCTGGAAGAGAGAGCCAGGCTCTCCTCGACCAAGTCACGCGGCTGGCAACTCAGTTGAGCTAAAGGGGGGGATAGAAGAGCTACCTAGGTAGCTTGGGGATTAGCTGGTCTGCATGTATGTATAAGTGCCCATCCATAATCCCTCGTGGCCGATAACCACCTGTCCGGCCAAAACATGAATGATCGAAATTCGGTTCGAATTATGAAGCGCTTGTGAAAGAGTGGTCTGTATTGCATCTAAACCCGCCTTCTTCGCCGAACGCCTGTAAATGCATGCCTGCGTCTACGTAGTTATACATTAAATATTTGGTGCTAGTAGGTCGTATTTGACGCATCTCTCCACCTGTGTAAAGATAGGTCAGCGTCGTCGCTGGGGTCGGGTATAGGGCAGTCGAACTTACGTCCTCGATGCTAGCCTGCATAAATTTTCTCGCTTCCAGCCCAGCCCAGAAGAAGAATATAGAGAAATCACCGCCTTTTATCATCTCTGCTCCACTTTGGGTGCCTAGTTGTCTGAGGATTGGCAGGGAACTGCTGAGTAGGTCGATATTGGGATCGAGGCTACGACCAATACCCTCTAACAGCAAGATGCTGATCACAACATTCACGAAATCACCTTCTAGCCTCACGTGATGCTGCCTTACCATATCGAGGACTCGCTGCAGAATATCGCCGATCTTCACGTTGCCCAGAGCGAGCGTAGAGCTCTTCACGTTCAGGACGAGGTGTTGCATCTTCAACGCAAAAACCTCCTCGTCAATAACGGCGTCGGGCTGTCGGCAACGTTCGCACATCAGGTGACCGGCTTTATATCCGTCGAACTCGGCAATGGCACGGAAGAGGTCCAGGAAATTCCGACGATTTGTCGCGTTGAGCTCTGTTACGAGCCCGGTGTCAATGAAGATCAGCTGAGGCCGGAAGCCTTCGGCGTCGATCATTTTTAGTTCCGCCTCCCAAGCAGCGCGGTCCTTTCTATTGCGATAAGGGCGCAGGCGAGCGAGAACTTGCTCGGTAACGTCGGCCTGCACCTCCGGATGCGGCTTCTGGCCATGGGATGACCGGCGCAAGCCGAGTTCTGGCCGGTAAGCCTGGTAGAAGCGAACCATGATATTACCGGGATGCAAGTCGGCATGCACGAAATTGTCGATCAGCAGCATGCGTAAGAAGGCGTCGAGGCCTTCTTGCGAGACGTCTCTCTGAAAGACCCCGCCGCCGTTCTCCAGAAAATCGGAGAGGGGGATACCCTGCGCATACTCTTCAATCAGGACCTCGCGCGTGGTGAATTCCAGGTATGGGAACGGGAACCAAGCCGCCGTGCGGTCCTTGAAGTTGCTGCGAAATTTAGCCAAGTTGGCAGCCTCGATGCGCAGATCGAGCTGAAGCTTCATCATCTCTCCGAATTGGGCGACCTCATCGGGGAGCGATAACCACTCGATGGTGGGTATCGCATTGAGCAGCGAAGCAAAGAAGCCCATGATACGGAGATCTCGCCGGACCGTCCGTTCCACCTGAGGGTGCAAGACCTTAACAGCAACGTAAGAAGAAGGAACCCGTTTCGGTACGCTCTTGAGGACAGTGTCTACCTGGCGGCGGACGCTCCGGCGTATGTTAGTACGAGTCTCCAAGATATCGACGTCGCCTGGCGCAGCAAGGTCCGGTTTCAATTTTGCTTTATATACTTGCGCGATAGCGCCCACGCCCATGGGAGTGGTATAGAACTCCTCGAATATATCCTCGAATTTTCGGCCGTCGAACGCTTCCTCGACCGTTCGCATTGTTGCTTCTAACGAGTGTGCGGGCGCGTTCGAGTGGAGCTTGGACATGATACTACACATTTCGGTCGGGAAGATATCCGTCCTCGAGGCTGCCCATTGACCAAGCTGTCGGGCGCAAAATTAGGTCAGTGCATGGATCCGGACATAATGCACGCGTCCGCATTCTGATGAGACACACCTTAATGAACGCTGGACCGGCCGCTTCCATACATCTAACCAAGAGATTATACCACCATATTGTGCCGGGTCGTTCGTTATCGCGCTGTGGCTGCCGGCTCCCAACCCATATGACGGGCACTGCTAAAAGCACAGGTACGAAGATGAGGGCCAATTGAATAAACCGCAAGCCAGTCGAAAGCGGTTCCCACACATACAAATCCAACAGGATAACGAGTTTGTGACCGAGGCGAAAGACTCCCCTCTCGTGGTCGCTGACGGTTTTCCTCAGCTCTTCTCGCGAGACCTCGAGCATACGGGACTCGGCTGTCCGCTCCGCCCCCCCAGGGTCTTTCTCGGATAGGTTGACGAAGACCGCAGTTCCCAGAGCAGCGTTGGATGTGGCCCAGAGGATTCGGCCCTTGAATTGAGGCTTTGCCCGGGGTCGAGGGCCGAGAAGGCGGGGTCGGAGCGGCGAACGCCAACGGGAAATGATAGTCGGAGAGGTGCTGGAAGCTTGAGAGGAGCATCGGCGAGCATAAAACCGGCCGAGTAAGACGAATAGTCTCATCTCTAAAGGAGTTCGGGGTGTATGAAGGGGCGGGAAGGATTGGTTCGCATGATGGGCCACCCCCAGGGACAAGCAAATCCAAGCATAGGCGCAATTCAGAGGCTGCCACGATATTCAGGCCATTGGAGGATGCGGCACTGGAAGAGGAAATGCAGATTTGGTGTTGGGACGTTGAGGTTTGGTGGGAATGTCCGGAGCACGCCCGGGCAACGCGGAAGGAAGGTAAGCTAACAGCCAGCTGTATCTGCGAAGCGAACGCATGTGCACCAGTGACGTAGTGGGGACCTTCGTTGTAGGTAGGCAGGGGTCGCCCCGTCTGGAGGGGTACCTAATGTTCCTAGCGTCCACCACTGGGCAAGGAGGTACCTGGTGGCCATGGCCTAGGGAGAAACCCGAAGACGGCAAAAGTCCGGCAAATTAGGCGTAGCTTACGTTAGGCACTGGCTGTGGCCAAAGGGTGGGGCCATTGGCAACTCCCTGCCAATCCAGGCTTTGAGCCTTTCTAATCGCGCCAAACCAATAATGAAAAAAAAGGCGAGACCTCAGGGAATAAGTAGACCGAGATAGATAGATCACCATCCCCCGGTGCCTAAGTCTCGCTGGATTCCGCGTCGACCACGCACCCCCCCAATAGCTATATCACATCCCCTAGCAGCATATTTTCTCTCTCCTCGCTCCCGACGGCCGGCCTACCACTATGGGCTGGTTTTGGGCGGACAGTCCTCAAGGCAAGGCCGGTTCTCCATCGTTATCGCATCGCTCTCTTCCGCCACCTCGGGATGGGGCCATATCACCCCCTGTAAGTCACTATGGAACCCCGCGGCTACGATGTGGCGTGCCGCAGCATATGCTAACCGACATTTCTATCAGAAGGGATGCCCGATCCACAAACACCAGAAGATCGCCGATGTCTCTACATCGAGCCCAAATTCCGTCGGAAATCCCCTAGTCGAGCGTGAGCCGTCGCCCTCCGAATCAGTTTCGGCGTGCCCTGTGCCGCATGGCTCTAGATTCTATGCCAGAGAACCCCGAAGGGAACCCGATCCGCAATCTGCTTTCTCGAAATTGAACCCGCTTAACTACATGTTCCGCGACCTATCCCAAGCACCCGCCCCGAACCAGTCACACGTTCTTCCTACCTCTCGCGAACCCTCGACCATTCCCCGCGGCGACGGCGATGGGAATTGGGAATACCCATCCCCGCAGCAGATGTACAATGCCCTGCTCCGCAAGGGTTACACCGACACCGATGTCACTGCCGTCGAGAGCATGGTGAGCGTGCACAACTTCCTCAACGAGGGAGCCTGGGCCGAGATTATGGACTGGGAAAAGCGGTTTGCTGGCGGGCTGTACAAAGGCTGGCAGAAGTGTAGTCGAGGAGAGCAAAACTTTGAGAAGATGGTGAAGAAGCACGGATACGAGAAGGAGGTCAACGATCTCAGCCCAAGCTTGGTCAGGTTCCAGGGCCGACCGAAGGATATGACACCTAAGGCGGCCATGTTCCAGGTCATGGGGTGGATATATCCCAGCGCCTTCGGGTAAGACGGCTGTGGCGTTCAAATTTGGTGTTGCTTTGCTAATGAATACGACAGCACCGAACCCCCCTTCGACCGGCATGATTGGTATGTCTCGCGGGACACGGATGATCAGAAGAAAGAAGTTCGCTACATTATCGATTACTATTCCGGGCCGCCGGAGCCTACGGGTGAGCCCGTCTTCTACCTCGACGTCCGACCAGCGATGACACCGACCGGCGTGGCCGAAAGAGCGCTGCGATGGGGTTGCGACGTCTGGTGGAGGGCGATAGGGGGTGACTTCCGCGAGCGCGAGAGGGTCGAGAAAGCGAGCTGATAAGCCCAGTCAGCTACACACAAGACGCATGGCTACGCCTTATATAACGTCGATGAGAACGCGGAGTTTAGGTTTTTTTTTTTCCTAGGTTGAGAGGGCAGGTCATTGTTCATAAGGGGAGTTGGCAATACGGAGCTGCGTCACGACCCCCCTCGAGTTCCCGGAACGATGCCGGCGATCCTGTATTATAAATTTACTACGACCACCTCCCTCTCCTCTTCGATAGACAAGGAAGATGGCGGACTACGTGATGTGAATGGGTTAAAAAGGCCAGGAACCGCCAATGAACCTCTCCTATCTAGATATATACCTACCGCACGCATCGTGTGTGCCATTTTCAGCCTTACCCCACCCATAGGGCAAGTCCGGGCTCAGGGAAATTGAGTCGGGTGGATGGGATGATTAGCACCCTGTCAAATATGTATGTAGGTAATATCGCATTTATCCAAAACCAGACAAAGTGCGGGATCTCGTCCGAGTGGAGGCAGAGAGCGTACGTATCAATTGTCACATTAATTTTCGGAAAACCCGTGTCCCTATCATCGCCGCAAAGGCTACCCCGAGTCCGTCGGATGCGCCAGTATCCCCCACGTGTTCACTAACAGATAGGATTTACATCTAGTTGCAATCCCGTGTGACATCTTCGGATCCTACCTATACGTACCTTACCGAGATCCCTTCAACGTGTCCACTTCAAGAGGTGCATCGGACTTGTCAAGGCATGACATGTAGACATATATATATCACCGCCTTTCAGCACTCGCTATAGCACTGGCATTCTACGAGGATATGAGTTATTAGGTTAAACAGGCCCCAATCCGTGCCCATCGCAGCTATATCGCCCGGTCGCCGTCAAGTCATCCTCGATAGCGGCTTGTCCGTGTATTTCTCAAGTCGCCAGTGACGGAAACAAAAAATAAGCACTGGCTATCTTAAGATGTGAGTATCAACCCCCCCCTCCCAAACCCATACTTATTACAAGCTACACCACGACACTAAAGGTATATACATACGCACTATATTCTTCTATATATGTACGTGACATTAACCCACCAGACCAACAAACCTTGCCTACCTGGCTGATATTCCGTTCCCACGAACCGAAGACGCGCCACTGTCCGTAGATGCCGCAGATCTCCTATAGCTCCTTAAAATGTTGGTTAGAAGAGGTGCTGCTGGGTAACCATAAAATAACACCTCTGGACGAAGTCTGGATCGGAATCCTGGCTGTGGAGGCTTTCCTGATTGCGGGCATTCTGGGTCTCCAGGCATTGCAGGTGGTAGGAGGAAGTCAAGCACGGGAAGCGATAAAATCGAAACAATAAGACTCGAAAACAATCAGATTTGCCCATCAAGCATTAGATACGTACACCTTCTTTATAATAGAATATTCGCAAGAGAGAAGTTGCATGTGCAATCTCAACCATTATAAGGTATGACGATTGGGGAAAATATCACCCCAAATATTGCTTACACCTGCAAAAAAGAAAAAGACGCAAGCACGCATGTCGTTCGCCGTCACTCATTGACATCGATAAAGGAAGTATGTAGGAACAAGATGAAGCTGGCTGAATACACCAACCAAAAATGGTAGGCTTGGTATAGGAGGCACGAGATGGAAAAAGAACTGGACGAGCAGGGAGTCGAACCCTGGACTTCTCGCAAACTCGCAGGTGTTCGCTGCTATAATTGTCTTACAGAAGCTTGATGCGAAGCGAGCACTCTACCACTGAGTTACACGCCCTCTGCAGGGATGCTGTTGGATGACCGATGGTCTACTTACAAGACCTTATAGCCATAAAATTGGGGGTAAAGAGAGGCGCTAGACAATTCGGGGATGGCTCAGTTGACCGTCCAATGAGACAAGCAGAAGCGAGCATGACCTCATTCCGTACTAACACACACTCATATCCAGGGAAGGATGAGCCCTCCCCTCATGTCGACCTGCCCCATGGAGGTGGCTGTGGTTATGTAATACCATGTAATCAACTCACCACGGCGCTTGCATCATGGATGTAAGCATGTATAATGTATCTAAGTAGGTAATCATTCGAATTCCAGTTAGTAATGCCAGAGAGCCCTTACTTAATCCATCAAGTTGGATTGTCAAGGCACCGTTCGTACTCCACCGAGCCGTCGACACGAAGCCGTAGAGTGTAGAGTCGGTCTCCACCATGAGGATTCAAAGGATTACCTCAAAGGCCCCGACGGAGTTAGCTAGGGTAACATCCGCAGGTCCAGCGGTGCCCCTCGCACCGGTCGTCTCGACGCGAAAGGCCGAGCAGGCCGCAGGTCTGATGCACCCCTCGAGGAAGTCACTGGCGCGGCGTCGAGTCGCAAGCGGGGTGCCCCTCGCGACACATAAGAAGTATTCGCATTCCTCGATTCTCGGTTGTCTACCATCTTCCCAAGCAATATCCGTATCCGCCGTGACGAGATAGAAAACGCCCAGATCAGATCGCATATCCTCGCCGTGCTACCCACCACCTGTCACCTTATACCATGGCTTTAGCGAGTCCGACTTCCATTCTCTTCTCGGGGGGAACCATTATCGCATTCGACGAACAAGCCGAATCGCTAAGGGTTATTCGCAATGGCTCGCTACTAGTTACCGGGGACCGCATCGCGGAGGTCTATGATACAGCACACCCGGCCGAGCTTCCTGAGGGCACGGAGGTTATTGACTGTATACACAAGATCATCTCTCCCGGCTTCGTAGACACGCATCGCCATGGCTGGCAGACGGCTCAGAAGACGCTCGCCTCCACCAGTAGCATGCCTGAATATGTGTCTGCATTCGCCGGCAGCACCCCCTCCGAAATCTACACAGCCGAAGACGTGTACATCGGGCAACTTGCGGGCCTGCTCGAGGCCCTCAACGCCGGCGTAACCACGTCGCTCGATCACGCGCACCACACATGGTCGAGCGAGACCGCGGAAGCCGGTCTTCGGGCCTCGGTCGACAGCGGCGCCAGGGTCTACTGGAGCCCTGCCTTCTCCGCCGCGCCAGGCTACCCCCTCTCGGAACAGATCGACAATTTCAAGAAGTGGGCAAAGGAAAATTCGACGTCCGACAACCGGGTTACGCTCGGTGTCGCGTATGATGGCTGGTACCTCTCGCCGCCCGAAGACACTGAGGCAGTGATTGCCCTGACCAAGTAAGCAGGACACGGTTTACTGAATTCGGAGAACTGTGGCTAACGGTGTGCAAGGGAACTTAAAGTCCCGGTACTTACGACGCATTTTTTGGGAGGTCCCTGGACGGGTAAGTGCTCCCCAAGGAGAGGCGGGATGGAGAGAATAAGGAGAGTGAGGAGACCGAGGGGGGGATGGCGGCAGTGGCTTAGGTGCGTTTACACGGGAATTGCTGACATCCCCGATCCAGGTGATCATTCACCGGAGCTTCTTCATCCTTTGGGTGTTCTCGACACGGACATGGCCGTCGTCTTTTCACACGCGATGGGCATCACGCCGGCGGGAGCGAGGCTGCTCCAATCGACGAATCAGTATATCTCTGTCACACCCGAGTCAGAGATGCATTACGGGTTGTCACACCCGAATTCTCACCAGATCCTGGATCAGGCCTCTCTCGGCGTCGACACGTTCCAGGCCTTCTCGACGGACCTGCTGACGCAGGCACGGATTTGGCTCCAGCGCACCCGCTCCCGGCTCTACGACAAAGTCCTCGAGCAGTGGCGGATCCCGACTAACAGCCCCATGTCCGTGAACCAGGCCTTCCTCCTAGCCACGCGGCAGGGTGGCCTCGCGCTCCGGCGTCCCGACCTAGGCGTGATCCGCGTCGGCGCGAAGGCGGACCTCGTCGTGTTCGACGGGCGCTCGCCGGGGATGCTCGGGTGGCGCGACCCAGTCGCGGCAGTGATCCTGCACGCGAACGTCGGCGACATCACGCACGTCGTCGTGGACGGCCGGTTCCAGAAGCGCGACGGCAAGCTGACCTTCGCGGACTACGACGCGGTCGCCGAGCGCCTCCTCGCCAGCGCTGCGAGGATCCAGCGCGCGCTCATCGAACGGCCCGAGCCTATATTCGAGGGCCGCTTCTGGGGCGGCTGCGAGTACGGCCGTGCCCTCGAGGTTGATGCTTCGCGGGGGACGGGAACAGGGTACGGCGAGAAGTTCCTCAAGTAGAAGCGGAAAAGAAGGAAGCCAGGGAGAGAGGGGGAAAAAAAAAAGTCGACAAGGTGACAGACACGGTGGAGAGAGAGAGTGCGTGCGGTAATATCTCGTACATACATACGGCTAGGATGGTCGATCGATCATGAACCCCCCTAGAAACACGTGGTGGACCCGCCGAAGAAAAACAAGAGAAGATTGGGATCTAAATTACCCATCACGTTGGGCTCGTGTCACTACGTGGTGGTCTCCGCTGGGTAATCTCGTTGCCTGCCTCTGAAACACGCGGCATATACAACTTCGCCCAGGTTACGACTAGGTATACGCGTTGTATTCCCATCTCATCTGCAAGCAGTTTGCCGCATCGGGAATTCCAACGTCGTATATGTGATGGCAGCCAAGTAGGGAGCGCGGGAAGGTAAGCTGCGGAGAGACAGTGAGAAAACGGAGAGGTCAGAAAGAAAGGGGTAATTTATTCTCGCTTGTTAGCTCGTAAGCATTCGCTTGGGTATTAGTAAATTTAGTCAGCTATCCATCTCTCTCCTCTCTCTCTCTCTCTCTCTCTCTCCCTTTTCACGTGTAAATATGTCGTAGGTATGCACGTAGCGTATGTATGCATGCCCGCGTTGTATATGTCGGCGTGTTTACAGGACCCGACGATCGCAACCAGCCATCTCATCGCATCACCGCTCCGTCGCGCATGACCTTCGCGGTCGTCCGAGCCGGCCTTTTTTTTTTTTCTTTCTTTTTTTCTGGGGAATGTCTTTCTTTTTTTTTTCTCATTCTCGTGCCTGGCATCGCCCGCTATGTTAGGCAGGTCGGATCTGCAGGCGAAGGTGACGGGAGTGCAGCGCGACAAGCATTCGGGAGGCTATATCACACGTCGAATATCGGCCGAGACGACTATCTTTGCCTATCTTGGTCCACCCATCCCCGGCCTGGTCGTCCCTCTTCTTCCCGCGTTCCTCTCCGCTTCCTGATCTCTCTCTCTCTCGCTCTCTCTCGCCCTTCCCGCTTTCTGCCTGACATGCCCATGCATACGCGTTATGTAGGTACGTCGGTATGCACACATGTGCAAAATCCTTCCGAGCCTGCTGTTCCTGGCCCAGTTGCGACCCGGTCCCGTCGACGTCTGTTCGCGTGTCACCCACCTGATCGACGACCCTTTCCGCGCTCTGCCCCGTACCGGTCTGCTGGTTTGAGTTGAGATTCGTGTGCGCGTGCGTGTCCTGCTGGCGACGGAGAGCCAAGGGACCGGGAGCGCAGGTCGGGCTAGATCAATCTTTTCTTCTTCTTTTTTCTCCGGCTGTGTCCTCGCCCAGCCCCCCTGACACGGGCATGATATGTATGTATATGTATGCGTATGTACGTATTTCCGTCGAAAACCTGAAAGGAGATAGCGATGATCGGCCCTATCCCCTCCATCTCCTCCCCTCCCCTCCTCCGAGCTGCTTCTTCTCCTCGGCACGGCGACGAAGAAATAGGTAGGAACGGAAAAGGAACGGGGGAAAGATAGCAAAATATTTAGGAACGCTGTGGGTGTGAGAGATGTAACTTATCGTTCTTGGTCCCCGTGCTCATTTACCCCGTCCGCGTCTGATTGCGGTAGTCAAGGGCAGCGCGGGACTGGACGGGGTTTCCGGATTGAGCGTCCGTCTGCATCGGCCGGCCAGAAAGAAGTTGGAGTCGTGATCCTTCGTGTGCGATACGACTGTTCCCCTCGCTTGACTCGCCATGCATTGCATTCGGTAATGGGCGATAGATGTTGTGTGCGCGCGCGTACAGCGTGTGGCGTTAATATTGTTTTCTTGTCTTTTTTGCGGGGAAATCCCTCCAGCGCGTCTACTCACACACACACACTCACACGTACCTGTATCATATAGGCATTTACATCCGCACACACACCTACGTGTATGTACGTAGAGGCGCCGGCTGGGCTGGGCTTGGAGGGGGGAGGCGAGGATCTTCTACATGCGTAGCGGGGGGTATGTCAAGTTATAACGATACCGTGTGAATACGCGGTGGCGCGTAAACCTACATGATAATCACGCCGGGTGGCTTGTGATGTCAAAAAAGTGATCGGTTGGTCGGCGAGTCAAGGATTCCCCGGCGGGAGATCAAAGGCATCTACATATCCGCCATGCCAACCCGCTCCGTCAATCCCGTCGACTACGTAAACGGCAGCATAAAAGTCGGTAATAACAAGAGCGGCTACGTGGTATATAGCTTGGCACCTATTATGCAAACGACCTGGTTCCCCCTTTAAGAATAGATGCCTACTCATACGGGCAGAGACCGGACTACGTAGCTCCCTCTACTAACTCGGTCGCCGCGCCATTGCTACTGTGTCCACCCCCATGTCCGCGAGAGATGGATATTATCCTGAGACTCGAGGTGGTGGTCCGTCTTGCCATATCTTACGCCATGTAACCCGTTGCCCGGCGCTGGCAGTCTAGCACCGATACGAAATGTGTATAATACATTATCCTCAATACTCAGATGTGCTGACGAGGGCACACCAATCAGCTTGGCGAGGACGAGATGTGATACGCGAATTCCAACCCAGTGGGCGTCCGCCAAGGCCACGGATGTCAGGGGCAAACGTACGACAGGGGCCGACGGGATATGACAGTCGCAGAGCCCGCTAACAAGGATCAACGTCCAATAAATGACAAGTCGACGGGGCTATCACTTGACCGCTAGCATCTGTCGTCGAGACCCTCCATTGAAGAAAAAAAATTGGTATGTGGTATTATTGGAGAGATATGCGAAGCCAACCTCGATATTCCTTCTTCTCTACGGACTGGACTGCCTGTCTAGACTCGGTCGAGGGCGGAGTCCACGTGCCGTGCGAGCTCTCCTGGGGAATCCTCTCACTCGGAAGACCCTTTCGCTGCCATTGCCGCTGCCGTTGCTGTCTCTGAATGCAAGTAAGGGGTTCCCTACTGCGGTATTAGATTCGCGTCGATCTGAGATGATAGCAGAAGCTTAGCAGCGCCGAAATACGTACATGACGTCTAGTACTCACTCAATATTGCGGGCGAACCCGCTCCCATCACGCGCGCCACACCTTGTAGAGTGGACTTATTCGGCGATCCGTTGGCTAGTTTAGCACGCCGCAGCATCACGCATAGGGCTACCGCTGACAATAGTCTTGCCTCGGTGCAGTGGGTATACGTCCTTCTCGTCTTTTTCCCTCTCACTTACATATTCCTCTTGTGCTAGTCGTACGGTTATGGACCCGTCGCAAACTAGGTCCTACGTAGTATGTTGGTGGGGATGCCTCCCCTTGCTGCTTGCTTATATCGACATGGGCAACGATGTTCAGACCCAATCGGGGCCTGGCCCATCGACAAGCCTGGCACCGGTCGACCAGGCTGGCGGAGTCCCGGCATAGCACAGACTCCTACCCGCCTTTTCCACAGGCATCTCGCTAGGTTGGTATTTGATTTATTTGATTACTACCTGCTACGGAGCTCGTCCCGCGAGAAGTACTTGGGGTTAGCTGCCTGCCCATTACTTCAACGCTGGCCGAGAACCGGCTGGATCACCGCCAGTTGGAAACATTCTTTTCAAAGGGAACCCCCGAGATCAAGACTTCGAGCCGACTACGGAACATGAACTGACGGCGAACGCTGGATGGTGGAGTCGTTACCAGAAAGGAGGCTCGTGGCTTTCAGACTAATCAGCGACCGACTTTTCTCTCCTCGGGCGCGCAGCGTAGGCAATATTGCTGAGACTGCTGAGACTGGATCCGTGGACCGGAAAGCCACAGACGCCGCCATAACTCGCCGCCGTCGCCATAATTTTTTTGCGGCGCCTGCTTGCCCGTGCAAGACCACCTCTCCCCGTCGACAGCACAGGCCGGATGCGGTGGTACGCTGAGGGCAATCTATCTTTGGGACCTAGTTAGCACGAATCATCTGCAGTCCGCCGATCGCTAGAGAAAGAGAGGGCTCGCTCACCTCCTGACAATGATGTGGCCGGAGAATTACGATGTGTTCGCTACTCGAATGCTATGGTCATTCTTCGCCGTCACAACCAGTACGTCTATCGTGTTCCGTCTTGCGCGGTGGTTCCTACTTGCTCACCTCCTCTCCCTCTGTAATAGTCATAGTAGGATTGAGGATTGTATGTCGCCTACGCTTCAGGCGGCACGACCGAGTGGGATTGGGCCTGGATGACTACATAATCCTCTTCTGCCTTGTTCTCAGCCTTGTCGTCTCGGTTCTCACGACGAAGGGGGTCGAACATGGCCTCGGAAAGCACGTATGGGAATTGGAGGAGTACGACAAGATTATGGCGCTTAAGTACAACGTTATCATCAACTCGGTCTTGATATGGCAGTTTTCATTGCCCAAATTCGCCATCATCGCCCTCCTGAAGCGGATCCTCGACTACGGTACGAAGACGGCGATTTTATTCTGGTCGCTTGGTCTCACCTCCCAAGCGTGTTTCTTCGCTTTTTCTGTTTGGTGGTTTAAACAATGCCATCCCGTCGAATTCGGATGGGATAAGAGCATCGAGGGGGGGACTTGCGCCGACATCAGCATCTCGATAAATTTCGGCTATTTCGCGTCTGCATATTCGGCTTTCCTCGATCTATTCTTCGCCTTGTATCCGATCCCTTTCGTCATGCGCCTCAACATGCCCATGCGGAATCGCCTCGCCGTCGCGGGAGCCCTAAGTCTCAGTTCGCTGGCCTTCGTCGCTTCGGTCATCAAATTATCACTCTTCGGCGAAGCCTTTAGGATCTCGGCGACGGATCCAACATGTGAGTTGCCTGCCCTTGTTACATTCTCTCAGGATGCGCCATGCTCATGAACTTTGCCTAGATCCGGTGCCTTATCTCGACATCCTGGGCATGGCAGAAGGATATATCTTGATGATATGCTCCTCGCTTCCCACTCTCGGGCCGCTCTTCAGAGCTGCCAAGGGGAAGCTCACCAGTCGGGGCACCAGCGCCGATAAATCCAACGCGAACGTAGCTACCAGCACCCATAGCCTACGCAGGAGATTTGGTACCTCGAAGGGAGAGTTGCTCGCGGACGAGACAGGACAATCGTTCCGAGGGGAAAATTCGTCGAGCCTCGACGACATCCCGCTCGTCCCACCGACCAGGCCACCGGCTCCTCACACCGCGGATGGCGGTATTCACAAAACTGTAGATATTTCGATGACCTCGGAAGTTGCGGAGGTCGGATCACATACCCGAGCACAGAGCGCTCACATATTTTGAGATAACCCAATTACGAATATCACGTCTATCTTTTATGATTGCTACAATATCAACTCGCTACCAGGCGTTTCGCTTCGCAGACGCGTGAAAACATCACGACGCCGCATTTTGCATTCCCTTCGTCCTTGGCATTGTACAAAGAATTTTTCCTCCTACGGTAGTGGGCAATGGATCGTATGCCAGAGCCTCGGTATGGTAAAGGGGTATGTCCAATTTCACAGCCCTGGTTGGGCCGGTCGTCGAAACGACTAATTCTAATCAATATTGACTTATTTCTTTCCCACTTGAAGACGTCAAGCGTCTTCCAGGAGAGTCGTAAGCCCTCCAACCCCCCGTGTCAATTTGGGCCCGACAATGGAACCGTTCCAGGCATCTTCCCTGTTTGGACCCCTGCAGAAACACAAGCGCGGTGGAACAACAAGGAGCCATCGTGTCTTCTACGTAGCAGCGCGACGAGATCACGGTGTTTCAAGCCATCCTACTCTCCCACGTTCCCCAGGGCCCCTTTGGCTGGGTACCGAGTCGCTGTTTTCTCTCCCTCGAAGATGGCATCTCCTCTTCGCCACCCCATACAGAACACGTTGAGACCCAGCAATGACGAGACCTAAATACCGGGTCTGGAGAACGTGCGTACAACAGTACCCATGCCGGATATAAGAGCTATATGTCAGCATTATGCGTTATAATAGGTATAGCGCCAGTATGAAGCGATAGATGAATGTGAAGCCAATCGTTGGCACCACCAGCTATCGAACATGGCCTGATGAGGCCACAGTTGGCATCATTCTCGACACGCGTAGTTGTATTCAATTTATCAACCAACGATGACCAACGCCTATCTACTTCATCACATCATGTGAAAATGAAGATCAACTACTACGTAGGGAATCTTCGCTGGTTTCCCGATGCCAACTCATGCGATTCTGTCCTAGCAAGAGCCGGGACTACCCCTGAAAGAGAAATGCGCTATTTCCAACTTTCTTTAAAGACCCCAACGGTCCTTGGATGATGTCTTTAAGGATGAAGGTTGGATGAGTCTGATCACAGATTCAACGACCCTCTGAGAGCATGGGTCGGCGCCGCTACACGTGGGAGCGGAAGATGCTTAATAATTGAGGCCATATAGGTGGATACGCCGGCGTCCTCTATATGACTAGGTACGTGCGTATGCACACATATACCTACATAGCTATGCCCAATGGAGTTGAGGACATTACATGTGACCCTGTCTCACCAGAGGTTCCTATAATCTAGCCTCGACTAATAACGCCCGCGGCACCTCCGAGCACCTCTAGCCTCCAGATTCGGCGATGATAGCAATACGTACCATGCATCTCCTTACCCACTGCCAATAGTCGTAATCCTCCAGTGTCACGCCCTCGGGCCCGCACTAAGGACAAGCCATTATCAGTATTATTCGAAACTGCAACGTGCCGAGGCTTTCAGAGATTGAGTAGGCGTTCTAGGCAGTATCGAGGGTAGCAAGACTAACGACGGCAACTACTGTTAGGCCAGCACGGCCCCCCTTAACCGCCTCCAATCTGTTAACACGAACAACCCAGCTCCCAGTCGATACACAAAGGGGGACTAGGTGCTATCGAAATACACATACATACGTACATAGACACATACACACCTATACCTACTACGTATTAGTAGACTACAATCATGCACATATGTGGTTTAAAGGCAGTCTCAGACCCAGGTCCTTGGACCGGCATCCTGCTACATACGGGCCCGCAGCGCTGCCGCTAGTCGGGATCGAACCAACCCAGCCATTGGGTTTGCGGATAACGGCCAACCGCACGTTCGGGCATCCGGACATGCTCGATTGGTCTTCGTCCTCACTCGAGCGCGTGACAGATCTGGAAGGCGGGTCCAAACCCCGCTGTCTTTACGCTGTCGGCTCAAATCCTACGTAGGTAGAACCCGCCTATAGTCGAAAATGCCGATTGATAGCGCCAGCAGGTCGCCAGGGGAACCTAGCCCAAAGACCCGTGCTCTTCCCCCGCCGGGTTGGATTCTCCGACGCCACGAGAGGGGTCGCGTGGCCGCATCCTGTTCCTCCCTAGGGCTCTGAACACAATACTAACAACAGCAACAACTTGTCCTGCACGCTCTATATAAACACCAGATTGTGGCTATTAAGGCGGATGCAACGATCATAGCCACTAACCTCGGAAGCGTGCACGATTCGATGTTGTTACTCGCTGCAGCCGATTATAGTCGACTTGCGGGGATATACACCATGGTCAAGATTCTCTCGAAAGAAAGTAGTAGGCAAAAGGAGTAGGTACAAATCGGACTCCAACCCGTGATCGTACCAGGAGGACAGAGTCGAATGAGGTATGTACCTAGTGAGTTTCTCGTGATAACCATAGAGATTCGCGATCACGTGACGATATATACCCTATATTCCGTTGTACACTTGTCCTCGCTAGCGAAGACGACTAGGCCGTTTTCTTCTCTTCTCCAACTCCCCCCTGTCTGACTAGAGAGCATCTGAAACTTCCCCCATAACCAAGGTGGGGAGCAGTGGCATCATATGCTTCCAGGGCGACATACTTACATAGTACGTTATGTCCAAAGACGCCACTAAAGGGGTGGCTCGAAACGAGGCTACGCTTCGGAGCGTTCTCCCGGGCAATAAAACAAGACTATTGCCTAAGGAGAAAAGTTGGATACGTATAAGTAGGTCCGTGACCTTTCCGGGGTGTATGTGTGGTGATTGGCTTACTAGATAAAACTAACTAACCTCCATCATTCCGCGATCTGAAGACCAAGTCCCAGAGCGTACAGAGCTATAAATTTCTAAACTCCGCGAGGAGACATACGGGGTTTGGTGGAATCTAACCATATCAGGGGGTTATGTATCTTTTTGGCGATAAAGACCGGTATGCTCCCTACGTACTGGCTATTATCGCACGAGCCTCCTCATCCTAGCGCTTTTGAAGGAAATTCGGAATCTCCGAGTATATCCCGCACCTCCATACTCAACGCCTGTAGGACCGCCTCGGCGGACTCAAACTCACTAAACCAGCACTTGCGGATGACCTCTGCGAACAGGATGCCCTCCAACCCCGGAAACTCCCAACTCGCAAACTTCTTCTCTATATCGTCATCCTCCAGGCCCTCGTATGGCTTCTTCCCCGTGGCGATCTGGAAGATGCATGATCCGAGGGCGAATATGTCCGTCGTTACATTGCAGGGCAGCTCACTATGCTCCCTCCAGTCCGCCGGCATATAGAACGGACCGCTCTCGAGGATATAGGGTGGCTTCCCAAGGAGCGAGCAGCCCGAGAAGTCCGCTATGCGGAGCCCTAAGCCCTTGTCTAGCAGCATATTTGTTGGCTTCAGGTCGGCGTGGATGACGCTGTGAGCATGAAGCATCGCCACGCCTTGCGCTGCCTGGAGGGCCCACCGAGCGCGGAGTTCAGCCGTCACGGTCGCCGCGTTATTCCTGAGGTATGCTGCGAGAGATCCATTAGGCATATACTCTAGAGTAAGCGAGGTATCGTCGCCGTCTTTGTTGTAGCTGAGCATGCGTATGAGGCGGGGGTGCAGTGGGAGGTGCGTGTAAGTATCGATCTCACGCTTAAGCTGGTCCCGCTGTTGTGAGCGCCAGAATTTAGGCATGTCCTTGACGACATATTTTTTGACCTGTGTGCGGCAAGGAAGGAGCTCGATATATCCCGAGCTCGTTAAGATAGGCTCTTTTTGCTGCTGGGAGTTAGCTCTAAACCAGACTATAATATGGCGCGAGAGGGATATAGTATTACCATCCGCTCTCTAAGTGAGAGTTCATGCTCAAAAACTTGCGTAGATGAGAACTCTTCCATGGCGATTCGCTAGGCTGAATGACATCCAAGGAACGGTTGTAAAGATAAGGTAGTTATATATAGACCGGTTTCTATATATTTATTACTTAATTACATTTAATACTTATCTTTTTATTACCTTTATTTATTAGATAATAATTCGTTAGCATTTACTGAATGTAGATTAGTTAGCAATTACCTTTTTTTATTAACGAATACAGGTTTAAAAAGGTCTCTGTAAAAAGGCCTTAGGTTACTTTTTCTCTTTTCAATGTTTATTTATTTTTATTATAGTAGAATATTAAATAATATACTATAGCTTAAAAATATATACCCTCTACCGTAACTCAGTTATTATTTAAAGCTTATATTTATCTACTTTAAAATTATTTATTCGGATACTTTATTATTTACCTGCGAAAATATGCTGGATTCTCACCAATCAGTACCGATTTGATGCTTATGGTTACACTTGCCCAGCAGGGATGGTGATGAGATGTGAACAAGCCGCCCAGCAGGGCCAGGACTGCCCTAGGAACACCATGCAACAATTGACCCTTGCCTCATCGAGGAGGAACAGACATTCGTGCCCGGACTGCAGAGGACGAGGGTTATACGGATGTCTGATGGAGGATACTGTCATGGCAAGTTGTTGGATATGATGACTTTGATTAACAGTTCAAACCCATGTGTACTCTTCTAGCGTGAGGTTGTTATAAACCGCTACAAGTGATGGGAAGATAGTTGAAATACGGTCTTGCACGGAGTCACTATATATATATAATGCTGAATCTCAGTATTTATTCACAGATTTATCGTATCTGTAATAGTAATCGGCCGACGAACGCTCGTGCCTTTCCACCACAAATGCATACTCTAGAGTGCTGTCCATTCCCCCCAATCACAGAAATCTCTGGAATGAATAGGGAAGGGGTATATAGTTTGATTAATATCATTTGCCTTTTGGTTCCGATAAACTCTCATGGCATTATAAAGGACTTCATTAATTTAATAGTATCTTCAAGTCCTTCTGAGCTTCGTGAAGTATTTGCTTCATTGGGGAATGCAAATCTAGACTCAGCATTTTTCATCTCTCGCTATTCGAAAATACCTGTCTTCTTGGTCGATTAATCCATAGGATTAATGGTTGATAGTATGCCGTAAAGTTCTCCGTTATCTTGAGAAAATCCACCTCGTTAGTAATAATACTTTTTTTAATCAGGCTAACTTTCTATTGTCCTTATAATTCCACTTTCAAACTCAGTCGGCCTAATATCTTTGCCCGGCCCGTTGTAGTAAATGCATAATACCGATTGAACGCTGATAAAGGGACCCGTTACTCTATATTTACTCCTAGAGCATGCGATTTGCGGCTGGCTTTGCGACTTGGCTGATATATGTCTATATCGTGCAGCCCCCTTACTAAGAGCCAGCCCTCCTTGCTCCAAGATGTCGTCGGGTATCCTGAGCAGATATACGACCCGTGGAGGTTTTAAGGTTGAGGTTGAGCACTGTAACGGACTTCATAAACTCTCAAGCCAGGGAGTTTTATTGCTTTGTGCGTACCATCTGGGTTAGCATTGGCAGCGGGTTCGCGTTGAATTCGTCGCGGCCAGCTGACAGCCCGGGGGTTCCTGCGCCGGCGATAGACTCGATCCCGAGGGCCTGGTATTCTACACAATTCAAGTTAATTCAAGTGCAACTGAACGCCCTTCCTTTGGCAAAGGGATAGCCTATAGCACTTTCTTTACATTCCGTCCGGCTTTTCCATCTTCCCGACTCGCGTCGATGAGATTAGGGCCGCATGTAGGTAGTGAGCGGGGAGTGAAAAGATGGTAAAGGGATAGGGCGGAAAGGTAAATTGGGAGAGAAGCCCGGGCTAACTGACATTCGAGCAGAATCCACCCTGGTCCTTAAGAAGCTTCCAACGGAACCGCCAATAGCTCCCGCGGCGGCGCGCGGTTATCAGGCACGGGGTACGAAGCCGACCCAGCTACGCTGAGATTCCCTACTAGTCAACGCCCCAACATCTCTCATAGCTCGACATTCCACACGGGCGACAGATGACCAGGCGATTGTTTCTCGTCGCTGCCTCGCCACCTCCCCCCTCTAGCACCGAAGCTGTTTACCCCCAATCTCTTGTCTTCCGCGTACGTAACCGCCGCGTGTTTAGGGAGCGAGAGGGTCACAGCCATGTGTTACAAGCGTCAATTTCCCTGTCGGAGACAAAAAGGGGGAAAGAGAGGAGCTTCGGAGAAGGACACTGTAGAGAAACGGCAGTGACTATCCCCAGTGCCTTTGTGTGCCCGGAATTAGAACCGCCCCGTCGCCGTTGGTTCACTCTTTTCTCACCTTCGCCTTACGCTAGTGTTACTTCGTCTCTATCTGGGCGGAACGACGACGCCGTAAGGGGTGAAATTGAAGAAGACTGTGACGCACCTGTCATAGATGGTAATATTCTGAGAAACACTGGCGAAATCACTCATGCTGGTAAACCTCGCGTAGAGACGGGCACTCGGCGGTCCAACTGCCTTAGTTATACCAGAGTCTTGAGGACGATACGTAAGTCCTCCTGGCCTCACCTAGTCACACTCGCACTGCATCGACACAGCAACAGATACCGATCTAGCTAGGGCACAAGTTATAATCCAGAAGTTAGTGAATAAAAAGCATGCCTACGCAATGGCTATTCAAAGGCCCAACGTCCTCTGCTAGAATAGGTATGCCCCCGCCACGTCGTGAGGCTAACGAAGCATAAGGGGCCCCACAGAGAAAAAGACATTGTTACAGCTACCATGAGATCAGTAGGTTACTTAATGAAGGATAGGTTCGATTCCTAACAGCGCTACTTGGTAGTCTTCGTTGTTTAGCTCATCTCCATGAGGTCATGCACCTGGGTATTCTGCCCGGGTATTCCGACTGCCCTCGTCTACACCAGGGCCATCAGAGCAGTGTTTTCGTGCGCGGGAACACGCGTGGCACGACATCTGTATAGTAAGATATAGATAAGCTAACCCCCTTCTCACAGCACTTCTACCCGCGACTATTCTTCGGACGCGATGCAGCAGGCCAACCTAATTTGCTTACCCGCCTCTACGGACGTATCGAAGTGGCCCCCCCTCCGGTAATGAGCTAGACGTCAGTCAAATCATATCTTATATTACACCGAGGGGTCGGGTTCGGAGAGAGGGAGAGGAGGGAGGGGAGGGGGGTGCGATAAACGAAAAAAGAGGGAGGCGGGAAGACGAAAACCGACTCCGTCTCACGGAGGGGGCACTAGTACTTAGGTGGTAGCAGATAATATCGGGCTGTCGTTACTTGCGGCGGCATGTCGCAGACGCCTGTCGCCTCACACATACATGCGACATGCGCGCCCGCCTCGTCACGGGATGGTATGGGACGGGCGGGCATCGCGAGCCAAGGCTCCCCTATGCGGAATAAATAGGCAGACGGCCTGCGCACGAAGGTAATACGTCCTGGACGTGTGCCACGCAAGTGTTGTGCGTACCCGATACCCGGCTCCCTTCCCGTCAGCTCGTCGCCGGTCTCCCCACGCCTCGACTGCCCGATGCCTTAGGCACCCTCGCAGCTGTTTTTCTCCTCATTTTCCCACGTGTGTAGCCGGCAACGGCAGGCTGGACCAGAAGGCTCTAGGCTGCCGCCGCATCGCACTCAGAAGGATAAGGCCAGTGTGTCTCGGCAAGACTGATCCTCCTCCTCCCATCCTCTCGTCAGCACGCCGGCCACGCCCCCTCCAGGACGACGAGGGCAGACGGGGTAGGTTGGAGGGATTTGGACGGAGGGGCTGGCGCGTTGTTGGTCGCACCGCGGCGGGCAGGCAGGTATGTAAGGCTACGGCGCGACACATGGAATGGAGGATGGATGGGTGTCACGGATGGGTGGGTGGGCAGAAGCTGATTGATCTGATTGATGACTTCGCATACGGCGTAACCTCAAAATACCTACCTCTTAAAAGCAGCGCCATAACCAACCCCCATCCTTGGCGTAGGTAAGCCCACCCGATTCGATCCCCCCTTCTCCTATCCCCTTCGTCGGTCTGGACGAGGCGTACGGACGGAGTGTGTGGCTGTCGTGCTCTCCAACTAGGCGATGTGGAACGTCAAGTAGCCATAATCAGCGTCACCGCGGCCCGCGATATATATGCCTGGAAATGTCTGGGAGGTCCGGATCGCGGAGGCGGCCAGTGAGGATATCGCTCCGTGCAATATGTAGGTAATATATGCTCGGTCGTCCCAAACTGGCACACGCAGCGCATCGCGCAAAATCGATTCGAGACAATTTAGTAAGCGTCCGTCTCTTCTACGCCTCTTCCTCTTCCTGTTTGTCCTTCATCTGTCTCGGGGGGACATGGTGCGGTCTAGAGGGGTCGGACTGCAATGCATTAAGTAGAGGTATATGTATACGCGTTTTCTATCCGTTCCGTAGGACGAAAAGGGGAGGGGGACGGAAGTCCGAGGGCTTGAGGTGGTTGAGGTGGTATTAGAGAGAGATAGCAGCCTCTTAGTCGTTAGTAAGTTTAGGCATGGAGTGTAATACCAGCACTCCAAGTACGCGGCTACTAATAATAATGGATTATGATAATGGATGTCTGGCACAGGGGCAGGCAGGCAGGCAGGCAGAGGACTGCCCCAGCTCCTCCCATGCCCGAGCCCGCTCCGCCTGCTACCTCTTAGGATCAAGATAATGGCAGTGTGGCCGATGGTAGCGGTCTCATTGGGCTGGGCCGTGCCTGTCCTCCCACCACTGCTATGCGCGGCATGATACATGATGTATGACTTGCATGCTATAGCCGCCGGTGTTCCGCCATCAAGTTACACATGCCCCCCTCTGTCTAACGAGGTGTGTGCGTATCCTGCCTTCGAGAAGTCAGCGTGGAATCTGCACCTTGCCGTCCCGCATCTTCGCATCGCCGTCCTCATCTCTCTTAGGTCCTTACCTTTTCTATCTAAGGGAAGTGGTTAGGGTACCTGCATACCCCTACGTGTTGGGCTGTAGCGCTTGAGTACCGTCTTTCTCCTAAACTTGTTGGCGCCGCATGTAAAGAACATGCTGTTCTGACGTGGATCAGTAGTCGCAGCGGATTCACTGTGGTGGCTAACGAAGTAGTGGTAGTAATAAGACGGCATTCGTAGAAGGTTGCACGCTGGACTCTTTCGACGAATTAATTTTTTACCATGAAGACACCATTATTATCGTCTTCGGCAAACACCCGGAACCTGCTCTTGTAAGTGCAGGTAATATCAGTGCCGGAAACGACATATAAGGTGTACTTAGTCCTAGCCATATACTACACGCTACCACCATTAGAGGTTCTTTTCAACCGCGATGAAGATGTGCCTATAAAGTATAACACCGGAGTCTTAAGACACGAGGCTTTCGTGTGCCTGCAATTAAGTGCGTGAGATAGCTGGGTAGTTGAGAAGAACTCAACTGTCGATAGTCGCTAAACTTATATCGTTTAATCAACCAACTTGGGAAATAACACAGTATAGCATCAAATATTCGCCAGCTTTATGCTTTAAAACTACTGCCGCCAGACTATTCGTCGTTTGATGCCTATAAGCTAAAAAGGGGTAACCAAGACTCTTCAGACCAAAGTAACTTCAGCAGACATCCTGACAGGGAGGAGAGAGAGCTAAAGCGTCGTATTTACAAGCTCGAGTAGATTTTACGGATGTAGGTAGCAATGAATACTATACCATACACGGCGAGTGGCCTCTTAGTCCGTGGCTACAGACATGTTCGCTATGTATTGTTCGCCATTGATTGTTGGCTATTGATGTCGGACTGGCCCGAGAAAAAAACGCCAAACCCGGAAACTAAGCGCTGAGATAATGTGCCGTGGCGCAGCGAATTAACGAACATTTTCCAATGGTAGATGAGCAACAGAAGGGATAGTGTGTTTAAATTACCTATGGAGAGGCAGGCTAGAAAGCGGGTAACCTCATTATGATCCTTCAACATCATTACCTACTACTTCGAGTATCTAGGGGGATATGAACCTATGCAACGTCAAAATGGCCGCCGCCTACAACGCCCCGTATCGAGTGGAACCCAAGAACGCCCATCGATACACGGTTATCCTCCTACACGGCCGTGACAGCGACTCCCGTGAATTCGCCGATGAATTCTTCGAGAGCGAGGCCTCCGAACTGGCGGGGAAGCCGAGGACACGTCTCGACCTGTTCTCGGACACCCGATGGGTATTCCCCAGCGCGCCGACCTTGCATTCGGAGCGCTTCGGCACCGAAATATCGCAATGGTTCGACATGTGGTCGGTCGAGAACCCAGCGGAGCGCCCGGAGCTGCAACGACCCGGGCTTAGCCAGAGCATCGAGCAGATCCTCGCCGTCGTTGAGGAGGAGGAGAAGGTGCTGCCGCGAGGGCAAATCTTCCTTGGTGGGATCAGCCAGGGCTTCGCGACGGCGGCTGCGGCCTGCTTCGCCGAGATGCGGGGGGGATTCGGCGGGTTGATCGGCCTGTGTGGCTGGCTGCCTCTAGCTCCGCAGGCAAGAGAGTGCGAGGGAGAAGACGGCCTCGAAAAGCTTCAGGCGATCTTCGGGAACGGGCAGGCGACCGAAGTCGACGCAGATTCTGTGCGAAAGATGCCAATCTTTCTCGGACACTCGGCAGACGACGGCGTGGTCCCGATCGAGAACGGCCGGGAACTCCGGGACATCGTCTCGTCGCACGGTCTCCAAGTAGAGTGGCGGGAATATGAGGACGGCGGGCATTGGGTCAACGAGCCACAGGGAGTGGACGACATCGCCGGCTTTTTGAGAAGATGTATGGAGAATCGTTGAGGTGCCGCCGAGAGTTCGGTGCCATCCTACAGACCCGCGCGACCTCCAGCCGGCGTGGGCAATCCACACCGGGTCGCCGACTCCGCGCGGTTCGGCGCACAAAGACCAAGACAACGTCGGAGACGTGCGCTAGGAACCGACCTCGGCTAGGCTGTTCAACCAGGCTGTGCACGTCGGACACATACCCTTATACCCAAACTATTACACTTACACATGATCCCGGAAGATCACGCATCGGTGGCCTGTAGAGAACGAGTTGAACACCTGGAACTACTAAAGACGACTGGCAGAGACCATCCACCACTTGCGGAATGCGGGCCTGCCTTTTTTTTGAGAGACGGCGTTGTGTCGCCTAGTACGGTGGAGTGGAGAGAGTGCCGATAGCAACCCGCAACTCATGCCACCCAGCCCTCATATTCGCGCACTGCTAATATCAACATCATGAACATGAAGGTGATTATCCAGGGAAATATCCCGAAAACGTGTAGAGAACCAAAACGAGGAGACCAGCGGTTGGCCAAGAGCCTACCGCGGCTGTTCGTCTAGCCCAGTTTGATGTCCTGGCGACGCGCCGCCAGGGCGCAGCGCATATGTGTATACCCGCCGCCCGCGCGCATGCACCGAGCCTCGTGCAAGAGACGCAGCGGGATGGGTGCGCATTCACCCGGTGCAGCCGTGTATGCTCACCTAGGTCTGAAGACGAGGGGAGGGAAAAGAGGAGAAAGGACCAGCGGGGGGCGAAATACTCACTCGCGCTGGAATTTCCCCTCTCTCTCTCTCGCCGCCCCCCCTTCGCCCTCGGCCGCGACGCTCGAATACGACGATATACAGCCCCAAATCACGAGAGGACCAGCCGATCTAGGCAGCGATGCGCCCCCCGCTTTCGCGCAACGTGCAGCGAGACTGTTGACGGCCATCGCCTCGTGTGTGTATATCGATGTATACCCACCTAGGTAACCAATGCGTGTGACTTAGCCACACTTTGTCGTCTCGCCTTGCCGCGCCAGCTACGTCACAGCGAAGCGCTGGTGATGATGCCGTTGATGCTATTTCGGTTGCATCCCAATGCGGAGCTAACGCACCTAAGCAGCTAAGGTATGATGGAGGTGGGATGGATCGGGATGCGGATGGACAGATGGGATGGGAATCGCTGCAGAGCATTCTATACTAGGATCGTACCGTATTAGCTAGCTCCTACTATTTAATATGCCTATATGCGCGTCCGACGGCATGTATGCACTGCGCACGATTGGCATCTCGCCACGCTGACCGGACCGACCTGAACTAAGCCGCTTGGGAGAGGCGTCGTGCTGCACCGGCGCCGCCTAACCCGTCGTTCTCGCCGCTAAAATACATACCTACCTGCCCGCCTAGGCTGGGTAGAGGTGAGGTTGCAGAATGGCTGCGCGCCCCATGCCAACCCCAACTGCCAGGGCGATCTATTGTCGTCCCACAGAGCGCCAGCGCCGCGCGGGATAGCGATGGCAAGATGACGGGACGACGTCAGCGCACAATTGGAGACGCAGACCCCTCTCGCTGCCCAGCCCCGCCCGAGTCTATCCCGGCGATCACGGGGGCGGAACGGGATTTCGGATGGGGGGAGAAGAGAGGGAGGGGAGAGACGTGAGCTTGGAGACGGCGTTGTCTAGCGTGGCTGGGACGGTGAATCACAGCAGCAGCAGCAGCAGCAGCAGCAGTAATAGTAGTAGCAGCAACAATAACATCGAGGCAGCAGAGCGGAGGCTGAGGCGAACTGGGAATTGTCAGCTGCCGCGATAGACGCGCATGATTTGAGGGGAGATGAGGAGACGAGGAGACGAAGGGGGGAGGCGTTAGGAAGATGACCTTGGAGAAGCTCGCAGATTGGGGGACTGGAGAGCAATCAGTAGCCTAGTCGGGCCCGACGTGACGGGAGTGGTAATTCAACTCCTGCAGGAGACGGCCGATGGATAACGGCGGCCTAAGGGCGTCCAACCGGCTAGCAAGTGACTCGAACAACATATATCCCAATGCCCGAGGCCCTCGTCGTTCGCTACCCGAACGTTCGTTCAGGTCGTGTGAAAGTCTCCGATAGGCCTAGGGGCGGGCAGATGAGCGATGCAAGGAACCGAACTGGGACAGCGATGATGTTGATGATCATGAGGATGACGATGATGCTCTTGTTGTCCTTTCCCATCCCCGTCTCCGCGCAGCCGTGTGCCGGCTCGAACGAGGACGACAATGACACGGGTCCCGCCCCATCCCGCCGAGTCAGGGATTCTCACGATATTGTCCGTACTGTCCCTCGCGGTCTAGAACGGACTCAGATGCCACACACCACACACACACACGCACTCGCACCACGCACGTAGACGAAATCACCCAGAGTGCGAGTCTGAGAGGGAAGATGTGTTTCGCTGTATGTGTTTCGTGTCTGTTCGACATGTTCGTTTGATACACGCACCCCTCCCTCCCACCGCATCCGTCTTTCGGTCCATCCACCCGTGAACTACCGACTCGACAACACCAACGCCCTAGCCACAATTCCGCGCGTAGTAATGTGAATGGCCGGTCTGAGTGCAATATGCCACCCAATGGGGATAGACGGGTTTTATTTTATTTCTTTTCCCCCTTTACCCCTTTTCCTCCCCACCCTCCCGATGAGTATTTTACGTATAGTTTAGTCATCCACAGGCAGCATAAGCATCCCACGATGGTAAGTAACCCGTACATACCTATGCATGTACTCGTAATACGATGCACATAAGCCATCCGTACGAAGTGTGCCCGGACGGTGGATGATGCGGGCGGCGGAGTAATGGGAAAATTTATCCCTTCCCCTCCAACCTCCAACCCCCCCCCCCCTGAAGTCCTTCGCGTGGAAGTGGATTCCTGTGCTGTAACCTATGGCGGCGAAATCCCAAGACATTCCCAGGCCGTCTTGCCGCCGTGCCGCAGGTATGTACATACCTTAACAGGGATACATGGGGCATAGACCCAGGGAGGCCCTGTAAGTACATACATGTGTGTGTACATAGAACAGGGTAATCTGGTACCCTTACCGGCCCAGACTGCCCTGGCATTCTGGTCTAACCAAGGCATTCCCTAGGTCGGGCGGGTCCGTTGGCGCCCTATCGACATCTCGTAGGTGCCTAACCACCGGCAAGACGTCGTGACGGGAAAACCTGGAATCGTCGCAACACACAGGCAAGTCGAATTGTCCATTATTTGCATTTGTTAACCCTCCCCAGGTGGCAGGTGATACTAAACCAAAGCAAAGGGACAAGCGCTGATAGAAGGAGGAAGACAAAAAGGAAGAAAAGAAAAAGAGAACGATAACCGAGTTGGAGTTGCATACCCCGACTTCAACTCACCCATCAGCAGATAGAACACATGGAGTAGGTACGTATGTAGACGGCAGAGAGGGGTTGGGTTCGACTAGACAGGGTGAGTGAAAAAAAAATTTTGGTTCGTCTGCTCGAAGTGTAGCACGTAGGTATCAGACGATAGTGATAGAGCACGTTGCTTGACATGCCTACACACATACACTACCTGCCTCCCCTGACTTGCCTGGGGCATGTACTAGGCCTGCGGAACCGAGTATCGTGACGGGATGACACTGCAGCAGTTGCTGCAGCATCAGCAATGAAGGAGACAGGATTGAAGTAAGCCGAGAGTAGTACACTAGAAAGAAATAAGGGGAAAAAAAAAAAAACCTGGAAAAAAAACCACGTACATATGAACATGGGATGGGGGTGGTCTAGGATCGCTACGAGAACCTGTAAGAACCCCGAGGAGAAAAAGCAGAATCTACTTGTGTGCCTTTCGCCAGCGTGAGAGGACGTGAAAGAGAGAGAAACAGAGAGAGGAGAGGGCCGACAGGGGTGTAACCCTACCCATCGAGCCCTAAAACATATTGCGGTCCGTGTTGTAACCAGGGTAGAGCCCACGACAATTTCATCCCATCTCCTCCAGCTGCACACTGCGGAAGTATATCATGTAGGTAGTATCTACGACATGCTAAGCATGTGTGCGTGTGTGCGTGTGTATGTATGCGCTTGTGTAAGAATAACGAGGCGGGGGAGAGGCATGAACCTCTCGAAGCGCTGACAATTGTACAGGATAACATTCCTCACCCAGAGACCCGTACATAGTATTATTGTTTACTGCTCCTACACGACTAGAAGAGCGATTTGTTACCACCGTAGATGCTTTGATGGTAGAGTGTAGGGATAATACAGTATACTCATCGAACTGGACCGGCCTCTCGCATTCGGGAACGCGTTGCGATGTGAGTGGCCTGCGCAGCACATACCTACATACACGAACCTACACGAACCTACACATGCCTACATGCCTACCCGCCTACCTACTTACATACCTCTACCTCTCTCTCTCTCTCTCGCACAGGGCACACCGCATACAACAAGATCACCTTCAGCATGTATGTGTGTACTATAGGGGCCAAGGTGCCCACCTACCTAGACACAGGCACGAAGGGTAATTTCGGCCAATTACCTACTTACTTTCCTTGTCCCCTTCCATCCTCCCTCTCTCCCTCGCGCGCTCGCTCCATCACCCACCACCGTCTCCGTGTCTCAACCGCGCGTGCGTGCCCGCGCACGAAAGAAATTGCCGTCGCGAAACGAAAATAAAACATGAAAACAAAAAAGAAAGGGAGTAGAAAAAAAAAGAAACCAAAATAGAGATATTGTTTTGGCGTAAGTACCAGAAAAGAAAAGAAAAGGGGAAGGGGGGGGGGAGAGAGAAAAAAAAAACCGCGCCAAGAGACGAGGGGAGTAAGAAACACAGTGGATTCGCTCGGGAGGCGGAAGGGGGTAGGAGGAACGGCCGGAACGCCGGAACTCAAGGGTGAGAGAAACGGGTAAAACAGGCGAAGAGACATGAATAATAAGAGACATGAGAAACGGACGGATAGAGGGAAGTGACACACGCACAGAGAGAAGCGAGAGGGACAAAGAGAGAAAAAAAAAACTTTTTTTGTGTGTGTGTGTGTGTGTGTGTGTGTGTGTGTGTGTGTGTGTGTGTGCGTGTTTTCGGTTGTGGGTGTGCCGTGGAGGATCTTGCATGTTATTGCCAGATTTGGAATGAGATATTACTTTACGACCTTGGGCGACAGGACACCCTGCCAGCCCGTCTACCTACCTACATGCAGGCCTGGCCTGTACAGCGGTATGCGTATGTATGTATGTATGAGCAGGCAGGTAGAGTATGCACAGGATGTAATGTGCGTCCCATCCGTCGCCGTAACGGGGCATCTTAGGACGGCGCATGGGCATGGATGGGGGGGGGGGGGACGGGGATGGGAATCAAGACGGGGGGAGGAGGGAGGCTGACAGACAGTATTACGGCAATGAAGTTTTTTTTTTTTTCCTCTTCGCCCTTCCTTCACACCTTGCCGTAGCCATCCACGCCCGAGCAATCCATACGTACAGGTTGGAGGAGGTATGTATGTATGTACGTACGTACATACGCACCCCGGCCGATGCGTAGTCGAACGGCCCATCCTGCGGGAGAAGCAGGAGAGCAGGACGAGAGAGAGAGAGAAAAAAAAATTTTTTCTCTCTCTTCTTCACTTCCCATTCTATTCATAAGGTGTCCTTTCATTTCGGGCTCCTAGTAATCAGCGGACACGCTACTCCGCCGTGCCCTCCCCTTCCCATCTGTGTAGACTTAATTAGCCCAGTGGCTGATGGGTCCGTGGTTGGGAGCAGCCCGACGAGTCTTACCCGTCCTTCGAATTTGTGAAATGAAACGCGTGCATTTAGAAACTGTAGCCTGTCTAAAACTACCTAAGTGAGCCAGCGACCTCCCTATCTGGTGAAAGGATATACCGTTTGCTATACACGCTGTATCTGTCATCCCGATCCCGCGGACCCGTTCTAGGGCACCCCCCCCCGTATAAGAGGTAAGCCAGCGTTTGGTTTACTATTACCCAGTACGCCTGCTGCTGCCAGGCTTGTTTGGGCGAGTCGCATAACGGTAGGGGGGGGGAGGCAAGCGACGGCTTACAGCGCACGTAACTGACTGACTCTACCTCGAGTACCCAACGCCCGAGCGCTGCCCCGGAAGTCCCGGGGGTATATGCTACCCGGTGACTGGTACGGGCAGCCCAGGTAGGCCAGAGGTATGTATGCAGCGAGTGGTTGGCAGTGCGGCACATACCTAGGTCCAGCGTGAGAAGAGAAACCGGAAGCAAGTCGCGGAACCACGACGATAACACACCGACACCGCCGTCGGTTCGACGTTTCCCCTTCCTCTCTCTCTCTCGGCGCTTATACGTGCGCCACCTACCCCGACTCTCCTCCAACCGTCGACCTTCCCGCCTACCTAGCTACCTTCCCACATATACTGCTGCGGAGGCGGTCTGACGTCGGGCAAAAGAAAGAACCTTGGAAGGAGAGCGAGCCAAGCAGGGAGACCCTTTCCCCTTCCCCGTGACCCTCCCTCCCGGCGAGCACCTGCGTGGCCAGTCCGGTGAGTGAAGGAGTTAATACCTAAGAGGTAAGTATGTGAACGGGAGGAGAAGGTGTGTGGAATGCATACGTCGGGCGAGTCCCGCGGCGACAGGCATTTTGCATTTCGTCCGTTCATATGTGCGCGCGCCTGCGGGGCCTGCCTGCGCAGCGGCGTGCCTAGACGACGCAGAGGGGAAAACGACCGGCTCCCGAGACACAGTAATAGGTAGGGCCGGCCAAGCGATACTGGGGGGGACGCGCCGGGGTGGGGGAGGGGGTTAGGGTTAGATTCACGAATGTATGCACACATCACAATAACCTCGAGGACAAGCCGACGGGGTAAGAGTCGAGCTGATGACAAAAGCAGCCGACATTATACTAGTATGGTCACCAAGAGTCAAGGATCTACGAATAAGTGCCGGAGACACAAGGTAAAGGAAAGAACCAGGAGTCGAAGTCAAGACACCATATTTCACTTTCAAGGTCAGAGGCATCGCGGCAACGTGTAGGGGGGACTATAATATATTACTTTGTCGTCTCGTAATTCCAACCGCTGCGCTATAAAAAAATGAGGGAAGAATGGAAGCAGAAGGGGGTATCTCCCAGCCAGCCAGCAGTAACCCAGACCCTGCCTTAGAAAACAACCGTGAGAAGAGAGATGTAGATCCTCTATGAAATGCGCCCGGTATAAATAGGACAAGAACAACCGTCGATGCCGCCTGACACAACGCCCGTTGATGTTCCGCCGACGCGATGACCGACGAAGCCAATACAATACCCGGCTGGCAAACGAATCCATCGTTACAATAATAACTATTAAACTCTTTTTGTTCTCTCGGGGGTCGGCACGGTAACCGACCCGGTGATGCAATTCCTGTCAACAGTAACCACCGTACCGTCGCAAGAAAAAAAAAAGAAAAAAACCCAAAACATCCCGTCTTTCCGATACCAACTTTTGAGGTTCCGAATAACAACGTCCCTGACGGGGTATATCGCACTCCTGCTCTGGCCCAACCGCTTGCGCGTTGCGCGCGAAATGTAATCACGTTCCCTCTCCAACTCTCCTCTCTCACTCCATCTGGGGTATCTTGAAAAACGAAAGACGAGTTGGGAAAATCCAGGCCTCTTCTCCCGCCGATGCATGCTAGGTTGCCCCGGGGCGAGTGTAATAAGACAGATAAAGGAAATCCTGAATGGGGAAATCCTGGTATCGACGTGCCACTTCGGAAAAACCACCTAAGCTGCAAACCATTTTTCTATTGATACACGATGGCAGCGCCATCCTTCCTCGTCACCCGATCCGTTTCCGTAAAAGTAGTAGTAGTAGGGTATAATGTGGTATGGTCCGTCCGCGGGAACGCCGTCGGTAGCCCCATCCGACGGGCACGGGGAGGTAAGATCCTGGGGGGGGATGAAAACCAGGGCGGCAAATTTCAAAACACCTATTGCTTCGGCCTCTTCAGGATGTCTTCGCAGTTCGCGTCGAACCGCAGGTTCCATAGGCGAACCTGTTGCATGAACGCCTCCGTGCGCTCCAACTCGCGCTCGCGGCCAAAGACGGTCTTGACAAACTCCACGCCGGCATTCTGGCCCAGGTGGGACGCATCCTTGGTCTTGGCGGATCTCAACATCGGCGCCTCGCACTTCTTGAGCAGGGCGCGCAGCTTGTCCGTCAGGCGCTCGCCCGACTCGATGAAGTCCTCGATCATCTCCTTGTTAGCCTGGGTCCTCACTTCGGGCACGACCTCCTCGGCTCGCTTTATCTTGCCCGAGAGCTGGATGAGCAGGACCCATAACTCGCCGGCCACGTCCGCAATAGGGGTCGAGGCTCCGTGGTGATGGACGGTCCAGTCGTAGATCCACTTGCCCAGAGAGTTGGAGTCGAAGACGCTCCCGAGTAGCATGATGGGCTCCTCGGCCGGGTCCCAGTTCTTTAGCGAGTACCCGGCCGGGATGCTATGCTTCTTCGCATCCGCCTCCGTCGCCTTCTTGGTGTCCACGGCGACAGGCCGCTTCCGGTGGGAGCTAGAAGGGCGGGCGGTGGAGGGGCGCTGGATGGGCACCGCCGTGGCCGAGGAGCGGCGGGCGTGGTAGCCCGCCCTCGTGGCCGAGCGCATCGGAGGCTCGTCATAGCGCGAGTAGTCGGCTCTCTCTTTCTCGTGAAACATCGACGACGCACCCTGCGATTGGTAGTAGTTATCAGTGCCTTGTCCAGGAGCAGCATAGAAACGTAAATCTCTGCGCTGACGACTCTTGGACCCTGCGACGAGTACGCATCTGTGACCGTCGACCTCGAAAAACTCGACCTCGTCCGAGTCCCCACGAGGGGCCCGCAGGAAGGAGAAGGATCTCTGACGCTCGTGCCGAGGCCCCGTGGAGAAATATTGACTTCGCGAACTCACATTAGGGCTTAGGCCGGTGGCATACTCGCCGGTGCTCTTGTATCGGGGCGAGAATGCGGTCGAGGGTCGGAAATCGTGGTAGCCGGCGCTGGGGTGGTGAACGTGAGCGCGGGTAGCGGGCCGCTGGGGGGTCTGAGCTGGGTAAAATGGGTAGTGACGTGGCGAAGGTGTTGGTGAGGGGCTCTGTACGTCGTAATAATAACCCGCATCACCACCTCGGTGATGAGGGGTTCCATAGGGTGATCCGTAACTCATCGTGGCAGACTCGGTGCGCGATGCTCCCGCCCAAGCTCCGAGCTGGTAGAATTCGTCGACGGCGGCCGTCCGCGACGCGAGATAAAATAGATTTAGGGGGGGGGAGGGGGAGGAGGAGGAGGTTGTGGATAAGTGGATATGTCGCTCCGCAGCAATGCGACTCGTCGAGACTCTCGCACTCTCTTCTCTCGACCTGCAATTACGCTCTCTGCTTCTCTTCTCCTGTCTTCAATCCCGGGTATATTCTCTTTCGCTTCTCGCCAGAATTAGGTGGCGCCTGTGTCGTGACGCGCGAGGGAGTGACGCCTGTCACCTGGGTATGTGGTCGGTGGGGAGGGGAGAGGAAGGCCGTCGTGGTTGAGCGAACATGTCAAGATCTGCTTCTTATATCCCCTTGGAGGATCGGGCATGCAAGCCGAATTGGCGCTCGACTCTGGAAGGCGAGTGCGGTAGTTGTTGGAAGTTGCTGGTCCGTTCCGTGGGAGTCCAGGATTGCCAGCAGAGTGCGGACGGGCGGGTTGCCAAATGCAAATGGAGTTGGCTTGCGATTGGTAATGCGGATGGAGAGGGAGGGGAATGGCAGCTGGGATGGGGACGGGGTGATATATGGATTGATGTCCGGTGGATATGGCGAAAAAGAGGCCAAAGATGAGAAAAAGAGAGAGGAGGAGGAGGGTTTAGTATGTTGGGGAGGTGAGATTGGTCGGGTTTAATAATAGCACGACTTGTTGGAGCATCGAGGCCGGAAAGAAAAAAAAAAAAGAATAATAATAATGAGAATAAAATCGAAAATTTTCAGCCAAATCCTTCTTCCGTCTTCCTTTTTTTTTTCTCTGAGGGAGGGGCTGGCAAGGGTACCGAAAAAAATTCACAAATTTGTCAACAGGGGTATCCCTTGCCCTGTCTTTCCAGGCCTGGTCCTAGCCTAAAAGATGAGCGTATCTTGGCAATGGCTTCTACGCTCTCGTACCCAAAGCACAGCGCCGGTAATTCAACCAGGTACCATTCCCCGAAGGGCAGTATGTGTCGAGTACCTAACCCCGTAGGGTAAGTGGCGGGCGCGGTACAACCGAGTACACTGATCAATGGGGCGGGCGAATTCAGGTTTGCACGTCCCATAGGTGCCCAGGCAGGGCGGGATACGTCTTCAGGCAGACAGGTCGGTACCTTTGGCCTGCGAGGCGGTACCTAGCAGTACTCCCACACCTCCTGCGTATGAGCAGGTGGTGTGTCATACCTGGAGGCTTGAGTCAAGTCAGGTAGCGAGGGCGTGTGCCAAACTTCCCAGCACACTTCCCAGCACACTTCACACACAGAACGTCCAAAGACAGGGAGAGAGGGGCCGGGAGAGGGTAAGGGATAGAGACTGGGGTGTGGGCGTATGAGCACTGGGCATGAGTAGAGCCGGGTGTACCTATGTGCAGCGGTACACTCGGTACCCAACACACTCCTCCCTCTCCCATTCCCGCTCCCACTCCCACACACACTCACACACACGCAGACGATGGCTCGTTGCCTCCTCTTTGTCCTAACAAGTGCCTAGGTAACCTATCCCCAGCCTACTACTGAAGGGAGGCACAATGGATTGTCCGGCCTTTGCCGCTGAGTCAACTCTCTCCACTAGACAGACCGGGCGGTGTTGAGGAGAGACGCCCAGATGCCGCCGAGAAACGCACGGGGAACACGGCGAGAAGAGAGGCAAGGACAAGGGTGACTCGTGGGAGGACAACCAGAAAGAAGAAGAAAAAAACAGTAATAATAATAAATGGCTATCCACCACAACCAAGCAGTGAGGCACAGCCACAACGTCCGTCCGGGCCCGATTCGCACTTTGTTTCACCACCGCCCAAAGTGGGCTACAGTGCGTGTTCTGGTATCTGATGCTCTCTCGCTCGTCTTTCTCGGCCGCCTTCTGCTCAGCTGCTATCGTTTGGACCGACTGATTTGCTGACAGAGATCAGCAAATAGCCATCCAGAGAGGCCACAGCATCCCTCTCTTCTATCCGCTGCCCTTCTCGTTTTCGTATCTCGGTAGTGCGCGTACGGATGGATCCTCTGCTCTTCCCGGGGTCGATACGGGTGGATTGATTACGGCCAAGACTAGGCGGCAAACACGATTGCGACGACCGTGACGGCTCGCCGGAACTGGGTAATTCCTACCTACCTATAGTGTATGGGTTGTCGTCTCTCCCTGTCACAACCCTGCCGCCCTGCCGCTCGACAATCGCGGATCAGGGAGCTCGGGGGTGTTCGCACCAGAAAGCCGCTGGCCGTAACTCACATGAGTCCGGCCGCCCCCGGCATAGACGAACTTTGTTGACTGGGGCGAAAAGAAAAAAAAACTGTCCTTTCGAGGTAGTTGAATGACGCCCTCAGGATCCTGGGTCCCAGGGATGTCCAGATTCGGTTGCCCCCTTTAGCGAAATTGGAATTGCGCCTGGGTCTTCCTAACTCCGTCTGTGTTCTATAGGCTGGCGCGCACTGACAGCGATGGAAATGCCTGTCTCCTGCCCACCAAAATTCCGGGAAGAAATTCTGGTGAAAATTTTTTCGTCTCCCAGCTCAGGGATTTGTCGATGATTCATCCACCCAACGGCAAGGACCCCTTCGGAGGCTCAAAATTCAGGGATCCGGTCTCCCCCCCACCCCTGTCTACACGTAAACATTCGATGAGGCGCAACAATCGACAACTAAAAAATCACTAGCAGATATCTCCGTCGTTTTGCTGCTCCCAAGGGGGTTGGTGGTCGACGGGAGGGAAAAGGGGGAGAGAAGGTTAGGAGCTGTTGGCGTTCGAGTCGTGATCCGCGATTTGCTTGTTCGAAACGCCGTATAATACTTCAAAGTCCTAGCCGGATCGATGCCGAAAGTATATACTCGTATATACTCCCAACAGGTCTGATGAGAAATCGTTGTTGTTGGGTCGGGTATTCGGCTGGACTGTCGATGGGAGAACCGAGTGTGGATGAGACGGTCCTGGCGCTCCGGATGGATGGATTGGCTTCACCCCGGCTTTAGGTCTGTATGTATTCGCCGCACCCTTACGAACTGATAAACGATTCCGAGTGAGTAAAGTGAACGAGTGCTCTCACATCAGTCTACCGAATGTTTGGTTCATGTTCGTGTATGTATATATATATACGCCTACTCATATATGTAAGTGATACGTGCAGCGGGCTTCGAACACGGGCCTCAAGCGGGTGTTGACAGGGCCGGGTCCGTTGTTTGCAGCGCTATGAACCGGACAGGCGCTGTGCTGGGACTGATGGGGGCGGCATTTCGCGTTCCTCGTTCCCCACGGACCGTCAGATCGTTGTGGCAGTCTGGCAGATGTCGTTTCTCTCTCTCTCTCTCTCTCTCTCTCTCTCTGCCTCGCTCCCAGGTTGCGCGGGAGGGTGAGTTGAAGGAAGAGGCCGGATTTCGAGAGCGGACTCGCGCGGCCCCGAAGGCGCAAAGAAATATATATATATAGGTATATACTATACACGACATGCACATGCACATGACGCCTCTGTAGGAGAATAGCTCGAGATCTATGAGTAGAAGAGGCAGCAAGGCCGGGATTGGATATGTCGAATAGTGGTAAGCGATCATGTCGGTCGATAGCTCCCGCGCGGGGAAGTGGGTGAGCGAGCGCCGGTAGCGTCTAGGCTATCTACTACTGTATCTACTACTGTGCATTACATGCGCATTGCATCGACCATGTGTCCCTCCTCATTACTACGCATGTATAATTGCTACTAACGTATAATGCCGCCAACATCTCCTCCTCCTCATAACCCCCTCAACGCGGCACTGTGCGTATCCCAAACGGTTACGAGGAGAGGGTGAGGAGGATCGCTCTCCGGAATCCCCCCACCTACTTGAACGAGAGGCGCTCCTCTTCATTCTCCTCATTACCAGCCGCATGAGCTGGGTGAGAATGGAATACGCAAGTGCGGGTATCGACGTCAGCGTGCAAGCTACGTATTCTGACCCCGATCGGGGGAAAGGGGAAGAGAAAGCCGCCCGCTTTTCCTGAGTGCTATCGCCGTGGCGCAAACACGGGGGGCTGAAGCCGAAGAGGGTGTGCGCGTCTTACACACCCTCTTCCTCGACAGCGTGCCATCCGGCGCTTCGATCCTTGGTATCGCCAACAAGAAAAGCCCCATCGCGGACTGAGCAGAGGGACAGCCAGGGCAGCCCAGCTGAGCTAGAAGGATATCGGGGTCTTCCCCCCGCCCCCTCTTTTGTTTGCCGTTCTTTTCGTCGTGGATTATCTCTGCTGTCAAACAGACTCGGCCGTGGAAAGGGATGGGGATTGACGGTGGCCGACAGACCCCTGATCATGGTTCGTTCCAAAGACGGTCATCTGCGCCTCCCTGCATGCGCATGGCGGGGAGCGGCCAGGAAAAGAGACGGGTAGAGAGAAAAACGTGGAGGTCGCAGCGGCAGCCCTCTCGCCCTTTTCGCTCCAATCACCTTTTCTCCGCGACCATGTATGATGTCGATGACAAGGCTCTGCGCTTCACCGTCCGGCTACGTAGTTGCATTCCAAGCGCAGCTCAGATCTTCGTCGCTTTCCTAACTAGGCGGTGCCCATCGAGAAATCGACGACGTGACCTGCCGCATCACTACCACCTCTGGCACCACCATCCCTCCCTACGGAGGTTGGAGGCGGGAGGGGTTACGTCGGTTTGGAGCCTACGTACCAGACTTATCCACTCGCTTCTGATCCCCTGGCTAGGTAGCCAGCCATCTCGATGCCTGCGCATTCCGCAAAGGACAAGTTTTCGTACCGGAACAGGGAAGTGCGCGGCATGCCGTCTTTGCCGGGTATGATATTCCGGCGCGGGTGTGCACTGCGGTGCCTACGGTCGATCTAGATGCTGTCCGTTATACGTATCTGACATTCGAGCTCTGCCTAGAAGGACTTTCTCAGCCTCCGTTTCACTATCATGATGTGCACGATCTATCCAAAATAGACGCCTTTTTTTTGTCCCCCATCTCTCCGCCTATTACCGCTTCGCCTAGAGTTGCTTTCGTGATACGTCCCACGACAACCCCAGCGTGCGTGTGCTCCCACTGCCTCGCCGGCGTCAGTGAAAAGGGGGGGGGGGGGGGGTGAGATGTCGGGGCGGTTGGTCAATCAAACCCGGCATGCCAGTCAGACCAGGTGCTACCGTGTTTCGGCGCAATCTATAA